TTTGTCCGGTAACTCTGATCACAATTGTTAATCGAAGACTTCAAAAAGAAAAGTACCTATTCTTTCGATGAATAAGATTCACTTTAAAATGGCGTTCGGAGTCAGTACCGCTGTTATAGTATTTGGGGCAACAGCTGTATTTGTTTTTGCCTTGTTGGGGCCTTTAGATATATCTCTTCTTTTTTAATTTCTTCTAATATCTTTAAGGCTACCGCTCTTAGCGGTGGGTGACCGAAGACTGAGAAAATACTGGCTGAATTATTCGAGAGTGAATGCAGAAATACTAAGTAAATAGATCGTATTGTACATAAAGTTCTGAATAGGGCATGCCTATTTAGCATTATCCCTTATATGTCCGTATAACGCCTTATTGATCGAAGTATTTTTTTAATGCATTAGATAGATGATCTTGCCACACTTGGTGCTCTCTCAAGCTGAGCTCCGTGAGCTCGTCCGCAAGCCATGGTGTATCCAAATGGCAGTTAGGTAGATATAACATAAAGCCACTGCCCGTCTTTAAGCTTGTGATCGACATCTAGATTGTAATATGTAGACTGCTTCATTGAAGACGAGTGCCTTATTTAACTCACTCGTTTTGTGATATTGATCTTTTTTTTTCCCTACCAATTCGCTGGTAGCTTAAGTCCTACTACGCCCGGACGGGTAGGTGAGCTCACCGGGTCAACCTGAGAGAATTTGCTAACACTAGCCCTAGCAAGAGCAGAGTTTCGCAGAATCTACCACCGGAATCGCGACCCACTAAGAAGATCCGCCGAGAAATTCACAGGGCTAGTTCTCTGGGTTCGCTCGTTAAATTCGTCGTCGAAATCGACGAGTTCGACGAGGACCGTGACCGGTGCTTGAGAGTCTTAACAGCAACGAGAGTGAATCCGGGGGATCCGACATGTTTCGGGCGATGGCAACTTTGCGTTGCCCCGTCACAGTCGGTTAAGATATTGTGCGTGTTCAAATCACGTCGGACCGACGGTCCGAATGTTGTTTTTTTTTTCCCTACCTATGCTGATAGCCTTGAGAGGCTATTTCAGCTTCGCCCTAACGTTTGTAGGTGAGCTCACGGGGCTCAAACCTGACGACGATGCTAACACGAACCCTAGCTATGATGGCTACCCGCCACAATATCAATCGTTGGTCAGGATTGTACAAATTGAAACAGACAAATATCTTAAATGTTACTGAAACTTCATGAAGTTATAACAAAAGATATTAGTGTAATTCAACTGCATCTAAAATCAGCGCTCCGATGGAATAAACTCATAAAAAAACAAATCCGATTCCACAGTCGTGATAATAATGTTAATTATATAGAATATCAAAATAAAATTACGAGCACATATTTATACGGTAATCTTTCATGGCAATTACTGAAGCAAATACCTACTTCAACGTTTGACAACTAAGTCATTACAATGTCAAGGAAGATGTGACGTCAGCGTTGATTTCGCTGGGCAAAATTAACGTTTCCCGCCCACGGCTTTTCTCGCTTTCATTCATTCATTGTTTACGTGTTATGTAATGAATGTTTATGTTTTTTTTAGCAGCTAATGTATTTAACGACCGATATTTTCGTCTATGTCTTTGATAGATTTTCCTAAATATAGTGTTCGCAAGTCACTTCCATAATGAGGTAATAACATCGAAGGCATCAAAACGATTATATTAAGCCTTTTTTTTCTGAAAAGCAATCGTGGGTTCTCATTTAATAAAAGACGGAAAACCCGTAAGGATACATATACAACCGAGACTAGACTTTATGCCGCAAGTTGGCTGAATTAACGTTATGACGTACAGCGACCCACCTTCAGGTGGACATTGAACTACGTCTATCCATATAAAACAATTAAAATATCATATCATATCTGTGGTTCATTTTTTTATATATGTACATATATTTTCATATTTATAGGGCGTTTTGTGTACATAAAAAATTACAATGATTAAATTACAACGCTTTACCGCCAAGTAGGGCTTCTTGTGAGCCCACACGGGTAGGTATTAGCACTTATTTCTGCTGTGAAGCAAGCTCGGGTAGTCGCGTAGTCGTATCTTAGAACAGTGTGCTTATTGCGAGTTTTTTAACGTACTCGATAGCATAAAAGGTAGCTATTTGTATGGAATCGGATCGTTTGCCTACGTTTGCCGCTAGGGGCGCTGTTCCAACTGCATACAAAATTGGGCTAACTTTTACGCTATCGAGAACCTTAAAAAACTCGCACTAAGCACAAGACTTAGAACCCATATTTCAAGGTAGGTGGCAGAATTAAAACTGTTAATGTCTGATGATAGCTCTGGTAACCATTTAACGCAAGGTAAGCCGTGAGCTCGATCACCTGTCTAACTATTAAAAAATAGAATGTTCATAATACGTAAACAGTTCACTAAATATGGCGATTACCAATTATCATTTTCATCGTAATATAGCATTTATAACTTGCGTATAGTCTTCGTTTAATTAACAACCACTTTCTACGTCTTTTATAAATATATAAAAAGCAGTAGTTAATACTACATTCAAATGTTAGTCGTCCGCAACCACGAGAACCGAAACGTCGGAAATAATAATTTAAGCAGAGTAAAAAACGCACGATTAACCCGCAACAGTAGTTTTGTGTCTACGACTCGGAAAATCCGAAAACACCTGAGTATTACTCGTCTCGATAGGACAATTCGTTTTTTCATAAATGTTTAGCTCATATCGACACAGGGAACCATTTCGACCATAAACATCGATTATTTCTAAGAAAGAACATACTCATGCTAGAGGAACAATTAATATTCAGGACTTTTTCAATAATAAGATTTAGACCATTAATAACGTGCCAACGTAGTAACAAGACATATTATTGTACTCAGAATAACATAAATCCACCAAAACAACAAAAGCAAATACGATGCTTTTATATAAAACTTGTACGTGAAATGTTATACACCAACTATTTCATGCGATTCATACTAGTATAGTTAATAATGTGATCAATTCCTCTGAGATTAGAAGCACTTCAAACAGTTCATAAATACTGATGGTAACCCAAAATAATTGCAATTAAATACACATCCCCTCATTATTTTAATATTGACTTATAAGTCGAGAGTAACTATAATATTCAAGTTCTTTAAATGTACGTCGTTTTTTTGTCGGCGTATCGATATAATGTAACTTCCATCATTTATTAAGGTCTTGAAGTGTCGTTGTCTGTAAAATTTACTAAAAACCAAAATTGTCTATGCTTAATCGTTCTATCTCTCTTTCTGTCAAATGTGTCAAATCGATCACGTTGACAATATGACACTGACAGTTTGCGTTTTGGTATCTGCTGTGATTGGACGTGTGCTAGTAAAAAGTTTTTAGCGAAATTAAATTGCCAATAATATCTTGAGTGCTGTATTACTGGGAATCCCGCGATGGATGACGAAAACCGAGCTGAAGGCTGGAAGNGCTTAATCGCTCTATCTCTCTTTCTGTCAAATGTGTCAAATCGATCACGTTGACAATATGACACTGACAGTTTGCGTTTTGGTATCTGCTGTGATTGGACGTGTGCTAGTAAAAAGTTTTTAGCGAAATTAAATTGCCAATAATATCTTGAGTGCTGTATTACTGGGAATCCCGCGATGGATGACGAAAACCGAGCTGAAGGCTGGAAGTATTTAAATAAGCAGTTCTTCGGTGATGGTTAGTAAACTTATTAATTAAAATATCTAGGATATTTTTTCGTACCTACTTGTTTTGCAGATTCTATCGTCACAAGACGTCGCTTGATAGGTCAATGATAAACGAGTTTCCGTTATCGCGTTAACAGCTTTGGTATTATGTTTTCACATGATATCTAAATACAGTTCTTGACTGCACTAGGAAGTAAGTTTATTGATATCATAGTTAATTAACTTAATCTACTGTCCTGTCAGCATTACGCTAATCACTCCACAAATTTAATTAGTGACTGTTGTTTGAAGGGCTTGTGATAAATTTGAAATAAACTTAAGAATGCTACAAGCAATAAACTGAAACATAATAATAAAACTGCAAAAAAGTAAGAAATAAAAAAAAGATTAAACATTAACAATAACTATTATAAAAAAATCTACAAATGATTTTTTTTATTCATAAAATATTAAATTTTTGATACACGTCTACAATTTGTTAAGAGTTTGATTTAAAAAAAATTATTCAACAAAACATTTGTAAATATGTAATTAGCCCAAGAGCCTGCAACGACAAGACCATCATTTTATTAAAGCTTATAGTTTCTCTGTCCATGTCCTCAACACAAATAAGAATCATTTATATTATAATTACTTGTTCTGGTACTTAAAATTCTTTTAAAGCGTTCAATTTTAGTATATTTTCTTTAGAAGACCATTAGAAATCACATCATCCATTGCTGGATACTTAGTACATGCACAATTTAAGCGTTAGGCAGCGGCTTGGCTCTGCCCTTGGCATTGCTGATGTCCATGGGCGACGGTAACCACTCACCATCAGGTGGGCCGTATGCTCGTCTGCCTACAAAGGCAATAAAAAAAAAATCACTGACAGACACTTCCAAATTTTAATAAATTATAATTATTCTGATGCCATAATATAAGAGTTGAATTTTATACGCGATATATGGGGACCTAAAAAAAAACTACCTCAGATGTTGGACAGTTTTAATAGTCATTTAAATCCTCGGTCATTATAATTATAGTGTTTTATTGTAAATACATGCTTACAGTATTATAAGACACGTGTTTAAGTACCCTATTGTAGAATCACATTGGAGACAACATGTTTTATTATATATCACCTAAGCTGAGCTTTGAACACTATGACTACTATGCTGATAATCAAAATCGACTCACTATAATTATAATACCCAAAAATAAAATGCAGTCTCACCAGAAATGGTGATCTGCTCCAGACATCAAGTGAAACTTGAATATTTGCAAAATGAAAGTAAGTAGACTATAGTTTTTTTTTTCAATTTATTTATTATTTACAGGAGAACGATCAAATTATGTAAACATACCGCATGTTATCGCAATGGTGGGTCTCCCGGCACGCGGGAAGACATACATTTCCAAGAAACTGTCACGCTACCTGAACTGGATAGGAATCAATACAAGAGGTAAGAAACTTTCATTTTGTAATTATGACACAACAGACACCAAAAACTGTTGATGCATAATTGAATAGACGATAAAAATTAATAAGTTTATTACTTATCCATCTTACTTTCAAATTGTGATCAAACCAGAGACCGTTCAAAAAATAGTGTTTTTTTCTAAAGGCAAAACACAACTCGCTTAATGGTGAGTGACTTTCACTCCTAGATGACAGGCCACTGACTTATGCATATAAGTTAAAACTGTTTATGATAGATACACTTAAACAATGGAATAAACCATATTTTTTCACAGAAGACTTGTATTCATACTTCGAAGTCACTTCATAGAATTCAATTAATGCATGTTGTTTTGTTTATCTGTAGTTGACATGTCTTGTTTCTGTTTACAGTATTTAATCTAGGCGAATACAGAAGACATGCTACATCCGCATACACAAGCCATGAGTTCTTCAGGGCCGACAACAAAGAAGCCATGGCTATAAGACAGCAGTGCGCTTTAGATGCATTACAAGATGTGTGTGAATGGCTGACCAAAGGCGGAGAAGTCGCCGTGAGTATCTACATCTAGTGTGATTTTTTTATTTGTTTTGAACAAACACAGGCCCCACGTAAAGTAATTACCAGAGCTCACAACGTGGATGCCACTACCTAACTTGAAACTTAAGGTCTATGTGTTTAATGTATGATTGCATGTTTGACTTTTATTACAGGATATTTTCTCTCATAATGGTAGTCATTAGAGAATGTTACACAATACCTATTTCATTACAAAAAATTGAAATCGTCATGCAGAATTTAAACACCAGAAAAATCTCAACAAGCATGTACAATGAGCTTCTTTTTTAGGCCGAGACGATTAACATTATGTACCTACATTAGATAGAAAAATACGAGCTAGGTGCTGTTCTATGTTTTTTAATAAGCAATCTGTGGAGCACTTTCTAACATTTGACCAGTGAATTTAATTGGATGTTGTTCTGAAATTCATTTCTTTTTCTTACATGGTCACTAAAAATTATGCTCTACTTTATATTAAGCTATTACTTGTCAATACCTAAATCTAGAATTAGATGCCTCTCATTAAGACAGTTTTCAGTTTTTTTGTAAGAAGATTTAGTGCTACAAATAACAAAAAAAAAAATTTCTAAATATCAAAAACAAAAGACAATATGTGAAACAATTAATCTATTTAAACCTTGAGGGATCGATCATTCGCAAACAATATGATACAATGATGCAACAATGACAATGATATGCAATAAATAAATAAATAATAAAATTGTTTTATCATTATATCAGGTCTTCGACGCTACAAATTCTACTTTGGACCGACGGCGGATGATAAGAGACCTTGTAGTCCACAAGATGGGCTTCAAGCTTTTCTTTGTTGAATCTATATGTGATGACCCTAGGATTATTGAACAAAACATTATGGTGAGTTCTTATGTTCTAAATGAAAACTGCCATATTTAAAACAAAACCTACAATGACTTGATATAGTGGAACAAATTGATTATGTAATTATAAAAATAAATACTGGAGGTTTGATTTTATTTGCATTATGCGATCCTTGTGGAAGTCGTAGGCGTTCGCGTCTTAGGTACGTAATCATCTGTGCAAGAGCACTGGGCGTCTGGCATGCTAGGCCACGGACGTTTCAGTCTAAACAATTTATAATTCGCAGGAAGTAAAAGTGAGCAGTCCGGACTACACAAACATTCAGAACACGGATAATGTTCTAAATGATTTCATGCTCCGGATAGAACATTACAAGGAGAAGTACGAGCCTCTGGACGAGAGCCTGGAGTCTGAATACAGCTTCATGAAGATATACGATACCGGAGAGAAGGTGGTCGTTCACAAGCACGAAGGGCACATACAGAGTCGGATTGTGTACTACTTGATGAACATACATATTGTACCCAGAACTATATATCTGACAAGGGTTAGTTTGATTAATTTAATGATAATTTGAATTTTATATTTTTAACATTCATAATAGTGTTGATTAAAACCATTATAAAAAAAAATTACAAGTATATCGATTTTTTTTTTGCTTAGTTGGATGGACGAGCCCACAGGTCGCCTGGTGTAATGTGGTTACTGGAGCCCATAGACATCTACAACGTAAATATGCCACCCAGCTTGAGATATAAGTTCCAAGGTCTCAGTATAGTTACAACGGCTATCCCACCCTTCAAACCAAAACGCATTACTGCATCACTGCAGAAATAGACAGGGTGGTCGTACCTATCCGTGCGGACTCACAAGAGGTCCTACCGCCAGTTATTACACAAATTATAATTTTGCGAGTTTGATTTTTATTCCTTCACCGTCAAGTACGTATTTCATTAGACAATTCGGTACACACCTGCGGGATTCGAACACCGGTGCATCGCTAGATACGAATGCACCGGACGTCTTATCCTTTAGGCCACGACGACTTCAAATATAAGTGTCTATATAAAATTAAATAACTATAAAAAAAAAGCTGTTGATCAGTTAAATCAGAGTGAGTCCTGGTTCCAGCACGGCGAGAGCCTGCACAACCTGGTCGGGCGCATCGGCGGTGACAGTCCGCTGTCGCCGCGCGGCTGCCAGTACGCGCGCGCGCTCTCCGCCTACATCGAGCAGCAGCGCATCCCGGGCCTGCGCGTGTGGACCTCCTGGATGCGCCGCGCCATACAGACGGTCAAGGACGTCAAGGCGCCGCAGGAGAGGTGGAAGGCCCTCAACGAGATCGACGCGGTATGTTACGTAAACTCGATCGCGCCGCCCTTGATCAACAGATGGCGCTGTCAAAGAAAAATACGTAGTTCGTTTTGGATGGAAAGTAGGCGGACAATTAAGTTATAGTATAATTTGTTCACTGTATTTTTTGAAATAGTAAACATTCATTTCATTTCACTCCATATTATCATTTTTCATAAAGATAAGAACATCAATTAATATAAGACATGACTTAAAGGTCTTAGTTACCAGGTCATAAAATCTCTTAAAAATAGTAAACAGTGGTACGTAATAGTAGTAGTATTAAATATTTTGGAGATCCAACTTGTTAACTCATCATTCCATTTGTAGTTAATCGTTTAAATTAGTCTATAATTTACATTTCATCCATCGTTACTTGTAAATGACGCGTTCGTGGCGTGTTTCATATCTCTAGAATTTCGAAAAATAACAGTACCCTTATTCTCTATAATGAAAACTCATACATTATAGTATAGTTTCTACAGACGGTGATAAAAATATATATTATGTGAGCGATATGTCATTTAGTATCACAGTAAGTTGTGAGAGTAGAAGAGAGACATGAGAGTGAATGAAAAGTAATCTAAAGCTGTTAAAGTGTAATAACAGATGGCGTTGTATTTAAATAATCATTAACTGACATAAAATTGCCACTTAACTCATACTAGCGACCCGCGCTCGCTTCGCTTCGGAAACTGTAATTTATTATTGATTTCTCCACTATTTAATGGATGTTATTATACATATAAACCTTCCTCTTCAATCACTCTATCTATTTAAAAAAACCGCATCAAAATCCGTTGCGTAGTTTTAAAGATTTAAGCATACATAGGGATAAGGGGACCGAGAAAGCGGCTTTGTTTTATACTATGTCGTGATTAAAGTTGGACGTTACATCCAGGGCATATGTGAAGAGATGACATACGCTGAGATACAAGAGAAGTACCCGTCGGACTTCAACTCCCGCGACGCCAACAAGTTCGCGTACCGCTACCCCCGGGGGGAGAGCTACGAGGACCTGGTGGCCAGGCTGGAGCCCGTCATCATGGAGCTGGAGCGGCAGGGCAACGTGCTCGTGGTCTCGCACCAGGCCGTCATGCGCTGTCTGCTGGCCTACTTCCTCGACAAGAGTGCAGGTGAATACTATTGAAGCAACATCTACTATTAGATTTATTTTTTAGATTAAGTTATAAATAAAACTCAACATAAATCATAGAAATAATAACCAGTCATGCTATCATGTTAAACCAACTATTCGTGAACTGTTTCTTAAAACAAAAATAGCTAGTAATAGATTTAATAAAAAAAACGAAGGGAACCCAAATTAATCAACTGAGATGAAATTAAATGAAATGAGATGATATAATATGGAATAGAATATAATTTCAGTAAAATGCTGGTTATTTACTGAGACTTTTTCAGTGGACTTTTTAGAGAATCCCGAGAAGCTACATGGAGCGACTTTGTTTCATATTCCCACATTTGTAAACATTCACAAATATTAAACAGTTAATAAACCACCGTTATTACACATTTAAACCTGAAGAAACACAAAATAGACAAAATAAAACAAATTACACAATTTGACTCATCGCGTTCCTGCCAAAAAGCCTTTCACTAATGTTTGTCACGTGGTATAACGATATTTGTGAAGCGTTGTCAGTTTTTTTTTTTTTTTTTTATTGCTTAGATGGGTGGACGAGCTCACAGCCCACCTGATATTAAGTGGTTACTGGAGCCCATAGACATCTACGACGTAAATGCGCCACCCACCTTGAGATATAAGTTCTAAGGTCTCAGTATAGTTACAACGGCTGCCCCGCCTTTCAAACCGAAACGCATTACTGCTTCACGGCAGAAATAGGCAGGGCGGTGGTACCCACCCGCGCGGACTCACAAGAGGTCCTACCACCAGTAATTACGCAAATTATAATTTTTGCGGGTTTCATTTTTATTACACGATGTTATTCCTTCACCGTGGAAGTCAATCGTGCACATTTGTTGAGTACGTATTTCATTAGAAAAATTGGTACCCGCCTGAGATTCGAACATCGGTGCATCGCTCAACACGAATGCACCGGACGTCTTATCCGGTAGGCCACGACGACTTCAAAACTATGTTGTAGTTTGAACTATAGAAAATGGCGCCAATAAAGAAACGAATCGAAAATGGCGTCTATGTACCTGCACTGACAGAGGGTAGGGTCAACAAATAAAAAGAAAGATAGAAAGAACAAGTTGTTTATTGTAAAAAATATATATAAAAAAACAAATTAGAATGTACTTTACTTTACTTTATGCCCTGGCAGAGGGTGAGGTGTCTCATCTGGGATTCAACTTGCGTAGACACATTTGCTGCCAGTCATCTAAGTCGCACAAGTCGAAAGTGAATTATATTAGCTTCACTTGTATGTATGTTTGTAACTGACTCCTTTACGCGATTTTGACCCACTTTCAACGGCCAGATTTCATTCAAACTTTGTAGATTTATCGAGAACTGATGACAATATGTACAATATTAAAAAAAAAAAAAAATTGAAATTCAACTAAACAATAAATAATAGTTTAGAAAAACAAAAAAACACGCTTTATATGAAATTCAACTAAAAAATAGAAAATAAATTTTAATAAATTTAAATTGAAAATAGTGTAAAAATATATATATATATTATTGTAAAAAAAGCGTGCAACAAAGCTTAAACATACAAGTGAAGCTAATATAAAGCGTGTAAAAAACTCGAACTCAACAGCAAAGTCAGAACTGAATATTCTTTTGGCACGCAGTACGTGCCGTGTGCGACTAAAGACGGCAATTAGTTTAGAGTGAGAGCGCATGATAGCCGCTGCCATTTTAGATTCGTTTCGTTTATTGGCGCGGCTTATAATGACCATGAAGCACCGCGCTGAGGGTCCGTGTGTGTTCTGTGCAGAGGAGCTGCCGTACCTGCAGGTGCCGCTGCACGCGGTGATCAAGCTGACGCCGGTCGCGTACGGCTGCCGCGAGGAGCACATCCGGCTCAGCGTGGACGCCGTCGACACGCACCGCCCCAAGCCGCAGGTACACGACCCTTATGTACGCCTCGCGTCCTAATTTAAAGCTTAAGCGTCTACAAACCAACGAACTAGTAAAAACGCTGAATTAAAATCTAATACTACCAGACCTAACACATCCTGTGGACCGAATGGTAAACACGTCATTACGGATCCTCCCGATCCATTAACAGTGCTTTTAGGTACCTCAAGCACCGGTCGTCGAACCAGTCGCTTGCGACGAAGGGCTCGGCGAGTAAATTAACCCACAGACTCAGCCCACTGAGTTTCTCGCCGCATCTTCTCAGTGGGTCGCGCTTCCAATCCGGTGGTAGATTCTGCGAAGCACTGCTCTTGCTAGGGCCAGTGTTAGAAACACTCCGGCTTGAACCCCGAAAGCTCACCTACACGCTAGGGTAACGCTGATATAGTCTCTTAAGGCTATCAGCATAGATAAGAAAAAAGCTTTTTGATGATTTGAACGTTTTACATAAATCAGGACTGTATAAACCGCCGCGCGCACCTCAATATGTGTGGCTTGCAGAACGTATTTGATAATCGTATCCCAAAAAGAGGAAATTAAAGGCATAAAATATATTCGGCACTAAGTTCAGTTTTTTTTTTAAATCTACCTATATTATCTCTGATCATTTAGTCCGTGAAGACTGATATAATTAAGTTCATTTAGCCTGTAGCTTGGACAGCCTGCTAAACATTTACTTCACTAAAATGTATGCAATGCGGACCATCGTTGGCTCTAATACTTCTTTTATCATAGATGAAATGAACAATTAACGATATTCAAAACTTTCCGATTTTAAAAGTAAATATAAATTGTGGGGCGTATTTGTGATATTTGCGGGTAGATACCAGTCTGATGATTATATCATAAACAGCATGAAGAGTGGCGCAAACTGTATACAATAATATTCAAACTTTAACGTCATATTTCAAGAATGATGATAACGAAGTAGACATCAGACCACGACGGTGCAACGCAAAGCCACCGTCGCCCGAACATGTCTTGTTAGATCCCCCGGATTCATTCTCGGTGCTTTTAGACCCCTCAAGCACCGGTCAGCGAGAACCGATCAGCACCGGTCAGCGAGAACCGATCAGCACCGTCGTCGATTACGACAAAGAGTTCGACGAACGAACTAACCCATAGACACAGCCCACTGAGTTTCACGCCGGATCATATCAGTGAGTCGGGATTCCGATCTGGTGGTAGATTCTTCGAAGCATTGCTCTTGCTAGAGCTAGTGTTAGCAAATTTTATATATATCTGGAATATACCAATAGCTGGAATAGCCTCTTAGATTACCAGCGAATTAGGTAGTGAAAAAAAATACCATTAGAATCTGAACAAACATACCAAATAATTTTAGTTGCTATAATTGGATTCTCCGACCAGTGAGATAGTGGATGAAGTTTCATATCGAAGGGTGAAAGGCTATTTTATTTAAGCGACATTTCGCTTAACACGCGACATTTAACTTTGTAATTAAAGGTCCATATTAGCATCTACAATTCGATGTTTTTAATCGAACTTCAATTAACTTTATCCCACTCTAAACAACACCTGAAGAATATTTTAATGATGTTTTGTCCAAATTTTTATGTTTAAATGGCTCTCCTGTAAAGTTGCAGAAATGTCGCTCAAACCAAATAGACCCCTCAATATAATAATTAGGCCATTTATGTAATGATTATATAAATAGACTTGTAGTATTTAAGAAGGAATGAAGTGAAGAAGGAATTAAATAACCGTTAGCAAACAACAAATCAAATGTACAGGAGTAATTATAACTTATTAGGGTAAAAAATTTATCGTCGAAGCCGCCTTTCGTGACTAATTTATTAATCATTCGAAACAATCGATATGGAAAAGAAAAAAATCGATTAAAATTTTTAACGTCACCACAACACTACAACAGGTAACTGGACACTATATAAATATTACTTTAAATTAAAGAGTGTCAATTAAATTAAAATAATTCTAAGAAATCGTTAAAAAAATTATTTAAATAAAAATAAAAATCCAATAATTTTAACATTTTTGACGTCAAACTAAATGCAAAGAATGGTGTCATTTTCGGACAACGATTATTGGTTATTGCATAATTGTCAGTTAGCATGTCGTATACTCTCACCCCAAATGACGTCATATGAAATAGATTAGTATATTTTAAAGTTTTCAATATGTATATCAGTTGTCCAGTTCCCTGTTTTCTACACTGTATGCCTGTTCACATTAAAATTACTAATAATACAAAAAATAATTATTACAATGATGAAACACTAACATTATGTATAAAAAACTAAAAAAACCTTTCATTTCACTAAAAAAAAACTCACTATGTAAGAAAAAATGTGTAAATTTCGAATTTGAAAAAAAAAACAACAACAATAAATTTTAACTTTTTCTAACAGGACAAGGAAGAAGCCACACCTGAGAGCCAAGTATGAACATTTTGAAGCATGATTTTTCCAAATTTAGCTTTAGTCGTTGGCATGAACTAAGTATCGTATGTTTTCATTTCCACAAAGGAAAGGTCGTTACAATGGTCTGAATATAACGCAAATGTAAGGCCACTGGAAACAAATACCGGGCACTGAAGTAAACTGCAGATGTACATAACATGATTTTAGTAAAAAATAAAAAAATAAAAAATGGTGCGCGTGGAAGAAGTGAAACTTCTTTTTCGATGTGTAGTATTGTGGTTTTCTTAATTTTTCATCCTCAAATCAGATTGGTTTTGTAATAGAGAATGCTGTGTATAAGAGATGCGATACTTTCAATATTTATATTCTATAATATATTTTGAAATATAAAAAAATAAGTTATATATATTTTTAAATACTTCATTAAAATATTGGGCGCTAGTCGTTGCTAACGCTCGCGCCTGCCTGTAGCGGGAATACTACGCGCATGCGTTAGAGTGCCGCGCATTCACTCTCGCTCTGTCTCTTTCTATTTCATGCGTTAAACGTTTAACGCAACCTTTTGGGAAGTCGCATTAGAAGTTTCACTTCAATAAATAACTGGGGACAAATCACTCATGATCATCCATCTAACGATCGATTCGATCATCCATCATCATCGTTCCCTCACTGCTGAGGATCGCGACCACATGTGACTTTCCTACACAGTGTAGTTACATGAAGTGTGTGTAGTATGTGAAGTACATGATCTCTTTTTCAATTTCAAAAGGCGAGATTGCTTGATTGTTTTGTAGTATGTTGTGGTTTATATAATTTATTTTATTTGATATGTATTTCTTATCTATGTATCTATGTATTTATTTTGATATTGTAATTATAACTTAGTGTTTATTTTCATTCATGTCTCAAAATTATCGCCATGTATTAATTTCATCACAGCTACACACTTCTTGAATCTTTCACTTCATCAACGAGGGTTAACTGGATGAGAATGCCTACATGGCGTTAAGTTCGACTTTGTACAATGTTTTTGTGCAATAAAGAATTATCAATCAATCAAGTGGCATGTAGTATGCATATATTGCACATAAGCCTCAACCTACATAAGCTTCAGTCTCAGTCTATACATATATTATAGATAATAAATATCATACTACTGTTTGTCCGGCGTGGGAATCGAACCCGCGACCATCGCACCAGTCAGGGCCGCTAACTAGTGCAGCACCGAGTCTGTCATTTTTTTTTATATCTTTATTGCATAGTTGCGTGCGCCCCCGGTCCGCAGCAATGCGTTCAAACCGTATAGGGTGTCTTGTGAGTCCGCGCGGGTAGGTACCGCCGTTTGCCTATTTCTGCCGTGAAGCAGTAATGCGTTTCGGTTTAAAGGGTGGGGCAGCCGTCGTACTGTAAACTGAGACCTTAGAACTTATATCTCAAGTTGAAAGGCGGCATCTATGTTATTGATGTGTTGTTTGCAAAACAATTTGAAGCAAAAATAACCAGGGCGAGGACGATTTCGTTTTTAAGATATATTATCAGATTAATGATTAATTACCCAGCTTAATTAAGAAAAAGATGTGGGTGGAGGTTGTGTCTGCGCTGACCGCCCCAAACGACCTTTCCTTGTGATGTGATTTCATACAATTTATATAATAGGATTTTTTTGTAAGATATTTGGAGTTTTGTGAGTGTGGAGTTTCACACTGGGTGCAGGGTGTGCTTTTGGGTGGGAAATTGGGTTTGTTCTGTTGGTGTTTAACCTTAAATTATGTAGCTTTGGGTTATTTATTTGAATATGTTTCCCGTGCATAATTAAAGCTATCAAAAGGCGGTATTAAGCTTAAAGAAAGGATTCTGCATTTTCTTAATTATTTCCCAATAAATTTCGTAATCAATTAACTAGTAAAAAAGTCTGTGATTGTCACAATTTATTTTAAAAACAACCAATTGAGCTTAAGTCATTTAAATACAGCACGATATCGGGTGCCGATTCACAGAACACATTCATGATAATTAAAATAATGTATTACACATAAAAATCGGTTAAGTCAAAAGTTAACCTGTAGTTTTAACGACACGACTAATGATCATAATTGTTCAGTATATCTATTAAATGCTATTAAATTCTGTATTTCTATTCTAAGACTTTCTTCACCGAAGGCTGGTAATACCACTGTCTGGCAATACACGAAACTTCAGCTCTATGTTGTGATGGTATGGTATCAACCAGCGTAGAACACGGAATAGATGAACGAATTAAATGTATTTTGTTTTGTTCGTAGGCGAATGGAGCACTAAAAAAACATTAGATTTGTGGTTGACAAAGTTGCAATAATTTTCAAATTCAACAATAAAAATAAAATTATTCGTTTGAATACACTCTAATGTGCGCATAAAAACTATTAAAAAAGAAACAGAATAAATGAAAAAATCTTTTTTGTTGCTGTCAAACGATTTTACTATCGGCTTAAAAAATGTTCACCGATACTTATTAAGTTTAAAAAAACCTATAATCGTTTCTATATTTTTTTTAATATTAAAACTACTGAACGAAATGGTGCTGTGAATAAATGTAGTAAATTCGAAGCCTAGGTGGTGTAAATTGGAGTGGTGTAATATAAATTAGCTTTAATTGTGATCCACTCAACTAGTTGGTGGTAGAAAGATTAGTACAAGAATACAATAAGAGATGGCGTTGTTTTCAAATTTTAATGTCGTCCACAGATAATACCAGCGCCGCCCATAAAGCCGCCCGTGCCTCCAGTCTTGAATGGCGAAACGAATGGGGATCAAAACGACGATATATCTCATTGAAAATTATTGTATTTAATTTTTATAAAATATATTAAGTAATAGCCGCTTTGTAGAACGAGACTGACTCAAGAAAAAATATCAGAAATAGAGATACACAAAGAATTCTGGGTGTATTAGTAGATAGTAACATATTTCATAAATAGAACGAATAGGAAAGTGATAGATATATATTATCTGTCCTTTTCTCTTCATTGCGTTAATTCAAAGGAAAATGTCGTGAAGTAAGTTTCTCGGTCGTCTCGTTTTATAACTGCGGATAATAAAGTTAAGGTTTTTTTTATTTATAAATACCTATTGTAATTACTGGCAACGATGACGATGAGCGTGTGGCTGTTTGCGAGTGTTCGGAGAGTGATGTTACTTAACAAACGTAAGTGGTAACAGAGTAATGTGGTCGCAGATTCCGGTGCGGGCGCACACAAGGCTAAGGAGGCAAGGCTTTATGTTTCGTTGCACCACACAATTACGTATGTGGAGTGCGTTTGCGAGTACGCCCGCCAGCGGAACATCTGTGTGCTTAGTGCGAGTTATTTAACGTTCTCGATAGCGTAAAAGTTAACTCATATTTGTATGGAGTTGGAATGTTTGGCGTAGAGGCGCTGTTCCAACTGCATACAAATATGAGTTAACTTTTACGCTATCGAGAGCGTGGGTAGGATGCGAAAATCATCGAATATAACAAAATCTTTGCCACTAATTACAATATAACGTTTAAATATGTAACGATTGTATCGTCCTTTATAAAAATATAAATTAATTTAAAAAAGTATAGGTATATTATGTATATAACTTTTCTGGTTTCGTGATATGACAGTGCAGCGTGGGTTCGTTCACGGTTCGTGCATGTCGCGTATGTATACAACATAATGTTTCTTTGAATTAATAAATAAAATCGCATAGAAATCTTCTGGTTTTAAACATTAGTTTTTGTATTTGTAAAAATAAAAAATCATATTTTATTCTACGAATCCTAATCTTGCTCGTTTGAAATTCCTTAAATAACACAAAAAAAAACTAATTAATACAGTTTACGTAACACGCAATGTAAATTTAAATGATCTAAGTTTTGAAAACATGCTCCGCACCTCTTCACACAAAGTCAATGGTAAAGGAAACTGTGGAAGCCGTATAAACTCTGATTTAGAACATTACAATGACGTTAGCGGAAAGCAATATTCCTTGCGAAGTCACGCTATATTAACAGTATTCACATATCGTGAACCCGCAATGTATAGTGAACAAAATTTTCATTCAATCGACCTCTGCTTGAAGCGTTTTGTTTTTGTAATCATTCAGCCTTGCGTGAGCATATGCGCTTGAGAGAAATAAGAGTCGTTTAATTATTAGTGTTTATAAAAACAAAACTTCGATAGTTCACTTTCTGTTATGGCGAATGTTACTATAATATCAATAAAATTGTGCAGCTCGAACGAAGTGAAACTTGCATTGCCCCGACTGCTACTCAGGAAGGGTACATATTAAAATAACTGTACAGAGCGTTCAAAGAAATGTATGTAATGAACGTGAGGTCGTTGAATTTGAGACTGACAAACGAGCTAAAATTGTTAAATTTTAAGTCATCATTCTTTTTTACTATTTTTAATTTAGAATCCAAATAAAACTTTAAATNGCAGCTCGAACGAAGTGAAACTTGCATTGCCCCGACTGCTACTCAGGAAGGGTACATATTAAAATAACTGTACAGAGCGTTCAAAGAAATGTATGTAATGAACGTGAGGTCGTTGAATTTGAGACTGACAAACGAGCTAAAATTGTTAAATTTTAAGTCATCATTCTTTTTTACTATTTTTAATTTAGAATCCAAATAAAACTTTAAATTTTTTTTTATTCACCTAATCAAGCTAATAGCTGATCAATACAGTTAAATGACTTTTCCATGTTTACACATTTCAAGGTAACCTGTGGCAAAATTGTTCTGTCACTGTCATTGCTGAAGGCCATTTAAACTTTGAGTACGATAACAAAGCTAAACGGAAGTTGTTGAAGCTAAGTGATAAGATGTGCTATACGTGTAGGTGAAATCGGTCGCCTTTAATTTGGTAGTAATAAGTTTGTTCATCGTTCGCTAGCGTCAAACGCGTCAACACTCTATGACCTATCTTTTTCCACTCCTCCATTTTTAATAAATATAAAATCGTATGTATATGTTCATTATTTAATAAGGATTTATACAAAATGGCTATAGATATCAAAAATAATGTAAATCTTGTATGTAATCTAATCATTTATTTTTAATTAAAAGTAATTTATGTGGGTTTTTGTTTTCTTTCATTATACCTTTTCATGATACTTTATGTGTACTGCAAGTGTACTCTATCAAGACATGTTAACTAGTGTCAGATTTTATATTATAGTGCTGACTGCAATTCGTAAGTTTAAAAAAGCTATTTTTAAACGAAGCCAAGATTGTCGTTAGTGTCATAGATTATACACTTAATTGGTTAGTGTTATCTGGCGAATTTTGTCGCAAGAAGTTTATTCTTTCCTGTAATGGACGAAATTAGTTAATTTTGATACATACAGTGTGTAGAAGCAATTTGTTTACATTTTTCGGCTGTGGTGAACAGCTTTTAAACGCAATGTGTTAAATCAGCCTTTCCCAAAGTGGGCGATAACGCCCCCTTGTGGGCGCTACAGGCCTAAAGGGGGCGGTAAGAGACCCAGAAAAAAAACGGAGGCGTTGTGTCGAAGCTTGGGAGGCGATTTGTAATTTCATCTAGGAGGACTCTTAGACACCGACTGAGCTCTCGCTATAGTGTTTTACTTTTGTGGTAAGTAGGTGAAAAAATGGGGGCGCTAAAAAATAATTTATTCTCAAAGTGGGCAGTAGACAAAATAAGTTTGGGAGCCCCTGTGTTAGATGGTGGAGACCGCGTGGTGAACGAAATATTTATGGCGGGAACTCTTATTCATACCTATTCGTTTGCACTCGCCGTGTATCGAAATGAGATATACCAAAGAAAAGTTATAACGAAAAAAAACAAGCATCGTACTACATATGTATGTTCTTTAAAAAGACTTCGATTTTAAAACAATAATACGCAACTGAATGGCAGTTTTTAATTGGCTGGCAAACAGCATTATTGGTAAAATCCTCATATTTATGGCCAAAATAAACGACCGTTAAAACATAAAATTGAATATTAATTAATTTCCTTCAATTTATTCTCGTTTCAATATATGCCATAAATTAAATCGATACCCGCAAAATCTTCATAACAAAGCAGCGATCGGAGTTGATTTTATCTTCTTTTCTTGCGACAATTTTGACCGCCCACTATCCGAATCTGAAATTAACCTACCTTCAAAGTATTTAAGGCATAGCGTCTTATAACGTTTTTTCTTTTTCAAAGAAGGTCTGGATGTCTGAACAAATTATACAAAGTCTAAGCTGTGCCCTTGGCTAATCATTAATGCATAGTTAATATAGTTACATAACAATAATGTTAACCCACAGACACAGCCCACTGAGTTTCTCGCCGGATCTTCTCAGTGGGTCGCCTTTTCGATCCGGTGGTAGATTCTGCGAAGCACTGCTCTTGCTAGGGCCAGTGTTAACAACATCTGTTTGAGCCCCGAGAGCTCACCTACACGCTAGGGTAACGCTGATATAGCCTCTCAGGGCTATCAGTATAGGTAGGAGAAAAAATCAATAATGTCCATGACCAACTGTTACCATTCCATAGATAACACAGATATTTACCACTCAGAAAAAGCGATCGTATCGAGCCAATGAGCGTGCGCACTTCCTTGGTTGGTCGTAACAAGGTCACGTGACTACAAGCGTAGATGTGACTATGCTTTAAGACTACACAGACTACCGCCTAAATAAATTACATTGAAAAAAAGCATTGATAGAGACTAAATTCGTAGCAGTTTCAATATCGAAATGAAGCCTGTTCAACTTAAAGAATGCAAGGCACACGGGGAACGAGTCTCAGTAAAGCCCTTCTGGTGATTTTTTTTAAAGAAGCATTAAAGAAAGCATTAATGAAAGTGTAGATATCTGGGAAAACAAAAAAAATCGCTGGGAGTGACCTTTCGGGTTCTTCTAAAAAGTCCATTGGACTCTCAGTAACAAGTCATCATTTAACTGAGAAGCTGGTACAATCTTGCCTACTTCGGCTGTGAATAAGTGATGCATTCCAGCTATATGGGTATGATAGTCAATATACCATACAATTATGACTAAGAGCTCACGAATCAAGATGAGTTCACGCTATGGTGTCTATGAGTTCAGGTAATTATTTAACACTACGTGGATGGTGAAATCGTTCTCCCATCTAGTATTTAGATAAACCACTCATAATTGAAAAATATTGAAGAATGTGCCAATATTGCTGAAGTCCCAACGATGGTCACATTTAAGTAACATTACAGCAGTGGCCGCGCACCGCAAGTGCTGTTTTTTTTTCAAACATTTTACATGCGCAAATTGAGTATATGTATATATATTGAGTACTTACTTAACAAAGTTTAACAGTTCGATACCTAACCTTTTTATAGAACTGAGGGATTACTGTTTCACCAGTGATACACAATCTATCAATTTAATATGTGCCATATTAAATACATACCATATTCCCGTACAAATATTTATATTTTTCCTACCTATGCTGATAGCCTTGAGAGACTATTTCAGCCTAACCTTAACTAGTGGGTGATCTCTCGGGGCTCAAGCCTGACGACGTTGCTAACACGAATCCTAGCAAGAGCTGTGCTTCGCAGAATCTACCACCAGATCGGAAACGCGACCCACTGAGAAGATCCAGCGAGAAACTCAGTGTGCTGTGTCTGTGGGTTAATTTACTCGTCGAGCCCTTAGTCGCAAGCGACGGGTTCGATGAGAGCGGTGACCGGTGTTTGAGGTACCTAAAAGCACCGTTAGTGATTGGAGGATCCGAAATGACGTGTTTTTTCTCGTGTCGTGCCGCTTTGTCGAAATAGCGCATTGATGCTGACTGTAGATACTTACTAATGGACTCTAGGTCCAGGTCATCATGCAAGTCGATGTTTATGGCGATCCACGGGGCTCCGACAGCTATCCTGCAAAAAGGGGATTGAATTACTTGAAGTGGCTTTAAGTTTGTGCGGGCCGCGTGAGCGAACACTACACTTGCATAGGTCATGACGTGGCGTATGATTAGAATGGTGTAATTATTCTAAGTCACCTTATTTCTAAGGGACAATTTACTTCGTATATAGTCGTAAAAATATGTCGTCTATGGATATATAAATACTTATTAAGTGTATTTATTATCTATGGATATATAGTTAATAATTGGTTTTTGTGAAAAATTTTACATAATAGTATGAAGTGAAATGAAATGAAGTTGATTAATTTGGAACATTAATCAATTGGCATGAAATGAAATAAATTGAGTGAGATGATGTAGGATGAAATATAATCTCAATAAAATGGTGGTTTTTTTAAGGAGACGTTTTCAGTAGACTTTTTGGAGGATCCCGGGAAGCCACGTCGAACGGATTTGTTTCATTTTCCCACATTTGTGCACTTTCACACAGATATTAAACAGTTCATAAACCACTGTTTAAACCCGAAGATCGCGTTCCCGCCAAAAAGTCCTTAAGTCCTTATTTTGTTTGAGGGAGTACGTCTATTGAACAGGTAAAGGGACCGTAGTCCATAAAGCCCATTATTTGTAAAAAAGACCGTAACTGATTTCCGTTATTTATGGAGATAAAAAAGGGAGGAATTTATTTTTCTTTTCTTCTTTTTCTCCACCTTATCCCACTAGGTGGGCTCGCCACTTATTTTTTCTCTTCCATTCTCTTCTATCAGCCGTCATCTCAATACTAACTCCTCTCTCTCTCTCTCTCTCTCTCTCTCATATCGTCATTTACACACTCCATCCTTCTTCTTCGGTCGACCTCTTCCCCTCTAACATCCACTACCATATTCATACATCTCCTAGTCACACGCATCTTCTCTCTGCGCATCAGATGTCCATACCACGCTTTTTAAGGAATTTATTGAGATAAAAAATTACTAACGTATTTTACTTTCGACAAAAATGCCCTTTCTTTAAATATTCAAACTTCAATTTATAAAAAAAATTAGAATATACTAACAGGCTTTAAAGTAAGCCTGCTAAAATGAATAAGCGAATGCTATACATTCCATTTATGCGGTAAATCAAGACAGTTTTCTTGATGCTGCAGATGCACACAGCACGGTAAGTCGACTATAGGTATGCTTTGGATTACGAGACTGGCTGGAGATGATTTGAGTATGAAAGAAGATTCATTCGCGAATCAGCTGCTCTTGAGTTGTTAAGTCTCCTTTGGAGGGGCTCAAGCAGCTGTTAGCAAATCCCAACCCTCCGGACTGAGCCTATGCTCGCCCACCTGTTCTGGTAAAACTGGAAAGGCCGTCGGGCCATCAGTAATGCTTTCTTCCTAAAAAAAGTATAAAAGGTTGAAGTTTAACAACACAGCAATTTATACCTTGAACAGTCAAATTTAAAATAAACAATTTATTTAAAATCAGATTTTGATCATTACATAGAAAATGCAACACGGTCGCTCTGCCATTTAAGACAACAACATTTTCAAATAAGCCCTTTTTTTCTTCTCCTGAGTCGGCATCTTCATTTCTGAATGTAATGTCCGGTTTGGTCACTGTTCTCTCATAACCCGATGTACAACTTCTCTCGACGCATCGTCAGCTGTCCTAAGTGCTTCAAGTATAAGCATGCCGGTAAGTAACGCGATCAGTTTTTACCAACGCGTAAATAATCGACCACGTGGTCTTTTCCTGTCGACATGACCTTCTACAATCAGCTTTTCGAGGTTGTCAGGATTTCTATGAGCAGTGTGTCAAAAATAGTTAAGCATGAGCGTGTAACAAATTGTAGAGAGTCTGTTATGAGAACACTTTGACTTTGAGGAACACTTTGAGAAAATCTTTTTGTTAAAGTACCACGACAAAAATCGTGAAGAAAAACTTTGTATGGAAGTTGATCGACGACGCCGCGCCGATTGCAATTTGACCTGCACCGGGCAATGACACTTCACGCTGACAGTATTTTTTAGAAATCGAAATCGATTATGTTTCTGGATCGATAATGATCTATGTTAAGCATTGATTATTCTACGTTATCTACGGAATTCAACACAGCTGTCAATGACATTTCGACGTTTGAAACGTATCTTTACGAAATGCGATTTGCATTGCATATCATATAAATAACATTTTAATTAAATTCCGTTGTAAATAATTAATTTGTATTCGATCGAGGTAATGATTTCGGAGATCTGAAAAATGGCGTTTAATTGAAGCGTCATTCAGTTTGTGCAATTATTATTGACAAAAAAGAATGGCCTCAACTTTGAATTTAGACGAAAAATTCAATCGAGGTGCGTGCGTCATATTTTTAATGTGACCTAATTGAAAAATGCACGAAAAGTATTGTGTTATAAATTATATAATTATTATGTTACAGTGCGTAGAAACTTTTGTTTTTATTTGGATATTGACGACCATGGAATAGCACGAATATTGTCTCGACGAATTCAAGACATGGGGCTGGTAAGTTAATTTAATAACATGATATTTTTACCGCCAAAAATGAACCTATTTACTGTTATAATATGCAAGTAAGTAAACATGTAAAGACATTTTTGGTTATATAGACATTGAAATAAGGCTAATTTATGAGCGCTTCTTCCTTAAAACAATCTGCTTAATTCAACTAATATTCAATTTGGTCACGTTATCTTAAAATAATGATTCCGGTTTACGTAAACTCTAAAGACGTCGTCAAGTAAACTAAGTTAAGTACTAAGGCTACGTAATTTATGAAATGTTTTGTTTCATAAATTTACAAAGAAATGCAAATGCTTAAAATATTATTAAGAAATTAAATTAATTCATCAAAACAAAATTTAAGTTTTAAAAAAATGGGACGGTTGTAGAAAGTTTGCCTGCTCTAGTGCGAAACGGAATGTATCTTTTCCGAACCAATGGGTAGCTAGCAATATTCCCCCTCCAATATTAGCGCTATTGCAGCGCCTCCAGTGATCAAAACAAAAACTATTGTGAAATATCTCCATCTTGTATGACAGATTTGTGTTTGTTGTTACTTTTCCGATTTTATTTAGTTAATATGTTTAAATTCAGTTTAAAAACATTATGAAAGATGTAAAACTTATTGTCCAACATATTTACAAACAAAAACGTATTTTAAATTATGAACAATAGCAGTGAGACTCAATTCTATCAGTGACGAAGTGGTCGACTCAGTGACTGGTATATAGTTACTTATTTTTGTGATAAGCGGAGCGCGGGGGCCTCGCGGACTGCTTTTATGTAAGTATATACATCTTGTTTTGCCCATACGTGTGCCCGGACAGCGCGTTTGAGTCATAATCAGCCTAAAAACTATTAAAAAGTGACATAGTGGCGAGTCTAGCTAGTAGTTAACATTCAATTTCAGGTCATCTTTTGTAGGGTCGCGGCCGAGTCGCCGCCGTCGCGTGAAATGCAGCCGGCCGAGGCCGCGCCATACTCTCTTTCGCGCTGCGCTGCACTACATTCAATAAAAATGCCGTTTCAATTGTAGGTTCTTGAGCCAAGCGTGTGACCGCTTAATTTTTGACAGTTGTTATTGCGTACCGCATACACCGAGAATTGACTTTTATGTTAAAATGTTAAGGGTCAATTTCGTATGCACGGTGATTGTGTGTTATTTTTTTGCGCGGGACGGTTGGCGCGAGTCGCGTCGACTCGGTCCGTGAGCCGTATTTCAAGGAAGCCTCCATAACGTGTGTGGAGGCTCCGAGCGGCGTCGATATCTCACCGCGCCCGGCGCCCGCCTGCACTCCCCGTTACAATGTGTCAATCGCGATGTTCGCGCGAACTACGCGTTCCGAGAATGCTCATCACTATGTCCGTGTGTTGTTCGATTGCAACACACAGCACGTATTAGGTCAGGCCACTGCACTCGACACTTTCGTAATTAAATCAAACGACATAATACTCGAATAGTAAATAAAGAAATTCCAATTTGCATAATGTAACTCTTAAATAGAAAATATGTCAAAATTGACGTTTCGATTGTTTACAAACAATACGAATCTTTTGACTTTTTTGTGAATTAATAATTGGTAAAAATCTGGCTTACTTGTTGGCAACACCAATCAGTGATCACAATTCGAAATTATAATGAATTTTTCTCTTTTTTATTATAAACACCCTTCTTCTTTTATTTTGAATACTGTAGATCCTTCATTCATTATTTTTAAATCCAATCCCATATAAGTTATAACAAAAGTGAAACAAACTGAAATGAATGCTGAGTGAAAACAAATTGGTAAAGGGGGTACATATGAATAACTAATTACCTGCATTTAAAAAAAAAGTGTTAATAGTAAAACATTATTATTATTTAAAATTGTATTTTATGAAATCAAATATCTGAACATACTTATTTCTGCTGGTTGTCTTAAAAACTGTTTGAATGCAACTGCTTTCCTGAGTAATGTAAGTTCAACAAATTGCGATATCTGAGCAATTCATATGAACAATGTGGCTGTAATTTATGACGTTGTGCAATCATAGCATAATATGAACCTACACGTGAAGATACCATTCAGTTTTTTTCTGCCATGATCTAGTCATACTTAGGGTTTTAAAGGGTTGCATAGCCAAATTAATGGTTGCAATTTATTGAAACAGTCTTTAATGGTATGGAGATTCAAAAACTGTCATTGTTGTGAAAATAAAAAAAAATACTCATTAGTGAAGTGTCATTGTGTTGTTCTAGTGAGAACAATGCTGCCTGTCTATGATGAATCTGTATCTTGAGTTCATGAATGACTCAAAATAAAAAGATAGTATTGTCTCGTATTTTTTTTTCATTATTCATAGTGTTTTTCACAATCTCCAATTATGTCAAAAAATACCAGGTGTGCTCTTGAACCAGCTATATCTCAGTACTATCTCTATATATCAGTACTATATCACTCAAAAATGCATCTTAATGAATATGAATCTATGTGTAAAACAGATATACAGTACTACAGACCATTGTATCTCTGTATATGGTAACTCCAGAGATCTGATAAATGTTTATTTGAACAGCAACAGGAGTGCTACCTGTCATCTCGTGTGAGCCACGTCGTGAGATCGCGATGTCCTGAGCGTCGTGCCGATGCCATGCTGCAGCGGGCGGTTGCGCCCCACCGCCCCTACGTGCTGCTCACCGTGCACAAGGTATCAATATCAAACAATTTTCTCACTTGTTACTCTTGAAGATTTTTGTACCTTCCACCTTGCTCATTTTCCAAATAGAAATTTAAAAGATGCTACTTTTTAATCTATAAATCATCTTCTGTCAATGGAGTGGAATCAAAAAGTAACTATATTTGCTCAAGCACATCAACTAATTTGGGATGTAGTAATATGTACAGATTTTTGTTGCAGTAGTTAGTTCAGCTTTGATAGTTTTACAATTTACTAAATATATCATATCTCATAATGTAATGATAATTGTGTACCATCTGTATTCACGATAATACTAACATATTATTTGCTAGTGATAAAAAAATAAGAAAATGGTTACTTTGTTGAAATATGCTTAAATTTATATTGCAATTTGTTTATGTATTGGAACTTAACAATAATGAACTGTATAGTTTTTATTTATTAAATCACATGAAATAAGTTCACTATTGAAAATGATGGTGATGCTCATGGGTGGATAATTATATTTTCATAAGTAAATGATTATTATTAATGATTCAGCTCTAAAAAAAGATTATAAGGTTGCATATTAGAAAAAAAGCTGATGTGGTCAATAAAGTTTTTTTTCTACTCAATGTCAGTTTTCGTGTATGCAAAATGCAAAGCTTCAAATTCTAATATATTAAAAGTTTGTTTACATAATAATCAATTCCCACAAATGAGTACCAACTTTAGTAATAAAATGGGTACTAATGGTAACACATTTTCAAGAACTACTTCCACAATGAACATTGTGTAATGAGTAGTAATTTCTGGTAAAGCATTTTAAGAGCCTAAACAGGTAGGTAATTCACCACCGTACTCATTTTTGTTGCGAAATACCAATGTCTTCTGTTTTAAAGTGTGGGATTGTCCTTACATAGTGTATAATTAAAACTCACACCTAATGTTTCATGGTTGGTGATTATAATAACATACCCATAAAAATCTAGAGACCCCTTAAGCCTAAGTGAACTGTGAGCTCTTTCTCTAATCTTGATTATAAATAAACAGTAAAAATATATAAAAAAATAAAAAATAGACCAACAGAACATCTTTAAAATAAGGAATGTACATTTAAAGGGAAAATCTCTGTATGTTGTAGTCATTGGGTTGGCAACTACACAATAAGTTTGTTACCTGTAGTTTACAACTATAGTAATAAATAGCCACCATTCACGCTTGGTGGAGGATGGCTATATAATAAAATGTGATGATAATCCATATCTATCTATCTAGAGAAATCAATGAGTTCATCTTTAGGGAAGCCTTTTATTTAGAACACTTGATTTTATACAAATAATGGTTAGTAATAGAAAATGTATGAAAATTACAATTAATCACCGGTAGTCCTTGTAATCAAGTTTTAAAACTGTGAAAATATTGTCATAAGAAGATAATTAATAATAATAAAGAAGTGCACGCAGGTGCTATTAATTTTTTTTTTTATAAAAATGGTGCTACACCAAGCATTTTGTATGCAAATTATATCATTCAGAAGTCAAAACAGTAAAATCCTGATATGGAAACTGAGAAACCTGATCTGTGCACTTAGCCTTAATTGTCAGTCAAAGATTAAAATCATGCAATAACTCAAAATGTTGTTTGTTTTATATAATTTAAAACATTATAATATCAACCCAAAAAAAATGTTAATCATGTAAAAATTTAATAACTTCATGTTTTGATAACTCCGCATAAAATTTTATAAATGTAGGTAACTGATGTATTGACACATTCTAATATAATATCTTGTAGTTTCAAGTTGTTTCTTTGTGACATTTTTTAATTTATTTCTACATTTAGGAAAGGTTACAATTTTAAAAAACAAAACTGTCCTATATAGAGATCGAAACTGCTTCAGGTATGCAAATATGATAAAAAAACTAAAGGCAATGATTGAAAGGCATTTTTTTTTTTTCCAAATATAATCAATTTGAAATTTTAATTTCAACTTGTGGGAGCATGGTAGCCTCTTTGATATTTTTTATTATATTTCACCTTTCACTATCAATTAATTTGGGTTACTTTAATGCTTTTTATTCATATTTATTCTCACAGCTATTTATTAAACTTTCAGGCTGTAAATCTATTGGATAAGCTATATGACACGTTCTTCTCTACGCAGCGTAAAGCGCATGACAAGCACTACCCTAAACATTTTATCAAGATTGAATTTTTGGACAAGTATGGAATGTTTCTAAGAAAAAATCCTCTTGTACTTTCTGTTCAAAGGTAACTATTTTTATTTGATTGCATGAATTTTTTCTATTTCCAGACTGTGGCGGCCCGTTTTCAAGGAATTCTATGTATGGCCCGAGATATCCATAGAACCTGATCCGCCTAGAGAGAAAAAGGAGAAGACAGAGTCCTTAAAACTAAACAATCTTAAACAAAGCACAAACACAACAGGTCAGAAGTAAGTAATTTACAACCGAATCTACCTTATTTTAGGGCATGTCCACTAAAAGAAGCTAATAGTTATCTATTGATTTTAGAATGACCAGAAAAAATAAACCTAAAATTAAAGAGAAGGAAGACAAAGAGCCAAAAGGAGGCTACTGTGAAATGTGTAATGCAGACTATGCTGATGCTGCCTTACATAGACGATCCCCACATCATTTAGCATTTGTCAGAGACCACACCAACTTTTTAGCACTGGACTCTTTAATCAGCTCTGGTGCAGATGTCACAACATTCCTTGATAAAGCTACACCTATAAATGGAGAAAGAAGATCACTAAGAAAGATGTGTAATGGTGATATTGAACTTCCAAAACGGCGATCCAAGAGGTCCCAATCACCAGATTCCACCATGAATGGAAGTCAAAGTCCTAAAAGGAATGGGGGTCTAGACGATGAGAAAAAGCATAACACTAGATGCAGCAAGCGTACTGAAACACAAGAAGACAGACACTACTATAAGGTAGTGAGCACTAAACTTAGATCTAGTGGTGGATTTCAAACCAAACGCAAGGACTCTCCTCCAGCTTGTAACGGCACTAAACCATTAGTAGTTAAGTTCAGAAAAGTAAGACGATCAGAGCTCTCGGTTCTGAGTGATGAAGCAGAACAGTTTATGTTCCCAAAACGCGCGAGTTCCACAAGTTCTACTTCATCAGATGATGAAAAGGACCTCGGGTTAAGGTCAAAAAGCACACCTCAACCCCCACCGATATCTATAGAAAGACGGAGATTAGCTAGACCTGTGGCACTCAAGGAAGAATCTTCAGAGGAAGACAGCTGGCCTGAAGATAAGCGACGACGGAAACGACGTACACCAGTTGTAGTGAAACGAGCTCGCAGATCACTAACTAAACCTGTGGAAACTGTTGTGCAGCAGCCAGTACCTGAAGCTGTTAAAGACTTAACTCCACAACCAGACCCTGATACCAACCCCCTAAGAGAAGAACCCACCGAGAAATGTATGAAGTGGGAAGATGGCAAGCTGAAATATACACCAGCTGTCGAACAACTTGAATTTGCCTTTGAGTCGGTTCCACGAAGTGAACCTTGGTATGAGACTTTCAAAAGACAAGACCAGGACAAAGTAATCGCTAGGAATGTATCACAATATTTTTGTAAGTATTCCTGTATGAAATTTTACTTCATTTTGAATTGATATATTATGTATTAAATTAATTTCAAATAATTTTTCAGCCATTTTCTCGAAGTCACCAGTGTTACCATATGAAATGGGTCAGTTGCCACCTTTAAAGCCAAACTGTTGTCCTTTGAGCGATCTAACGAAACGGGAAGACAAACCTGGGCCGTCAAGGTCGTATGGCACGCGTGGCATGAAAAAACAAAAAGTAAGGAAACGAACAGCAGCAGTTCTCGCACTAGAGTCACACCCGCGAAAGTCGCCGCGAGAACACGCCTCCACCCTCGCCATCCTAGGGTCCGCCGGCCTTCTACAACGTCGCAAACAACACGACGACGCCAAGTCTACCGCCTCTGAAGACACCCTCAGCGATGCACCTCTCAAGCTTGAGCCGCCTCCTTCAGAGCTGCATCAGGCATCAGAGCGTCTGCAGCGGTTTTTCTCTGAACTGTTCGAAGACACTGCCGAACTCGAAGTCGCGGACGACATGACCGAAGGACACGCCACCTTCAATACTCTCGCCACCGCCACCAACGCTCCCGATGTCTCCAGCCTCATGTCTGAGTGTGAGCGCTGTGATCTCATCCGGAATGAAATCAAAGAGGTTGTAGGACGACCGCGTGGAAAACGGGGCAAATTCAAAAAGAAGAATCGGACGGGCTGGCCGAACAAGAGAAAACAGAAAAAAGAATCTCGAGGCGACAGCATTGAGTCCGAGAAAGCTGAGAGCGTAGAGAGATCCTCGGCCGAGCCGCCCGACGATGACACCGCACGAGATATTGTCAGCGAGGAGGACGCCGAACCTTCAGAGCTCGAAAACGAAGATCCGCCCGACACGACCACGCACACTACACAGGATCGAACATCAATCGACTCCCAAGAAACAAAAACAAATGTCGACCTAAAATTAACTCCATACAAAAGCGAGAGCAAAAGAGACTCCGATTCGGAGAAAGATGACAACAAGAGCGTGTCGGAAGATGAGAAAGAGCTGAAAAAGAAGAAGCGTGCATTGCAGGGTCTATGTGAATGGTTGCAGCCTGTAGTGCGTGTTGCACGGGTGGAGACGCGCACTTTGCGCTCTGCCGCACGGCCTGCTTCGCGAACCAGACCGCTGCGGTAGCATCCCCGCCACTAAACAATAATAATGTTCCTTCTCTTCACACCAAGTGTTGCGGTTTTATTAAGTGATTCGGTGAGTGCCTTTTGAAGTTGTGGAAAAGACTCGAAATATTGTTCAAGAACCGCTCACAGCATCAGTGTATGTACACTTATATACTTTAATCACTGCAGTCTCCTGATCTCGCTAGACTCTGCATGAAATGAACTACAGTTGACTTAGAATGATGTGTGAACGTGAATAAGTTTATTTATTTCTTCTGTAAATATGATTTAGTTATAATGTTTGCATGGACCCTTAATAGGTGACTTAATTTTGGAGTTGATAATTATTAAAGGAGCTGTGCAGTATTTTGTTTAATTTTAATCTTTTTCAATAACTTTGATTGTTTTTCAGACGCTTTTTATAATTAAATATAGTATATTATGTTAACTAAAGAAAATGCTATTAACAAATTTTGTAATAAAGAATCTTTAAGCTCTGAAAAACTCATTTGTTGTTAGTCTTTTTTTGTTAGTCAAATTATTATAGATCTGTTTTGAACAGGTTATTTTGTTGAGCTCTGTGAGGAATGAAAATTAAAGTGGCTGGAAATGATCGTGTTCAACAAAAGACGCTCGTTTCGAGGCTTGGAACTTCGAATTTACTTTGTACATAGCACTGTAATTTATGTAAGATGTTAATGTATGCATGTGTAAAAATGTACATTGTGATCAAACTGTATACATTTTAAGTGGTGGTAATTAATATGTTGCCAAACCAAAAAATAATCAATTCAATTTCATTTATTGTACTTTTTTTGTGACAAATTTAATATACACAGAAAAAATGTGACTAGCATTTGAAATGAAATATAATTGTGAACTCATGAAGTGGGTGAGACGCGAAACTTGAGTGTGGACATGAACTTGATACGATACAATCTGTGACTACCATTGGCATTGTTAATGTCTGTAAACAACTTTTACCTTTCTCGATTGCAGCCTTTATACAGTCTTGCATTCTGTGGCAATTACGAGAAAAGCAATAGTTCCTGTATTTTTATAAGGGTTGCTGTAATTCTGATATATATTGAAGTTTCAAGAAGTACAACTCTATAATTTTTTTTTGCTGTTCCATAATGTTCAAGTTTCGTATCCACTACCGCTACCCAGTGTGTAACCGTAGTGTACAAAAGTAACAATGTATGCTTAGAAGTTTTTTCTTTTATAAATGATTGAGTTGATGGAGATGGGAAAGAGATGCAGGGGGAACCAAAGTATTATTTGTGTACTAGTTGTTTCATTGTTTACTGTTAGTATAATTCAAAATATAGTACATTCCAGAATTTTATTGAACTGCTGTTATAGTGCAATACCGTAGTAGATTTTAACATTGTACATAACCTTTCAACTCTTGACGTCCAATGGAAAACGTAGTGATGTAATGAAACACCTACCAAGAATAATCTTGTGTAACTAACCTAAATACAAATATATTACCGTTTTGAATAAGTAGTTTATCAATAAAACCAGATGTGACTTTTCTTCTTGGACAAAATAATAGATTTCAAATACTTGATGTAAAAATTTCTGAAACTTTTTAAAGATTACTTTCTCAAATCTGTAGTATCTCAATGTTGCCTGTATAATTAAACTGAATGAACCATCAGAATTTCCGTAAATATAAAAATTTAAGATCTGATTCACTTTTCAGTAGTGCGTGTAAGTGTTGTGTTTTATTATTAAAAAAGTGATAATCCACCGATTGTGTTGACCCCTGTCTCCTGATATTCCAAATAAAGTTGTATAAAATATGATAAGGCCCTCTGTTTTATTGAATTATTCTAACGTGAGATCACCAATAATATAATATAATATTACTGATGAGGTTTTTTTTTTGACAACGCCACTTGTCATGTCTTTAAAGTGGTTAGTTGCCTTCAATAGTATTATTATTCGCCAATAGATGTCGGGAAGAGTTGATTATTGAAAACACGAATATAACCACATTTTCTGAAAATAAATCGTACCTAGATTGATTTATCGCCCCCGAAATCCCCTGTATACTAAATTTTATGAAGATTGAGCCGTTGAAGAAGTTGTTATATATATTAATATACAAGAATTGCTCGCTTATAGGTATAAGATAATATTAAATAATAATTATTATATATAATATATGGATAAAAATAGGAACAGCGATTTAGTACTAGAGATAAAATATTTATTTTTATTGGATGATTCTATTCTATTCTATGATATTATTTTATATTCCTGTTAAAGGTACAAAAAAACCCATAAGACTAGAAAAGGTATACCCTAAACCCTGAACTATTTAATGAAATATTATCAGACAATGACTTTTAACTTCATTCAAAAAACATCGCTTTAAAAAAAAGTGATTTCAAAATCATGACTTCATTTTTGGGAAAATAGTTTTCCTCCAAGTGAAGCTAAACACCAATCACAACAAATGATGCCATATTTCAGTATTTCTGTGTTATGCTACAATCTATGATCAGTTAAGTGGAACACCACTGCTCATCTACTCTGCAGGGCACAGAATCTATATGAAATTGTCATTTATAAGATAGTATAAAACTAATTAAGATTTGGTATTTTAATGAAAATTTTGTCTTTCAAGAGTACTAGCATGCTTAAGTTTATTGTTTGAGTGACTTCCTGAGTTCACCTGGCTTTTCTGGAAAAACAGGATCACTGCTCCAGGCATGTTAGCAATTGCCAATATTCTGGCAAGAGGAAGGCAATGTTATCAAGTATGCACTGCTGTCCTTCATGTCATGTCACATCATAATCACCCAACATCTTTCTTCAAACAAGGTTTGAAATAAGTTCTTATTTAGTAGCTTTATGTGTGTCATTGTCAAAATCCATTAGTAATGGTAACCACTTACCATCATATAGGACATAGCCCACCTTGAAATACAAAATACACCAGCAGTTTTGAAAATCAATAAAAATTTATGACAAATAATAGTACAGATTTAAGACATTTTCGCTTTTAAAAAAAAGGGACTCTCGAGTCAAATGCTTATTTAGCATGAATTATGAATGAAATAAAATGTGATCTATTTACTATTTTATTATCAGATAATGTACCACCAGATCAAATGAAATACAAATGATCTATTCTAACAGGCATATAATTAAAAACAAAACTTACACTTTTTACACAATGGTCTGAAGTGCACTGATAACGTTTGTGTAAAATTAAAACAAAAGTTGTCTAATCACTAAACAATACTTTTAGGCCAGTTGTAAATTAAGAAAATGCAATTTTGTGTTTAATTTGTTATCGTTTCAAAAATACAACTGGTCCAAAATTATGAAGTTTATATTTTTTTATTATTCATAAATATCTTCCTTGTCAGCAATGTATTGGACAATGTCTTTTGGTCTAACCAGTCTCTCTGCATCACCATCCGGTATCTCAAATCCAAATTCATCTTCCATTGCCATTATGACCTCAACATGGTCCAGTGAGTCAAGACCCAGATCATTCATGAAGTGGCTATCTACAGTCAACTGAAAAATAAGAGAAAAATTATTTTATATTTCTTTATCTTAGAATAAAACTTTATGTCCCACCAGTTTTGCACTGACTGTAATAAAATTTCCACAATCTAACCTGTTCAGGGTTAATTTTGTCATAAAGTTGAAGTACAAGCAGTACTCTACTTTTTATAAGGTCTAAGGTGAGGGGAGGGCCACCGCTGTACTTGCGGATACCATGTTTCTCGTTCTGAAACAAAATATTTCTAAATGAATATTATGTACCTGACTAGCACTGAGTTTGTCGTAAGCCTTGCACACTTTCAGGACTCGCTCCTCGATTTCCTGAACCGAAAGCTTAGACTGCACGCCTGTCGAGTACCGATGTGATTGTGGTACCTAAACAGTTCGAGTTATCACTGTAATTTTGTTATGCAATAATAATTGAGGTTATATTGATTTTGTTTAAAACAGACTCAAGAAATTTATAATAATGTAATGTTAAGGAAATATTTCATTGTAATATAATGATATGGCCCAAAATGCATTTTATTATATCAGTAGATAAGAGTCTTACCCCATTCTGAAGGGCCTGACTTTTGTATATTTTGACAGCGGCTTTAATTGTGCTGAACTTTTGCTGCAACGCAACGGTCGAAAGACGACATGTTACGGACGTTCTATACGTTGTTGATCTCCGCAATAGACCACCGAAAGCACTTCGGAAAATATTCGCAGCAGCCATTTCTTCAAGCTCACGAAATGCTTTATTTTCTTTCAGCAATTCTCTCTCATCGAATCCGCAAGCCTGGGTTGCCAAAACCTTTAATACAACTGCAATCGATAAACTGTGTCAGCTGTCACGTATAGGTACATAAAGAGCCAAAACATTTAGCTCAGACAGGTATTTATTTTTTTCAAAACAGAGTTAATTTAATTTATTGAAGTCGTCTTGGCCTAAGGTATAAGATGCCCGCGATGCATTCAAATGCCGCAGGTAGGTACCAGTTTTTCCAACGAAATATTTACTAAACAATTAATTATTTACGATTGACTTCTACGGTGAAGGAATAACATCGTGTAATAAGAATCAAACCCGCATTTATAATTTGCGTAATTACTGGTGGTAGGACGCCTTGTGAGTCCTCACGGGTTGATACCACCATCCTACCTCTTTCTGCCATTAAGCAGTAGATGTCATGATCAATCGATTCCGACCGAAAAATGGATTTGTCCTACTATCCCTACTATATAGGATGTCCCTACTATATAGGTATATGTAAAGGCGTTAGAACCAGCTAGGTACATATATTAATCAATTCATTCAACTAATTTAAAACAATGAAAGACAATAAATGGATCCACATTACTTGGTGTTTGATGCTCAAAAACCTAAAAGAAATTTCGAACTTATTATGAAGACTGCTACTAAACTTTACATTTTCTTAAATTTTATCGATAATTTCATAAAATAATGTAATATATTTGATGCCATTTTTGATTACTGTTGATGGCTAGTTAATGTATTGATGACAAAATGAACGTGTAGATTCTAACTTAGTTCATAGATAAGTCATTGAATATATAAGTCATAGATCTAAGTAAATACTCTGTGCCAAAAGTGACGTTTTTTAATTTATTGTTTTGTGTGAACGTATGTTGATATGAAGTTATTGTTTTCAAATTAAATAATAAAAGACAAGATGGGTAATGCTGACACAAAATTAAACTTTCGAAAGGCGGTTGTCCAGTTAACTTCAAAGTCGCAGGTAATTGAGCACCAATTCGAAGAAAAATAATGAAATAAAAATCAGTCTAGTTTCATCGATTTATGTATTTTGCAGCCTATTGATGCGTTGGACGATAGCTTCTGGGATCAGTTCTGGTCAGAGAGCGTAACCAACGTACAAGATGTGTTCGCATTGGTTCCCGGTGCGGAGATACGTGCCTTGCGCGAGGAATCTCCTAATAATTTAGCAACGCTGGTTTACAAGGCTGTGGAAAAACTCGTCAAGGTCGTGGACAGCAGCTGTAGGACGCAAAGAGAACAGCTGATCGGTGAGAAATTTACTGAACAACTTTTTTGCCCAAAAAAGTATCACAATTGTTTCGTCCACTCTCAGGTCTAGATCATCAAAATGCAGCTGAAAACAATATTTCTGTCTTAAGTTCTTTCTCAAAATAACAATTAAAAAATACTAAAAAAAATTTGACTAAGACCATACCATACAGATTAGTAATACAATAGTTTGTAAAGAAAAAATCACTTATTCTTTCTTTCAGCATTGAACTGTGCACTTTCTTTCTTTCAGCATTGAACTGTGCACGTCTTCTTACCAGAGTATTACCATATATGTTCGAGGAACCCGAGTGGCACAGCTTCTTTTGGTCATCGCTCCCGGCTGCAGCTGAGAATGACTCTGTACCGTTAGCACAATCACTGATAAATGCCGTTTGTGTAAGGGAATGGTTTGCTTTATTTTGCTAATATTATTAGACCCTTGTAAGTATTTTTTGGTGTTAGTAGATATTTCAATCTCATATTTCCATTTATCTATATTTGGGTTTTAGTTCATAATAAACAACATAGTCCATTAAAACACTAGAAAGATAAAAATAGTGGATTAATAGGAATACTACAGTTAGGAAAATTTTGGTCATGTAAAGTAATCTGTACATGATCCTGGTACTTGGTACTTTAATTTGGTTGTGTGATGTTTAGTCAATCTACTAGCCTACTTATTACATAAAGTCTAGTGAGTTTATTCAGCATATCAAATAGAGTACATTTATCCATGAGGGGATATGAGAAACAATAAGTTGTCGTAATGATGTCTGTAGCTTATGGTCAAGCATAATCCATAACAACTTTACTAAATTTTTAGTAAATGATTCATCATCATCTTGCAGGATCTACTCTTCTGCCCAGACTTCACAGTAACGAGCACTAAAAGGACAGGTCCAGTAAGTAAATGAAATTGCCTTATTATAATTTTGTCCTGCTTGATTCTGCAATCCACCAATTATATTCATCTAAGTTAAGTCACTGCTAGAGTCTCTACAGTGAACTAGAGGTTAATAGTAAAAGTTTAATTCAGTTCAAGTAGATGCTGGTGCTTAAGTTGATGTTAGGGACTTCCTTCTTCTAGAAGGTTGTGTGCCAATTAGTTGTCATGGTTGATAAATTGCTTTTTCATTGCCACAAAAATTCTTTTGTTGAACTTAGATAAACTTAAGTTTTCCATATGATAAGACTTAACTAAAAATGGTTTTCCGTTTTAATTTTACACTTGTTTTCTGCAACTTAAGAGTTAAAATAATTGAAATCGAAAAGGTATGTAAATCGAAAAGGTAAAAATAGTGAAAGGCATGGAACAAAATGAGTTAGAGCAGTCTTCTTGAACTTATTACTTTTATTTTGTTGTTGAGTCACTAATGTTATTGATTTATTGATAAAAAAACATAAAGTTTTATCTTATCAATCACTCTCAAAGCTTTTTAGACAATTTGCTGATAAAATACTATGTAATCTATAGGATCAATACTGTTGCTGCATGTGTGGATCTGTGGTGGTGTGGTGATGTGTGTCTCTCCATGAAGAAATATCACAGATTGATGCATTTTTAGGCCACTTACAAACGTTACATATTTTCAGTTTTTCTGAAGTCAAATGTCACATAGGAATTTGATGGGAATTGTCAAAAGGAAGGTCTTCCACAGAGTGTGTCAATAGACCGACGGTCCGAATATTCGAATATTATTGTCCGGCACCCATATATATGCAAACTCATTAAGAAAATGTCTTTAGGGCGAGTTAGGTATCAGTTCAAGTTTGTTGGCTAAGAATATTTTATAGTTTTCATATTATTATGTGAATAAATTTTCACAGACCGTTTTCAGGTACCGTTTTGGTAACTCCTTAAGATAGTTGGACTTAAGATCAAATCTAGCTGTCTTAGTTATTGACGAAGTTGAGGATACTGTTACTGCACACTAATGATGGAAAAGTAGCAGCAGTAACAGTTCCAGGCAGCTGAGGCTAAATTACAGAAATGATTAAAAAATAATCGGCATAGCCCCACGTACTAAAATAATTAACATGTGATCTCAATTTGACATTAAAACGTAAATAAAAATTCATTATCTATACATTGCACACTTCCCTGTGTGTGGGTGGATAGGACAGTGATAAAAATGTATAAAATTAAAGTCTCACTTTGATTATATATTAAGCTAACTAATTAATTTATATTAACTAGACTAAATTTGTATAGTTGAATGTGGAACATATAGGAAAAGAGTCTTGTCTTATAAACTAGTCTGTTATTAATTAGGGTTATTATAGACAGCAGTACTTATTAAAAATAATCTAAACTAATTTAAGATATATTGGAACAGCACCGTATATTAAGTTGTGGGCAAGCAAGATCGGATTGCCGTCCTGGTGCATTGTCAAAAGCACTGAAACAAAACATTGACAGAGCTAAAAAGTTTTATTTTTTAATGTAATGTAAACACGAAAATTAAACATAGATATCCAATTCATTATAATTTTTCATATTTATAATTATTTCCAAAGCGATCACATTCTTCAAAAACCTGTTTTTTCAATTCAGTTTTTTTTATGCACACCAATATTAATTCTCCCCTGGCCAATATGTTCAAGCGAATTTGTTACCGTTAACTTTTCTCTCCACTCGAGCTGATAAAATGATTGATCAATGCCTATAAATCGTCCAAAATAATTTCAGTTCCAAATTAATGTAAAAGCTCTTTGTTGTTAACTTAAAGTTGTTATTTTAAATTATCGACATTATTTTCTTCTGAGCAATATCTTTAATGGTTTTTTTTATAATTTTATATTTACTAGAGCTACTACTAACTATTACTATAGATCAGTTCATGCATGACCCTCATCGTTTGAGGCCGTTTCACCCCTCAAATTATGAGATGGCCACATGGCAAAAATCGACAGGGTGGTGATTTAATTACCACCTGAAATCCTATTACATTTATTGACGCACAAATAAAGTTGATTTAAAGAATTTAAAATGTAAAAGTGCTTAAATTAGTCTTCAAGAGCTTTTGTGGACTAGGATCGCGCAGAAGAGCTATCTGGCTTAGACAGCTGCGAGTACATTTGGGCTGGAGGCGTCGGCTTCGCTCGCAGTCCTCCGAGACACGCGCCCCACGAAGCCGCCAGAACCGAGCTGCTTCGTCTGCTTCTCGTCTGCTTCAGTGAAACCATATACAAGCCCCCGCAGCAGGCGGCCTCACATCACAACAGATGGATCGCGTATGTCTATATTTTAAAAGTTTAGCAAGATACTCGCCTTTACTATGGCACATATGGATGATTTTTTTTTGTAGCCCTTGTAGGCAGACTAGCACACGGCCCACCTGATGATGAGTGGTTACCGTCGCCCATGGACTTCAGCAATGCCAGGGGCAGGGCCAAGCCGCTGCCTACCGCTTAATACTCTCCACAAGCCTCGTTTGAAGAAGGTCATATACATGTCTGAGTGACTGTGACCTTGTAGAAGGGAATCAGAACAATTATGTTAGAGAGCACAAATAAAATAAATGTATACAGTTGAAAATGTCAATGAAAAAGACACGCTTTGAAAGCAAGGCAAAGTAAAGCTTAATAATCATTTTTTTAGCATAGTTAGGGTATTAAGAGACGCGTGTGAAATTTTTCTAATTAATCGGTCGTGTTAAGCGACATTGATGAAACTTACTTTAAAACAATCCGTCACATACATACGGAACAACCTGAGAAAAGCGTGTTAAGCTTAATATAAAGCTACTTATTATTAAACTAACTCAATAAACAGTAGCACTTTGTCATCGTTTTCAGGAACTTTCCTAAAACGAACACCCTGTATAGCCGTTTAAAGCTGTATATTACAGATCGACCAAAACGAACACCCTGTATAACCTTATAAAGCTGTATATTATAGATCAAAAGGACAGTTATTTGAGTAATTGTATTAAGGTACTTCACGAGTCCGGACAACCGTCACGCCCTGCCGCTGTTCACGTCGTTGTTGAACACTGTCTGCTCCTACGACCCCGTTGGACTCGGCCTGCCGTACAACCATCTGCTGTTCGCTGACACGCTGGAGCCACTAGTTGAGGTAAGCGCTGCGCTCTTCCGATTGCTTACCCTAAATAATGTAGAGCTCGAAGGACCAACTTCTCTGCTCTACAGCTCCAATACGCTTCAGATTAGAGATCACTGAGAGAATTTGACAAATAACATCGAAGTCTCAGATGCGAGTGATATAATTAGTCAACCCTTCAAACCAGAAGGTTGGATCGTTTGTCGGCAGCAACAAGTAGGAAGTAGGTGTAGGGGTAGGAAATACAGGATTAGCGCACGACACGCTCCTCTACCAGTGCCTACTAGTGTAGACGGACGACGACCAACGTAAGGTTCTCTGGTCTTTCATATTGGATTCTCAATCGGAACGGACTCACAGTCCGTCAGAACAAACGGGAGACCAAACGAAAAGGAAGGAGGTTCATTCTCAACAAAAGTAACATTATCTGCTCGAAGGTGGCGCTTCAGATTCTCATCGTCACTCTGGACCACGACACGAGCAACGCAGTCAGCGAGGACTCCGAGGAAGTGAGTAACAACTAATACGACATCCTTCATAAAAAGCACTGCTCCGCGGAGACGGCAGATACGAAATTTACTTGATAATGTAATGATGATAATAATAATAATAGTGATCTTTAACATGTTGATCTTTAGCATGAAAAGCAACGCAACATGTTAAGAAGCTACATTACGTGTAGCAAACCTACGCCACATGTTGCAAACCTACTCAATATGTTGAAAATCAACGCCACGTATTGCATAGCTACGCAGCGCGTGGCAAACCTACGCCACGTGTTGCAATGCAACGCCACATGTTGAAAAGCAACGCAACATGTTAAGAAGCTACATTACGTGTAGCAAACCTACGCAATATGTTGAAAATCAACGCCACGTATTGCATAGCTACGCAGCGCGTGGCAAACCTACGCCACGTGTTGCAATGCAACGCCACATGTTGAAAAGCAACGCAACATGTTAAGAAGCTACATTACGTGTAGCAAACCTACGCCACATGTTGCAAAACTACGCAATATGTTGAAAATCAACGCCACGTATTGCATAGCTACGCAGCGCGTGGCAAACCTACCCCACGTGTTGCAATGCAACGCCACATGTTGAAAAGCAACGCAACATGCTAAGAAGCTACATTACGTGTAGCAAACCTACGCCACATGTTGCAAAACTACGCAATATGTTGAAAATCAACGCCACGTATTGCATAGCTACGCAGCGCGTGGCAAACTTACGCCACGTGTTGCAATGCAACGCCACATGTTGAAAAGCAACGCAACATGTTAAGAAGCTGCATTACGTGTAGCAAACCTACGCCACATGTGGCAAACCTACGCAACATGTTGAAAATCAACGCCACGTATTGCATACCTACGCAGCGCGTGCCAAACCTACGCCACGTGTTGCAATGCAATTCCACATGTTAAAAAGCTATATTAAGTGTGGTAAATCTACGCCACGTATGGCAAACTTACGCCACATGTGGAAAAACTTGTAACATGTGGCAAACTAACGCCACGTGTGGCAAACCTACGCAATAAGTTGAAAAGCAACGCCACGTGTGCCAAACCTGCACAACATGTTATATAATATTTAAAAAAATAACTAAAGCAATAATAACCAAACATGATTCCACCATCAAAATCACAAGTAGAAAGTGAACTAAGGAAAAAAAAGAGAAATTTAAGCTTACACGGAAAAGAAAAAAAAATTGCAACACAAAACGCACATATTATTATATACATCAATTTATACAAACAAAAGATGTCAGCATTAAAGAACTTAGTATCATACAACCTACAAGATCTACGGACAAAAATAGTTAGAAGCATATTTCGTTTGAGCCGTGGTTACGAGACGAATCTCTATATCTCCCAGGTGCTGCCGGATAATCTGTTCATAAACTACTTGTCTCGCATCCACCGAGACGAGGACTTCCAGTTTGCCCTGCGAGGGGTAACCCGTCTGCTGAACAACCCGCTCGCGCAGACCTACCTGCCCAACTCCTCGAAGAAGGTCAACCTTCACCAGGAGCTGCTGGTGCTGTTCTGGAAAATGTGCGACTATAATAAGGTATGAGGGTTGAAATGGGATGAGACGACGAAGTACTGCAGATTATGTGTGTGTAACATTGGCTCGTTCACAGCCTGGCATCGAAATGAAGTCCACAATAGCCTTATAGCCTTGGTCTGGTTGTTTGCACGCCAGCCAGGCCATGACACTTGGAGATTGTTAAAAAATATCGCTTTTTTTTTCTAGTAGTTGTGAAATATCCTCGAGCTGTTTGGTGTCTTTACTCGTTGTACCGGCGTTATAATCGAAGATATTAGTATTTTCGACATAAAAATAAATAAATATGTCTAATAAATAAGTAATATCACATTTAACATAACTAGCCCATTGAGTTTCTCGCCGGATCTTCTCAGCGGGTCACGTTTCCGACCCAGTGGTAGATTCTGTGAAGCACTGCTCTTGCTGGGGCTAGTGTTAGCACATTCTCTCAGATTGCGCTCGTGAGCTCACCTTCCCCTCCGGGCGTAGCTGGAATAACCCCTTAGACTACCAATAGTAGGCAAAAAAAAAATTTTTGTATTTTTTTTTATTGCCCTTGTAGGCAGACGAGCATACGGCCCACCTGATGGTGAATGGTTACCGTTGCCCATGTACTTCAGCAATGCCAGGGGCAGAGCCAAGCCGCTGCCTACCGCAAAAACTAAATGATTGGGAAAATGCTGTTGCAGAAGTTCATGTACTACGTGCTGAAGAGCAGTGACGTGCTGGAGGTGCTGGTGCCCATACTGTACCACCTCAACGACTCCAGGGCCGACCAGTGTACGTACCCCACGCCCGCCTCATATACACATATATTTTATTACTAGTGGTAGGACCTCTTGTGAGTCCGCGCGGGTAGGTACCACCACCACCCTGCCTATTTCTGCCGTGAAGCAGTAATGCGTTTCGGTTTGAAGGGTGGGACAGCCGTTGTAAGTATGTATACATACACAGTAGAATTATATTATGACAGAGCTGAATGACTCTATGGTGTTTTTAAAATGATGACGTCAGCGTTGCCGAAGCCATTCTCTTCATCATTATCATTGCTTTCCATAGTAACAGTAATATAATCATTTTATATTATATCAATTATAATCATTATAATCAAATATGTAATCATTTTTTCAATGAATTCCATTTATTACATTTTAAGTGTACAAAGATAATAACAGAGAGCTCCGCCTCGTTCGGCTGCTCGAGCCGGAATGTTTTGGGCGTTTTTTTTCTACCTATTCTAGTAATCTCGAGGGGTTATTCTAGATTCACCGAACTCGGTTTTGTGCGACAATAGTCACTCGGTTTTTTAGTAGAAAGAAGGGGTAGCTTAGTCATGAATTCTCTTGAATACCGTCTTAAGCAGTTGTTGGCGTGCGTAACATTAGGGAAACAGTTAACTTTGACTATTTTTAGTTAATTAAATGGTGACGTTGTGCCGACATATATATATATCTATGTTTTTTTTTATTGCTTAGATGGGTAGACAAGCTCACAGCCCACCTGGTGTTCAATGGTTACTGGAGCCCACACACATCTACAACGTTAATGCGCCACCCACCTTGACATATAAGTTCTAAAGTCTCAGTATACTTAGAACGGCAGCCCCACCCTTCAAACCGAAACGCATTACTGCTTCACAGCAGAAATAGGCGGGGCGGTGGTACCTACCCGTGCGGACTCACAAGATGTCCTACCACCAGTAAAAACTGCTACCAGTTGCTCTACAGCTCGCGTCGGTCTCATGCACATCGGCGTGTTCATATTGCTACTCCTATCCGGGGAACGGAACCTCGGCGTGAGGCTGAACAAGCCGTACGCGGCCGCCGTGCCGATGGACATCCCGGTGTTCACGGGCACTCACGCCGACCTGCTCGTCGTGGTCTTCCACAAGATCATCACCACCGGGCACCAGCGTCTGCAGCCGCTCTTCGACTGTCTGCTCACCATACTAGTTAACGGTGACTATCACTGTCTGTTCATCATCTGATGAAAAATTCGGAATTCATGACGTAATTAAAGTAAATAGGTTGAAAAAGATAAATAAAAAAAAATAAGATAAAGGATACGGACGCGGAAAACATATCTCTGTCTCGCTCGCACCGTAACAGCGGTGACGTCATTAGCAGCAGTCACCGCTACCACGAGACTGAAAAGCTTCCGAACATAAGCTCTAAATAATTCTTAGGGACCCCGGTAACCGTCCTCGGCGAACTCGACAAAGAGTTCGTCGTGCAACCTAACCCATGCATCAGCTCGCTGAGTTTCTCGCCGGATCGTCTCAGCGGGTCGCGATTCCGATCCGGTAGTAGATTCATTCGCGAAGCAGCTGCTCTTGAGTTGTTAGGTCTCCTTCGGAGGCGTTCGCGTAGCTGTTAGCAAATCCCACCCCTCCTGGCTGAGCCTTTGCTCGCCCACCTGTCCTGGTGAAACTGGAAAGGCCTCCGGGCCATCGGTAATCCTTCAATCATACAAAAAAAGTTCTACCCTCAACGATAACGTGTCGTTGTGATAAACGTTGCGTTTGTTATGGCAGTGTCGCCGTACCTCAAGACGCTGTCCATGGTCGCCTCTACCAAGCTGCTGCACCTGCTGGAAGCCTTCAGCACCCCCTGGTTCCTGTTCTCGCAGCCGCACCACCACCACCTGGTCTTCTTCCTGCTGGAGATGTTCAATAACATGATACAGTATCAGTTCGATGGTGAGCTTAAAGTTTGTTTTAAGGATATCGAATATTTGAAGGTTCACCAACAATTGAGGCCTATAAAATCAAAGGCAGCTAAATCCAGATCTGTCAAATATTCAGGTAAACTACAAAAATCGGCCCTAAACACGTCATTACGGATCCTTCCGATCCATCGAAGTACTGCTCTTGCTAGGGCCAGTGCTAGCAATACTCCCGGTTTGAGAAGTTGAAATAACTTTGTTCGGATAGCTACGATATTCTTTATTTTAGAGCAGATTTATAAAGAATGAGAATATTACTAATAATCTGAATTTTAAATGATAAAACTTCGTTTATTAGTTTTTAATACAGAGCAAACTTAACTTTTTTGAACTGAATTTGTTAGAGATTTAGCTGCATTTGTTATAACATGAAAACACTAAAGCGTGTTCAACTAACTAAACAAGATAGCGCCATTGTTAATCCATTTTACGACATTAAGGCGTTTAGCTGCCTTTGATTTTATAGGCCTCAATTATACAATGACTAGTGGTCCCCTGGTTGTCGAAATTCGACTATAGTTAATTGAAATTATAAGTTTGTACACTATCATGATTCTATTGTCAGAGATTATTTTACTTCTATAATCACAGATTTCGCCAAAACTACAGTTTATACAAATATTAATAAAGACAAACAATATTAATCTATTTTCAATTTGACCACAGACTTTAAACAATAAGAAAAGTTTGACAATAAACAAATATTATGCATGCGTGTGTGTGTCAAATACACGGTAGTGTGTGTAATGTTTTTTTTATTCATTTAATGTATTTTTTATTTAAGAAAATATTAACATTCTGCACTCCTTCTCTATATTCTCTATAAGTGTGGGAAATTTCATACTCCTCCGTCCGCGCAATTTTCGTAAAAAGGGATACAAAGTTTTTGCTTCACGTATTAATATATAAATATAATAATTTCATTGGTTTGATCAAATGATGATCGTTGTAGACGGAAAATGATACAAATGATAAAAATAAAAATGTTCATCTAACCTCTCACATGTTCTATGGAGTCTTAAAGCCGACAGACCGAGTGGTAGCGCGTCTAGGCATGGGACTAGAACGCGGATACGTGACCTTTTATCCTATGCTGATATCCTTGAGAGGCTATATCAGCGTTACCCTAGCGTGTAGNGCCGCGCGCTACTGATGCCCTATTCGAAACTAATAGTACCTTTTTTTTATTGCTTAGATGGGTGGACGAGTTCTCAGCCCACCTGGTGTTAAGTGGTTACTCGAGCCTATAGACATCTACGAGGTAAATGCGCCACCCACGTTGAGATATCAGTTCTAAGGCGTAGTAAGCTTTAGCGTAGTATTAATAGTAACTTTGGTAGGCAGCGGCTTGGCTCTACCCCTGGCATTGCCGACGTCTATGAGCGACGGTGACCACTCACCATTAGGCGGGCCGTATGCTCGTCTGCCTACAAGGGCAATGAATAAAATAATAATAATAATACATGATACATAATTGTCGCGGCCTAAAGGATAACACGTCTGGTGCACTCGTGACGGGCGTGACTGTATCGACGTTCGAATCCCGCAGACGTTCCAATTTTTTTATTAAAACCCACTTCCACGATGAATTAATGACGTCGCCTAATAAAATTCATAACGAAACAATTATAAAAACGCGTAATGATTGGTTGCTAATCGCCTTGTGAGCCCGCGCGGTGGGTACCACTGGAGCAAAGCAGCCATGCGTTTTGAGTTGACGGGTGGGACAGTCGTTATACCATATCATTGAGATTTTGACTTCATGTCTCAAGACTGCTTATGGTAACCGCTTAACATGAGACGAACCATGAGCCACACCCAGTAAAAAAATCCCAATTACATCATACAAAATATATTTGGCTGACGGGCTTGGATCAAATTTCGCACAAAGTTAACTTTTTTCTCATCCAATAGAATTTTATTACTAATTAAAAACCAATGATAAATATTATTATATTGTTAATCAATGTTCGTATTTTGTGAAAACGGCAATGTACATTAAAGAAGACCTTTCTTTCTTTTCTTTAAATCTGTTTTTTTATTGTATTTTTTTTGTGTGTACAATAAGTATAAAAATAAAAAAATAAAATAAAACCTTTCAAAACATCACACAGGGTCATTGACCCCGCGTTCGTTCGTTGTTATACATTGCATGCTGTGCTGGGACATTAGTAAAACGTAATTATTAGACCACCTTCCATAGCAGCCGGTATAGCAATATGAGATCGTGTTCATGGTGCAGGTCTCGCAGCACGGAGTCAGTGGCGGAAACTGCCATGGAAGGTTCCAGACCCGCGCAGCCTGCCGAGCCGGGGACACTTAACGCCACACTGCCCGATACACCAGGTGATCATCAAGCTACACGCTCCTTGCCAGTGCTCCAACTACTGATACCATGCATCCAACGCTTTTTTTTTACAATAAAATCATTTTTCCTTACACTATTTTTAATTCAAATTCATTAAAATTCATTTTCAATTTTTTTTAGTTGGATTATTTATAAAAGCGTATTTTGTTAGGTAGAGTTTGTTTAAACTATTATTTATTTCTCTCTCATTTCTCTCACTCACATCTTAACGTTCCGTTTCACGCTGTTTTCATACGTTCCGTTGTTATCGGTCCTGCATAACGTACGCGCAGCGCTGGGAACCATGACGGAGCGCGAGTCCGCACATCCGCCGGCGGCCCGGGAGCGCCTGCTGCCGGACGGGACCGAGCAACACGACAAGCCGGACAAGACCACCGCGCCTAAGGTGAGAGGACACCACCTCGGAGGACAATATGCTTCCTCAAATTGTAGAACATGAATATACAGTACACCGCGTGATGAGTGAGTCACTTCACTCATGTACTTACTGGTGGTCCTGGTCTTGTTAGTCCGCGCGGGCAGGTACCACCGCGCCAGCCGCCACCGTAGCCAGCGTCCATATCCATAAATAGACAAAATTAAATAATTCGCACAACTTCGCTCTTCGCGTTCCCGCCAAAAAGTCGGAATAACATCTGTTGACAATTTCGACAATTTATCCCTTTTATGGAGGTAGTAGATTACCGTATTAACCGTACTCCCTCGCAGGAGAGCGGGTCGTGGCGCCCGACGGCGGAGTGGGTGGGGGGGTGGCGCGGGAAGCTCCCCCTCCAGACCATCATGAGGCTACTGCAGGTCCTCGTGCCGCAGGTCGAGAAGATATGCATCGACAAGTAAGTACTGCACTCTGGAGTGACCGGCTGGCAGAGTCGAGTACAAGAGAGGGGAATTATCCCGTCATTTCAATACTTCAGAGCTTTTATTTTTATTTTTATTGCCCTTGTAGGCAGACGAGCATACGGCCCGGCCCACCTGATGGTGAGTAGTTACCGTCGCCCATGGACTTCAGCAATGCCATGGGCAGAGCCGAGTCGCTGCCTACCGCTTAATACTCTCCACAAGCCTCGTTTGAAGACGGATAAGTCATGGCGCTCGGGAAACACCGTGGAGGGGAGCTCATTCCATAGCCGGATGGTACGTGGCAAAAAATATCTCTGGAAACGCACTGTCGATGACCGCAGTGGTTCCAAATAATATGGATGAACTCTACTCCGATGGCGGGAGGTGCGATGATAAAAAGGAGATGAAGAGATCATCTCAAGCAATTCCTCGGAGCATTTTTTTTATTATTCACGAAGCAGCTGCCCTTGAGCTGTTAGGTCTCCTTCGGAGGCGCTCGGGCAGCTGTTAGCAAATCCCACCCCTCCTGGCTGAGCCTCTGCTCGCCCACCTGTCCTGGTGAAACTGGGCCTCCAGTAATCCTTCAATCATAAAAAAAGCTTTTTTTTCTTCAACCAGAATTAAACAGCAAACGTGTTGCGGATATTATTCATATACAGTTTGTAATGATCGATAGGTTTCGTCTGTGTGTTATTTACTATCCCAAGGGTGGCCAACCGGTCGATCGTGGCAAGAAAAAATATATAAATACATAGAGCAGACTGCGCAACGTAATCACCAAATTGCTGCACGCGTCATCTTCATCTTGTATCATTTGTTAATGACCATTACGTCACATTATTTATCCTGGCTTCTACACAAAAATTCTCTTTTATTATATAACTAGCTGACCCGGCAGACTTCGTAGTACCTCAATCGATAAATAAAGGAACTAAACTTTTGTATAAAATAAACTTAAAACAAACAAAAGTAATCCGTCCGACGGGGGACATCAAAGGGAAAACAAAATTGTTATTTTTATTTAATTCCGAGCATTTTCATATTTATCTACCTTTTAAACCTTCTCTGGACTTCGACAAATAATTCAAGAGCAAAATTAGCCAAATCAGTCCAGCTGTTCTCGAGTTTTAGCGAGACTAACGAACAGCAATTCATTTTTATATATATAGATTTCGAGTTCATTTTAATAAAAGAAAATATGCTACTTATTTTTATACTGAACTATATGTTTCATTCAATTTCAAGAAAGGTCATTGATAGACCGCAGAGTGCTTGATCAGTAGACAGTAGATCTTGGTTCTAATTAAGTTGGCCACCCTTGAACTATACGACCTCTTCATCTTTCAAGGTATGTAGCAGTATTCACGCTATGATGTCTATGGACCCATTTACCACGAGGTCGTCTTTGAGTTTGTTCACCGAAAAGCCTTAAAAAATTGCAAGTTATGCCCTTCTTCAATTGCAAGTCATGTCCTTCTTCAAACGAGGCTTGTGGAGAGTATTAAGCGGTAGGCAGCGACTTGGCTCTACCCCTGGCATTGCTGAAGTCCATGGGCGACAGTAACCACTCACCATCAGGTGAGCCGTATGCTCGTCTGCCTACAAGGGCAATAAAAAAAAAGTTAATTCAAACTTTTTGTCTTTCGGAATTTGACCTTTATTTATGCTCGCACATAATTTCCCAGAGGTCTGACAGACGAATCGGAGATCCTCCGTTTCCTGCAGCACGGCACCCTGGTGGGGCTGCTCCCCGTGCCGCACCCCATCCTCATCAGGAAGTACCAGGCCAACGCCGGGACGGCCGCCTGGTTCCGGACTTATCTCTGGGGAGTTATCTATATACGGTAAGCTTTGCAAGTATGAAACGCGAACTTGTGCTGTGAACTTGTGGTGGTAGCCATCATACAACGCAAGATATTTGACAGAAGCCTGAATCTCGCTTACGACATTTTCAAGACAAGCTTGCATATATACAAGTTCCGAACAACAACATTAGGACCGTCTAACCCTCAGACACAGCCTATTGAGTTTCTCGCCGGATCTTCTCAGTGGGTCGCGTTTCCGATCCGGTGGTAGATTCTGCGAAGCACGGCTCCTGCTAGGGTTCGTGTTAGCAACGTCATCAGGTTTGAGCTCCGTGAGCTCACCTACTAGTTAAGGCGACGCTGATGAACCGAACAAATCGGTCCTAATGTTGTTGTTCGGAACGGCTTCTGTCAAATATCTTGCGTTGTATGATGGCTACCGACACAAACTAATGTAATTCAGTAAATGAATAATCCTTTTTTTTTTTCGTTTATGACAACCTCTAATTATTACTGTTGGAAACCATGGGTTTTATTTGAGACATAACTGATCGAAAATCGAGAAATAACATCTCTATAAAATTCTACAAAGAGATGTGCGTTGCATTACATTGTTTCCTTTTTCTTTTTGTTTCAGTAACGTGGACCCTCCTATATGGTACGACACAGACGTCAAACTGTTTGAAATACAACGGGTTTAGTTCAATAATAATGATAACCAAATTACTTATTTATTATTCGAATATGCCTTCGACGTACGAGGCTGTACGGCCACGTATACTTTGGTCTTATGAAAAGTATATCTTTGAAGGTGGCATTTCAAATCTGGTGTCAGCTGTTTTTCTATTTAAATTAAATTAATATACTTTATTTTGATAAAAGAGAGATAGTATTTTGTTTTCGATTCAAAAAGTTAAATATGTATTTAAAATGCCTGTAAGTCAAAAGAAAATGGCCTTCATAATATAATTGGTATTTATATTAAGTTTATCTTGATAGATTAATCTATGTCGGTCAAATTTTGACACGTTGACCAAAGCCAGTCTAGTTAAGTCCTTAGGATTAGTGCACGTTAGACATCGATAGCTATTTAAGTCGAAAACTATCGATAGTTTTTCAAACATCCAACCTTCTAGAGATGTCTGAATTGGTAATAAAATCACCTATCGATATTGCAAAATACTTATAGATTATCAATAATCTATCGATGTTCAACGTACACTACTTAGGATATTCCTTGTGGAGGCCTGTATAAAATGAAAATGGCTATTGATTAAAAATATTATTTTTTTGGTAAGTTTTGCTTTTTTGTAGTTTATTATTTACGCGGTATGACATAAAGTCGGCACGATCCGTGAGAGCATGAATTAACTAAGAGCTTATACATACAATTATATCCTAGTGAGTTTAATATGCATTTCATTGAAAGAGACATTCTTGGCATAAAATTGAGTAATAGAATTGGATGACTGAATGACATTGTAGATACAAGGAATATAGATTGCATCTAAAAGCGTCCGTGAAAGTAAGATGGCGCCACTGTTACCAAGTGTGAATTTAAAATAATACCTACCAATTTTAATATTCACAAGATTACGATTGTATTAGACAAGGAACGATGCAAAATACTATTAGATATGTACATATTTGATGGAGAAAAAAACTGAATAATTTAATAAAATGTATTTTTGAAGCTTTTGAAGGAGCTTAGAAAAAGCTAGTAGTCTATTAGTAGTCTATCAAAATATCCTTGTTTACGAGAACCAATTCGTGATTTAAGTTCATGATTAATTCTGGATTTATTTATTTCATTGGCTGACCTATCCGCTACAGTATCTGTAAAATTACCTTGTTATAATTTATAAAGTTAAAAAAGTTTTTTACGAAAATTGCGCGGACGGAGGAGTATGAAATTTTTCACACTTATAGAGAATATAGAGAAGAAGTGCACAATGCTAATATTTTTTTTAAATAATGCATAAAAGATACATTAAATCAATAAAGAAAACATTACACACACTACATACCATGTATTTGACGCACACACGCATGCATACTATTTATGGTCAAACTTTTGTTCTTGACGTCTGTGGACAAATTGAGAATAGATTAAATATTGTTTGTCTTTATTAATATTTTTTTATAGAGTAGTCTTGGCGAAATTTGTGATTATAGAAGTATAAATACAATCATAATAGTATACAAATTTACAATTCCAATTAATTATAGTCGAATTTCGACTACTGCGGGACCTCTAGTTATATTAAATTCCTAAACAAGATTAAAAAATTCGGATATCTCACTTTGAGGTATCGGCAAAGTGATGATTTTCGAAACTTGTATGCATTCAAATTCATCTTTAAAATGTCATTAGTGTCAGTTGTGGCAACTGTCAAATATATTGAGTTAGTAAAGCTACCTGCAACATTCCTGAGTTGATATATCAAGCCATATGATGTACTAGTGTAGTGCCATTTCGGTGACTTAGTGAATGGCTAATCAGTGCCTTAAGATCACTATACTGACTTGTTCTTTATATAAAATACTCCATCTCTTCGTGTGCCCTCCAATTCATAGCTCAACGTATGTAGAGATTTAGAGATGCAAGTTTAATCTCTTTTTTTTTTTTTGAGAATTCGGACAAAATTGGCAATGGAGTTAAAAATACGTATATATCTCCAAGCAAAGCTATTTTTGTATCGTTGAGTCATTCAAACTGAGAAGAAAGTAAAGAAAAATAAATTAACTGTCTTCTCTTTGTCAACGGAGCATCAAACCGGTCCCAGAGAGGCCACTTGCAATACGAACAATTTGATTACCCAAGTCTGTTTGTTCGTAGACGTGGACGCCTTCAGCTCTAACCCTAGGAGCAGGCTTAGGGACCCCGTTAACTCGACAAAGAGGTCGCCGTGCAACCTAACCCATGAATCAGCTCGCTGAATTTCTCGCCGGATCTTCTCAGCGGGTCGCGATTCCAATCCGGTAGCAGATCCATTCGCGAAGCAGCTACTCTTGAGTTCTTAGGTCTCCTTCGGAAGCGCGCGTCCAGATATTAGCAAATCCTACCCCTCCTGGCTGGGTCTTTGCTCGCCCACCTGTCCTGGTGAAACTGGAAAGGCCTCCGGGCCCCAGTAATCGTCCAATCCTAAAAAAAAATCGTAGACGTGATTTTGCGTCTACTAGCTGAACACTACAAAATTTGGCACTCGCACCATCTCTCGCAACAGACTTTATAAATTAGGTACTCTATTTACGTACTATATACTTTATTTATTTATCTGGAACTCGGACACGCAAATTCGAGACGTAGCTTAAATCTATTTTAAGATCAGAACAAGATGTCGGTACACGCCTACTTATTATTAAAATGTTAAACACTATACGTATTTTTTTATATTATCTATAGTATTTTAATAGTGTAGCGAAAAGGCATGTAAAGAAACCAAATTATTATTATTGTTCGTTGTACGTAAATGCACTATTATGGTTTTTTTTTTAATTATATATTGTTTAATACCTTGAGACGTGCTAAATAATGTATTTTTAAGGAAATTTGTTGTTTAGAAACTGAAACATAACACACTTCAAAAGTTAATCGAACAAGAATTTAACAATTTTTTTTATTTGTAATTTGCTGCTCAATTATATAGTGCAAATTATTATATACTTAAAATATCATAGCCATAAAATTAATAGTATTGTCACCGAACCTTGACACGTGTGTAAATATTCAAATGAAACTGACGTCTTGAAGTAGATGAATATTACGTTAATACATTCCGCTACATAAATATACATAATATCGAGGAGTGAAAGACTATATATTGGTATAAGCGGTACAGATATATTTTGGTATAAGCGACATTTTTGCAAGGAGAGCCATATAAAATTTAAAATTTGGAAAAAATATCATGAGAAAAAAAAAACTTCTTCAGCTACCTATTTCAATGGAGTAAGCTTAATTGAAGCTCGATTAAAAACATTGAACTGTTGATGCTAATACCAAATAAAACGTAAGAAGCGAAATATCGCTTAGACCAAATAGCATTTCACCCCTCGATATGAAGCTAATGACAGTGCGCTAAGAACGGCGGTAAAGGCACGGTCACAAGCACGGGGAGTGACGCAGTGCTCTGACCAACGTAGCGACATCTATCGGCAAAAACTGAAGTCACGTTAACGCGACCTTCGATCCTTCAGACTACCGAGCAGAGACCCACTCGGTTGAACATCGTCCCCTTTCATTGGGAAACACAAATTTGAGTTCGAGAAAGAGTACATATTGTACTCAGGTCGCGATGGGTCTACAGTAGGAGCACGAGGCTGGTCGTGGACGGAAAAACTACCGCGAACCCGTGCAGTGCCTATTACTTATGTTTTGCATTTTTAGAGTTATTATCAATACTATTATAATTTAACAAATTCATAATTAATGTCTTATAAATTACCTGTGATCGTATTTATTTGGTTTGTTTTTCAATTTATACGTTAACGAAATGTTGCCTGCAAAGAAAAAAAACGCTAAAGTGATCTGAGTGACGCAACCTCTATTGTACTTTACCGAATAATGTGTTTGTAAGAAATCTCTGTGATTGAACAAATCAATTTATTAATTTTACTCGCGCGATTAGTGGCTAAGTTAATATTCGATGCGTTTTGGTGTTTTAAAACCAGTAATATACTAAAAATTATCATGTAACATTATCATTTTTCTCTGTACTGTCTATGTACTTATGTTTTGGGATCTCTTCAATAAATGTTATTAATAAATGATAATTCTAATACGTAATTACATCACTAAATTTTATTTTAAATTGTTATAACAGTTAAAAGTGTAATAGTGTAAAAAAAAAGTTTTAAAACCAAAATTAAACTTAAAATTATCATGTTACATTCCTCTCTGTGTTGTCTATGTACTTATGTTTTGGGATCTCTTCAATACATCTTATTATTCAATGATAATACCAATTGTAATTGCATCACTAAAATTAGTATTTTAATACCATTTAGATGTTATGTTTGTTATGAAAGTAATATAATATGAATTATTTGTAGTTAATATTAGCTAAATATATATTTGAGAATATCTATAGCTTTCACTACGATAATTCTCCTTTTGAATACCTAGTTTGTGGTGAAAAATAATCGCACTTATTTAAAAAAAAACGAGTCAATCCGCTATTGTGTTAGATAGTAGGTAGGTAGTTAATTAAAAGAGCATTAATTTTTACCAAACCACTTACGTATGAGCAACTAAACATCATATATGAGTCGACTAGTATCAAAGCCGGCAATGTGACTTTTGGACAATTATTGGTAAATCAGAAAAACGAATTATTGACTTTGTATTCCATTGGCAGCCACAAAACTCTTCTGAACGACATCTTAGATAAATAACAGGTTAAGTATTAACCTTTATTTAATGCAGGTTTTGAACCGTATTCTTTGAAGCAGACGATTATATTCAAATCAATCTGTATTGACATATCTATAACATTTTCTTGTTCAAATGCACAGATTGCCGCCTTTGATAATAGACGACTCATATGTTTATATGACAGTGACAGTACGGTATAAAGCTGACGTTAATAAAGTTTTTCAAGACCTCGACAAAAGTAGGTACATATATGGCGTCGCCGACTCTATTTTTTGAGACCTTAAAGCTAGATCTGCATATGAACTTATTGAAAGATTATTACAATATTGCACCGGTTTGTTTATGAATATTAACATGTTTGTTTTCTTGTGGAAATCTGAGACAGCTACAAAAGACCTCGTTTTTACGAAGATTTTCCGAAAAACCAGATCTAACTTCGTGTTGATGTCCAGATTATATTTTTACTTGTTCTTTCTACATCTCTAATATTTATATAATTTCTGACTATGGTTTCAGTGATAATAGCATATTAACTCAAATGTAGTATGCAAAAACAACATATCTATACAAAACTTTTGTCCTTGATGCCTATTATTAGTGAAAAGTATGAAAACTTTTGATATTTTATTAAGATCGGCTGATTGAAAGCTTCACGTAAACGAAAAGTATAACCGAAAACCGGTGCCACAGACTTTTGAATTAACCAGAAAGAAAATATTTATTGTAAACCTATTTATATAAATCCCGAGCTTATAAATTATTTATGAGCAAACGATTGTCGGTTAACTAAAGTGGATAAGCATTCGTCGTGATATAGAGAAAGTACTCGGTACGGAACTGTTTTTTTTTTTTTCTCCTAAGTTGGTAGCCTTGAAAGGCTATGCCAGCGTAACCTAACAAGAACCGTTTTCTCACTGCGAGGTGTTTAAAATGCGAAAAACCTGCCGCTTGCCGCAATCTTGATAGGATTTTGTAATAAAAAATGGCACTATCGTCATTATTCTGAGACAGGAAAGACGTTTGTGTTGGTAAAATGCGATCCGCTTTTCTTTCCTTGGTGCTTAGTGCGAGTTTTTTAACGTTCTCGACAGCGTAAAAGTTAGCTCATATTGTACATACAGTAACTGCATACAATATTGAGCTAACTTTTACGCTATCGAGAAAGTAAAAGAACTCTCACTAAGCATACAGATACATTAATGAAAATCTGATGTACGTATAAAATTCCCATCTTGCTTTCTCTTTGTTAGGGTTTTTAGAGCACTGTTTGTATATTATGTATAAAAGATAAATTTAATGTTGCTGTAAAATAAATACTGTGTACTTAAATTTTGTGAAATCAAATAAAAATGTGAGCTTAATATGTTGTTTGTTTAAATTCAGTTATTATTCATGTATTTGCGTGCCCACCGTGTTAAATACTCAAAATAATACAATAACAACTACAAAATCAAATACGAATCGGTACGTTGCTGCGTTGGCGCGAGTAGATGAGTCGTAGTTTCTTATATGGAACGCGATAATCTAGTACCTGTTTGTGACTTTCTCCAACGAAAAACGTCGCCTCTTTTCTAGCTTACTCTGAATAGATTGCAATCTTTCTGCGGCAATGAAATACAATCAGAGCCGCGGTGCATGTTTGGAAAATATTAAGAGTATTATAACATGTTTTAGTTTTGGCGGGATTTCTATAGCTACCACAGACTATAACAATGTTTGTAGATAACAGTAATAGTTGCTGTAGCCGCACAGCCGCCACATAAACACGTTCGTCTGTTTGATTTCCGAATTTTGGTTGGCTGCGGCCATAGGGTTAGTAGTTTAACTTGTTAGTTATACTTTTAACTCCATGGCTGCGGCCCTCTTAAATCTGAGACTGAAGAAATGTCAAATCGGAATATTTGACAGTAAATGTAATAATATAATTTATCATAAAGCTTCATGGGTGAAACAAACTTGTATACATTTTAAGTTTGGTAACGCCGCGCCGTCTCCAAGTAAATAAAAAACCTTTTTTTTTTTGTTTTTTTTATTCTGCACTTAACAGTAGGCAAACGCTTCATCGCTTGGTAGCATTTACGTCAAATACCACCTAGACCTTATTTTACAGCATTTTAACCGTCCATTAAACGTTAAATAAAACCAATGAATACAAAACACGAATTGTGCGCGTGTATTATTTAAGCTAAAATGAGATCAATATAATTGAGCTAAAACAGAAATCAGACTAATCAGATAATTTCACTTTTCTCTGAAAAAATTAATATTTATTTTAATTACATTTTCCTTATATAATACATTTATTGTAAATATGTACCACAAACGATCAATACACAAGACGAAAATCTACTACGCTAACACTCTATAGTTACAGGTACATATTTTAAAATGGGGTCATTTAAAATTAAACATTAAATTCTTAAATACAATAAAATACAAAACTAATTTTTTCATGTCATTCTAATAATATTATTATTCATCGATTACTGAACACCGTATTATTGTTATTCATATTAATTACCTATTACAAGAGAAATGGCCACTTTCGCGCCTTTTTTCAAAAAATGATTGTTTTTTTTTTTGTCTGTACGCGTTAAAAAAAAACCTAAAATTGTTGTAGAATACACGACAATCATTCTTTCGAATAAAATTGCCATGCGATGCGATAACGATTAACACTACATTTTTTGGGATAATAGGCAAATTTTGTGATCGCCTCAAATATTTCATTATTAGGTTTTCAAAACGTAACAAAATACCAGATTACGTTGTATCCATTGATATACAATACGTTCAAGAAGCCAACTGAGGAACCGTCAGAAAATACAAGGCTTCCTTTAATTATCTACTCACATACATTCATGCAAAGTTAAAAAATATAACAACGCTACTTCATCGAGTGTTTAAAAAAGTGTACAAAATGCGTTGTTATTATTATTATTATTTTTCACTTTTTATAATAATTAAAATATATTTTTATGATGTGTTAAATTCGATTATTAAAATTTAAAAATAAACAGGTATAGTTTAGTTATTAAATAATGGACATCGAATTATTAAGAAGAGAAAAACGTGATATCTGTTGGAAATTAAACTTTTCATCGATATGAGGTTCGCGCTGGCTACCACCACGTCATCACGATGTACCGCTCCTGTAATCCTCCCACCGCTGACGATGAAAAGTATAATTTTCAAAAAATAATAAACGTCAATAGTTATAATTAGTCAATAATTATATTTATTAAGATCGTTGGGATTGTCGTCATGATGTCGTCCCGTAGCACCAGCCGCGTGTCGGAGCCGCGTAGCCCTATATGATGAGCTCGCTGGAGGGACGCGGCTGCAGCTAGCTGAGCTCCGTGTACGCGGGCGGGGGCGCAGACTCGCGGGGAGGCATCAGCACCGCTATCTTGTACGGGGGCGGAGCCTCGGGGGACTCCAGACTCACGCCAGAATTCACACCGCGTTCCGGAGGCAGTAATGCACCCAGCGAGATATCGTCGGACGGCTCCGGAGGGGGCTGGAAATGTATATGTAGACTATTGGAAACCATTTATAATGAAACTGTGTGTATATAAGGAGATGTTTTTTTTTCCTACCTAAGCTGATAGCCTTGAGAGGCTATTTCAGCGTAACCTTAACTAGTAGGTGAGCTCACGGGGCTCAAACCTGACGACGTTGCTAACACGAACCCTAGCAAGAGCAGTGCTTCACAGAATCTACCACCGGATCGGAAACGTGACCCACTGAGAAGATCCGGCGAGAAAGTTAGTGGGCTGTGTCTGTGGGTGAATTCAGTAATTACCTACATCGTTGAACACGTTCACAACGGGTATTCTGTTTTAAAAGAACATCTTAGAAATACAATAATCTCTTTCCTACATAGAATCAAATTGAAGGCACAACCTCCGCCCGAAAGAGAACGGACCTCGCGTATCAGACCCCTTATCGCATTTAAGGTGTTAAAGTAATAAAAAGTGGAGTTTCATCGTGTCTTCAAGAAGGAGTTATCTCATGTATATCCTTTAAGAACTCCGATAAATACCCGTCTCTAGATGTTTACACGAGGCATAGGGATCATAGTTTACGGACTTTGTAAAGCTGACCCTAGATAATACCTTGGACTCCATAGGGAATGCTCTGTCACTACGATAACTCATTAAAATATACTAAATATGAAAAAAAAAAAAAAAAATTGACTCGCAATCTATTGTGTTTTGTTGCATTATATTTTTCTTTTTCTCTGATATATGTGTTATATATTTATCTTGTATATATATATATATATTGTGATTTTCGCAATAAGTAATGAGCCTACCAGAGGACTCTATACCACCCTTAGTTAACTGGTAGAAAATGCCTCAGGCATTAAGTCCGCCATAGTGAAGCATGAAGTTAAATAAATAAATAAATAAATTATGTGGTGGTTTGGTCGAGTGAGAGGAATAGGCTGTTTATTGGTTAGTCGTGTACCGGTCGGTCCCTTTGCGCGGTGGAGGAGACCCTTTCTGGCAGCACGAGGGGCTGAGGCTTGGAGCGGCAAAGCGTGAGGGCGCAGCCCAGCCCGCACACGCACGCGACGGCCGCGCACACCATCCCAGCCTCCCCGCCACCAGGCTCGCGTACCACCTACCACCGCCACCGTATCATTGTATACCATTTTTGAAGCGAGTCGTTGCTTTGGTATGCGAAAAACCAGTCAGACGGTTTCGACAACTCTGGCGGCCTAAAGAATAAGACGTCCGGTGCATTCGTATCTAACGACGCACCGGTGTTCGAATCCCGCAGGTACCAAATTTTCCAATGAAATACGTACTTAACAAATGTTCACGATTGACTTTCACGGTGAAGGAAAAACATCGTGTAATAAAAATCAAACCCGCAAAATTATAATTTGCGTAATTACTGGTGGTAGAACCTCTTGTGAGTCCGCACGGGTAGGTACCACCGCCCTGCCTATTTCTGCCGTGAAGCAGTAATGCGTTTCGGTTTGAAGGGTGGGACAGCCGTTGTAACTATAGGTACTGAGACCTTAAAACTTATATCTCAAGTTGGGTGGCGCATTTACGTTGTAGACGTCTATGGGTTCCAGTAACCACTTAACAACAGGTGAGTTCGTCCGCCCATCTAAGCAATAAAAAATACTAGACACGTAGGCTTCGTCCTTGATACGTTGAAACGTGTCTTCGGTATGTGAAACACCAGCCAGGTTTCAACGGTTATTAGATAGGCATTGTCACCAATACGCTGGATGCTTTAGGACCGATTCCTGTGATGGGACTGTTGTCTTTACCTCATATGACTAATGTCAAAGACATGTGTAATTTTTAGATCTTAAAGTACAGATGGATAGTCATATGTATATGTCATATTAAAAATAATTCGTAAATCGTGGGTTAGAAATACTAGAATCAATGCGTCGCAAAAAAAATAAAGAGATCTGCAGCCGCAGTTTTGTTCATGAATCGCACATTAAAACCTTCGTTACAAAGCACCGATCCCTTAAAACTACACTTACTTGCCGATCGAAGTAATACTTAGCACCGGCCAGGAAGACGGTGGCTAGCGCGAACGATACCAGCATTCCGAACTTGAGGTGGGGTGCTACCATCGGCGTGTGGTGGAGGCCCAGCGCCGCGGTCCTCAGTAAGGTGTCGGGGGTGACGGAGCGCGCAGCCGCCAGACTAGCGATGGTGGGCTGCGGGGGCTCCGACCCGACCTCCACGTACATGGTATCGTCTTGCCTCCGAGCCTGCACCGCTGGTAACGGCGGAGGCCTAGCGATGAAATCCTCTACTATTATCGTAGTTCTTACATATATTACACTGTCGTGATAATTCTATTAGGTTTCAATTCAAACGTAATACCAGTCTCTGAATCCCACAGTATAGTGAATCCCAGTTGGAGACCAGGTGACCGTCTGTGATATATCACGTTGATATATCAATGTTTATTGCTTTATCTTATTTGTTTGTTCGACAACAGGAAATTGATCACAATACTTAACTTTTTAGAACATACTAGTGCTATTGAACTAATTAATGCGAGTTCCTACAATCGCGACCCCTAACACAGGTGGATGGTAATACGTCATAAAGCTTCATGTCGACTCTCACTGTCATTTAATTTTAAGTTAACGGGAAAATTCCTATTTCATCTTGAACCTTAGTGCTTATTAATGACTATTGTTTTATAATGACGACGATAGTGATAATGATGATAACATGATAGTAATGAATTGTTAATAATGGGACTGGTTCTAAAATCCTGTTTACTGAACTTTCTTGAAGATATTTGGCGTTTGGAGTCCGGTGGCAATAAAAGGTCTCCATGTGTAAGTAAATAAGTGGCGGTCGTGGTACATCCTTACGGAGGGCACGGAAAGGGCCTTGGGGCGAACTTCAATGCCCGGCCATAGCGATGTGTGTTATCAATAATACATACATATGAGATTCATATGGTCGGCAGTGTTGCATGTGGCACATCGAATGTTTAAGAACAATTGAAGAACAAGCTTTTGTTACTTGTACCTTTTTGTTCATAAATAGCTCCTTCATCACATGCAATTTCTAAAAATAGCCTTTAAAACCGGATGTTTAAAGTCTAATATGGTTTATAGGCACACAGCATCTTCATTAATGTAAAAAATGAAAAATCTTAAAAATTGTACTTAACCCCTTCTTCACCCACTCATGTCTTCAATTAATACCAAACCTAATGCGGCAGGAATCGCAAGTCATTTTTAGTGTGTGCGTTTATATGCTTACGCGTAATGTCGGTGTGTGCGGTGAGGGCGGCGCGAGGGACAGTCGACGGCCGCGAACCGGTGCACCGGAGCCGCCATGCCCTTGCGGGCCCCCAGCGCGGCGTCCACGCACACGCGGCCCCTGGCCCGTCCTAAAACAACACATATGTCAACCTACCACCTCAAGCAGACTTCAAGTTGAGGTCATGACTTCATAGTATGGGTAGGTACACATCGTTATGTAGGTAGGTACACATCATTATGTGGGTAGGTACACATCATTATGTGGGTAGGCACACATCGTAATGTGGGTAGGTACACATCGTAATGTGGGTAGGTACACATCGTTATGTGGGTAGGTACACATCGTTATGTGGGTAGGTACATCGTTATGTGGGTAAGTACAGATCGTTATGTGGGTAGGTACACATCGTTATGTGGGTAGGTACACATCGTTATGTGGGTAGGTACACATCGTTATGTGGGTAGGTACACATCGTTATGTGGGTAGGTACACATCGTTATGTGGGTAGGTACACATCGTTATGTGGGTAGGTACCATTATCCTGCCTATTTCTACCATGAAGCAGTAATGTTTCGGTTTGAAAGCTGGGGCTACCGTTGTACTGTAGAAACTGAGACTTAGAACTCTTGTCTCAAGGTCGGTCTCTGCATTAACCTTGTTAATGTCTATGGGCTCTAGAAACTACTTAACACAAGGTAGGTCGTGAGCTCGTCCACCCATTTAAGCAATGAATGTGCAGTGAACACAGGATGTTCCTAATAAATAAGCAGGCAGTGGTAGCGATTCATACACTCTCATAGATCAACAATGTCAGGTGAGTACCAGAATTTTCCTCTAAGTCACATGAAAATCTATGATTATAAAATAAAGAAGTCTACTATTTTACAAATGAAGAATGCCTTCCACTTGCCTTGTTTCTGTACAAATCTCTTTGATTTTATTTCATTTAGAATACTCAAGTTTTGCTCTAATTAGACCTAAAATGTTAACATTCTAGTTTCTATGTTCTTAATAAATCAATTTAACTCCTGCCTATGTCTGTAGGAGCCTTTATATAAGTTTGTGTGCCCACAGATACGGATCATCATCATCATCATAGTCGGTTACTCTTGGCAGAGCGGCCGTGGTCACGTGGAATCCTTGTTTATTAAAGCCTTGACAGCTGTTCTCAGACAGACACTAATAAAGTAAAATAAATTTGGACTTTTTTATTGTTTCAATGAATGATGAATTGTACAGTCAATCAACCAAACAATATTTGCATCTTTCCAAAATGATACCTTATTATATTGCTTGTCATGCTAGACAGAAAACAATAGCAAGATGTAACACTAAATAATATATACATAGGCAATAACAATCGCTTTGCAGAATAACAGCAATAACAATTGCTTTGCAGAATAACAATGTGGGTTTCTTTTCAATCTGCAGAAAAACTTTAGTTTCTTATTATAAATTTTACATGTTCTATGTTAATTTCTAAAATTCTGTACATGTTCTATGTTTTCTAAAATTCTATGTAAATTTTTATCTACTAATAATATTTATCTTTAAAGTAATTAGTCTAACATAATATTTGTTTTTTCTGTTCTTAAAGTCACAGATTCGCATATGGAAAAACTGATTAAATTAATATGTATTTAGAATTTTATTTCTCTAAGCACCTGTCAGTTTTGGGTATATTGTGACATTGGCAAAATCAATGCCTAAGAGCCATTTTTTTTTTTAAATAATATTGATTTTCTCTAATACTGGATGAAAGGCTGAATAAATTGATTTACATAATTGAAATATGACTGTTACTTGTAAAAATTTGCCCTAGAAGTAAATGAGTTTATCTTGCTTCTAGCCTTTGAAAACCTTTTTTTGTTTTCAAATGTGACTGCTTATTTTAATCCATTACTCTGGTTCCAACTAACACACCAAATATAAAGTTCCTGAATTAAAGTAATTGCTTTTCCTTCCTTGATCAGGAAGAATGTTTGCGGTGATAAAGAAATAGACAGGGTGGTTTTAGACTTTTGTATGGTAACAATGTTGTACATCAATCTAGGTCTTACCAGCGGAGAGTGAGGATGGTACTCTATGACGGCCGGTGTAAGCACACTGGCTGCGCTTATCTATCCAGAAATGCATCGGAAGGTTCTTTTTAACTTCTGTGATGCAAACCTCCTTTTTTCAAGGTTTTATTAATTTTCTATTAAGATTTGAAGTTAGTGGCCATTGTCATAGTACCAATTCTGAAAAAAATCTAATAATTAAATATTAGCATTTTAATATGATATAATAATAATAATGTTTACAATTTTAATTTTGATTGATGGACATTTTCTCAATGATTTATTGCTCTTCTTAGTTATATCTCAGATTTCAGAAATCGATATTTCAATACTTAAACGTATACAAATAAAAACTTAATTACAATATAGAAAAAGGAAACTGAAATACCTACTTGCACAAAATCGTTGCCACAAAACACGACCACACGGATATTAATCGAATTATAATGGATATAAGTATAAATGCGAACACTGTTAAAAATGCAATGATTAAACCTATTTTAAAATCTAAATGGTCTAAATTTTCTAAAAGTAAAAAAGAAATGCATCTCTCTAGATTTAATGATATTTAACTATTTGACACTTCGAACAGCCATTTATTGGTGGGCGTATTGTATAGGCGGGCGGGTGTTCATGGGGTGTTTCTGCCCTGCGCGACATGTGAAGCAAAACAAACAGGACTACCAACATTAAAATACAACAAAATCAATAACTTATGGAAGCTACTTAAAGGTAGTGTGTATAGTACACTAAGTATGGATTTTATTTCTATTCAGTGCTTTAGATTTCAATACCTATAAAATTTTCAGCTTTGGCTTGTGTATTTTAGTATAAAAATATCGTACGCAGTTTTTATGAAAGAGATAAGAAATTAGTATCAAACCTATTTGCGCTGCAGGCATAGGTAGGTATTACAGTTATCACAACAATACTTTAAACAAAAAAATATTTACGATATGACGATAATTTTATAAGATGCCCTTTTTGTTTACAATTTTTTTAGATAATTTGCAGGTTAGGTAAAACAGAAACAAAAGTTCGCGTCCGTAAAGTGAAGCTTATATGTTTTAATATTTAGTGTATCAATTAAATTAAACAATCTTCTAGTAAACTTGATTTTATTTTTCGTCGTTACCATAATTATATTTATAATATTATAATAATGTGGTGTTTCAAACCCGAGAAAAATAAAAGAGATAATAAATCAGAGAATCTTACGTCCAATAAACAAATAATAAACATAAGAATAAACTATAAAACCAATAAATATAACAATTTCACAAAAGTATATTAGAAGACTGTGTAAACATAATGAAAGGTGGGAAAACGTTCACTTCCGTGTGATAAAAACAAAATTTAAAAATCCCGCGTTAATTTTTCGAGGTGTTTCCGGAATATTCGGGGCTACGTCAACTTCTTTTCGTTCAGCAATAGTAGAGATACAATTAACACACTCTCACAATAAAAATAAAAATATTCTGTGAAAGGTTAAGATGCAATTCGTAATAAAAAATAGCCTTTCTACGCTTTATAATATTTTAGTAAATCGATACTAGACTTCTTAAAAGCATTCCGAGAAAAATTTATAATTCCAAACAACTTGATGGTTTATTTCCGAACGAACCTCCTAGTCAAGGCTTTTTCGCACGAGAGTTTAATTATGCGCATTTTTTTTTACATCTTAACTCAGATTTTTTTCAGTTTTTACAATTTTTTTCCCACCTCTTGAAATTTTAATTTGCTAATACAAAAGAAATATAATTGGCGTCATTATTAGCTCCACGGGTGGGTACCTCCACTCTGCCCATTACTGCCGTGAAGTTATAATACGTTTTTGGACAGTCGTTGTACTGAAAAAGTTAGAACTCATGCCACAATGTGTGTTGCGGTATTAACATTGTTGGTGTCTATGGGCTCCAGTAACCAAAAATCCGGTAAAAACTTGGTGGGCCATGAGTTTGTTCACCCTTCCATGTCTATCTTAGCAATAAATAAAAAAGTCCCTTGTTACGACATTTACAAAACAAGATAGGCTAATGCTATTTTAGGCAATATCACACAACTAAGATTACACTCTAAAATCACAATCTAACTACTATCGGTTTATAATAAAAAATTAAAGGCTTTTTAGTTTTATTTAATTGAACCTCTAACATGCATACATAAGTACCCTACTTTGTGGAGTTCATTTAAAGTAATTGTCTTTTTGTTACAAATATTCAGGATGTTTATAGATGTTTGTATAAGTAAAAGAACGTGGATATGCAGAAAAATTAAAACAATGAAATCTATCCATTTGTTAAAATAACGCGCGTTAAAGCAACAGAAAAGCGCTCGTGCGAAGTTTCTGTAGTTGCGTTTTTCGACATATTTTGACGTTGTTAACAATATGGTGCAGTCTCAGCAGTCTGATCGTGATTATCGACAGTAGTTCACTTGCACGCAATTGTGTTGGTATCAGTTTATCCACGTTAGTCGATAAAAGCAGTGATTCTCTTTAAAAGTTCCATTGAAATAATTGTTGGTGTTATTACAAAATTTGGGTTTTGAGTTGTGCGTTTTGGCGACATATCTAATGTTGCAGAGATGTATGCGACAATGGAATCTAATAATCGCAAGCAAGTCAATAGTAAATATCAAGCTAGGCCGTATTGCCCATGCTGGTCCAAAAGGTCTGGCCCAGTACCTTGGAAGAACCTAAACCTTTGCACATGTGGTGAAGAACAGAACTGTAAGTTTATTTTATTTTTTACTCATTTTCAATCCAAGTGAAGTAATCATTTTCCAGTTCTTAATAGAAATTATAGCTTCAAATATTTAAGAAGATTTTTAAAAATATTATAATAATGTACAAAAATTGTTAAATCTGCACAGTAAAAGAATGGAGTTGGGAGAGGCCTCCGTACGTCGGTTCCAGCTGGCTCGTCCTCACGAATGACCTCAAGCAGGTCACTTTTCATCCATTCTATAGTTCGGGTACTGCAGTGGTCCGGGGAAACTGCCCAATGATTCATAACTACCATTATTATTGGGAAATTAAAATGTTAACTGATACATATGGTACTGATATTGTAAGTATTGACTTAAGCAAGCCTGAATATTCATTTCTTCTTCGTCAATATATTTTTTATGATACATTTTGATGTGCTTTCTGTGATATCTCATAATTTTTATCTTAGTTCAGCTGACATTGGGGAATGAATACTAAAGTTACAGTTCTTCTTTTTTGTGTCTTTCAAATCTTGTTTGAAGAAGGACTTGGTAGTGCAGAAATACTGGGGAGCTCATTCCAGATCTGGGTGCTACTTGGCAAAAATGATAATGGTAATAAACAGCCTGAAAAAATGCTTTATTTCTATTAGACAAATGTCAACATTGCTAACTTTTTGCTTAAAAATGACCATCTGGATAGAAATTAGTAGGATTAGAATGATATGATCCTATAAGTTGTAAATGCGGAAGTAGCAATAGCCCATGGAGGCCAGGGCCAAATTATTATCATAAAATACCCTGAATATTGAGATAAAATATGACATTTTATTATCAATGTATGTGTAATTAAGTAATGTATTATTAATTGTCCCGTTATGTCTTAAATAGAAAATAAATACATAGATATATATCACTTTGAATGTAAATGACTGAATTTTATTTCTCAATGAGCAAGTAAATTCAAGTAATTTATTCCAACACACATGACATACAAAATTTCCAAAAAATTTCTCTCTCTTACTGGTTCAGAATAAAACCACCACTGCTCCCAAAAGAACCAAAGAAACAAATTCAGCCCTGAGAGCTCACCTAAATGTTAGGTTACACTAGTATAGCCTGTCATGGCTACCAGCTTAGGTAGGAAAAAAAAGAGCAAGTCTGCCCCTTAAGCAATGGCACTTTTCACTACTATTTGGATGGTGCCAAGTACTTTATGTTAAAACATTAAAGAAAAATTATAACATAAAATCAAAATAACACAAAAAATTTGATAATACTTACTGAACTAAAGTCCTTTAATGAATTTAATTCATGGGCTTATGAAAGAAAATGATTTTGTGCTGCAATGCAGATACTCTATTTTAGCTCACATCTTATGAACTAGACCATCGGATTATTGTCCATATATAAAAGTATGGCAGAAAGATATTGAAAGTTGAATAAAATTTTATATTTTTGTTTTTGTTCCCTTCATTGATGTCAACATCAAGCTTCAAAAATTCCACAGATGGGCTTTCACTCTATAAATAAATAAACAAGAACATGCCAAGTCGTATAACCAGTTGCTTTGTTTGAATAAGCTTACAAAACAGTTGGCATTTAACCACATTGTTAAAATGGCTGTGAAAAACAAAAACTCAAAGTTGTTAAGCCTCACGGACTATGTAATAATACAAATACTATTTATTAATGAGTATAGTGATAATTTTAATGCAATATTTTTGTGGTTATATCTTTGTTGCAACCATGCAATGTTCATGCTTATTAGATGTTAATGAAATTATATTTAGGTATGTAAACTACTAATTAATTTTCAAATATAAAATTTACACTGTTGCTCTAAATTGGAATAAAAGAATGCATTGAAGATGGACATTTCATGATTGAAAGGAAACAAAGACCGGGAATCAATGCCAGAGCCGTATAGTACAAGAAACATACTGTAAATTACTGCAGTGGTGCCTGATCATAAGGTTAAGAACAGTTTTAGAGTATTGCCCTCTGATCACTGGGGATGCGCTTCTAAAATTCATCAAGCAATTTCTTAGAGCACTACCAATGAAAATAACAGTTCAAACACCACAAGCCTGCTGATCATGAGCATACTGACCATGAGCACACATAAAATTGCCAATCATACAGCATTACTTTGAATCATCAGTGTGTTAAATACACATTTTTTAATTGCTACAGTGTATACAATAACTTATGAACGTTTTCAGCTCATAGGCGTCGGCTCGAACAAAGTGAACATAAGCGATCCTCAGTTCACGTTCACGTCTCTAATAGGACAGGACGAGGAATCGTACGGACTCTCCTACACGGGCGCCGTGCGTCACAACTCTAAAGTCACCAGAGACTCAGTCGGCTTCTGTCGCGGCACCATCATCGGAGTCCGGGTCGACTTGTGGAATGGAACGTTGGAGTTTTACGTCAACCGTGAGCCGCAAGGTATTTTTTTTTATTGTCTTTGTAGGCAGACTAGCGTACGGCCCACCTGATGGTAAGTGGTATACCCCCTAAGGCCCTACTTTCACAGATTTATCCTGGACAGAGATTGTTCAATACCTGAACGTCAAAGTGTCAGAGAGCTCACTTCGATAAAGCGGCACTACGTGAGAATCCTTTTATCGTGGCCGCCGGAAACTACATAGGCGATCCTGAGGACCAAATGGTAAACAATCGACGTCGCCCAAAACAAGTCGTTTCGGATCCACTAACGGTGCTTTTAGGTACCCCAAGCACCGGCTCTCGTCGAACCCGTCGCTTGCGACGAAGGGCTCGTCGAGTAAATTAATCCACAGACACAGCCCACTGAGTTTCTCGCCGGATCTTCTCAGTGGGGTCGCGTTTCCGATTTGGTGGTAGATTCTGCCAAGCACGGCTCTTGCTTGCGACTTTGCATTCCTATACAGAAAAGCAGATCCCTGTTCCTTTGTACTTATTTATTTTATTTTATTTATTATTCAACAGGTGAAAGGTTAGGCACACAATACACATCACAAGCTAAAAAGATACATAAAATACACAAGTATACACAATTGTTAACTAAATTTTTATCAAATACAGTATTCAAATGTTGACTAATTAAACCTTAGTCATAAAGTGCCCGTATACGAAACCGGGAATTAATATAATGACAATAAAAAAAACGTCAAAATACACAAGTAAAAGGAAACAAAATCTGGCTTGCAACAAAAGCCAAGTGCGCACGACTAAGCAAGACAACTTTGTCTTGTTTAGTGAGTTTATACACAATGGTCCTTTACCAATAAAGTATCCAACTCAGTTGATATAGTATATTAATGTAAAGTTGCTTCTTTACTTATCCTAGGCCTTTTCAGTGTAACAATTTTTTTTTCCTACGTATGCTGATAGCCTTGAGAGGCTATTTCAGCTTCACCCTAACGTTCGTAGGTGAGCTCACGGGACTCAAACCGGAGAGCTGCTAACACTGGCCCTAGCAAGAGCAGTGCTTCGCAGAATCTACCACCGGATCGGTAACGCGACCCACTGAGATGATCCGGCGAGAACAAAATTTACGAGATTGAATTTAGACATCAGAAAGTTGAAACCCTCCATCGTTGTGTGTACAGGTATAGCGTTCTACAATCTCCGTCGTCACCAAGTCCTGTTCCCGATGATCAGCTCGACCGCGGCCCAGTCGAGCATGAAGCTGATCTACGCGGCGTCGTGGCAGGCCTCGCTGCTCGTCGACTCGGCCAAGATCCTGGCCGCCTCCATCAAGAACAGGAGCCTCATGCGCCCGAAACTGCCGCCTGGTCTCTGGCAGACCCTGAGGAGACAATTCTGGCTGACCCTGCCTACTGAAGGTGAGTTTATTATTATAAGTATAAAACAAAGTCGCTTTCTCTGTCCCTATATCCCTATGTGTGCTTAAATCTCTAAAACTACGCAACGGATTTTGATGCGGTTTTTTTAATAGAGTGATTGAAGAGGAACATCCATTAAATAGTGGAGAAATCAATAATAAATTACAGTTTCCGAAGCGAACCGAGGGCGGGTCGCTAGTATATAAATACTAATATATAAATCTACAGTGGTTTTTACGGATGTTCCGTCATAACTACTGAACCGTGCATCCGATTGACTTGAAACTTGTTATCCATGTAGAAGATATGTTTTAGAAGAATTATCAAACTTATAAAAGAAAAAAATGCGATGGTCCCCTATGTTTTCAATTTCCATGTTTCATCGCAGACGGGTGTGGGTAATTAACCAGGCGAGAAGAATATGAAAACACAACGTTAGGTTTTCTGTTATAATTTCAAGTTATTATATCCATACTACCTGGAGTCACTGCGGTCATCCACAGTGCGTTTCCAGAGATCTTTTTTGCCACGTACCATCCGGCTATGGAATGAGCTCCCCTCCACGGTGTTTCCCGAGCGCTATGACATATCCTTCTTCAAACGAGGCTTGTGGAGAGTATTAAGCGGTAGGCAGCGGCTTGGCTCTGCCCCTGGCGTTGCTGAAGTCCATGGGCGACGGTAACCACTCACCATCAGGTGGGCCGCATAATTGTCTGCCTACAAGGGCAATAAAAAAAATTATAAAAATAATTAAATTTAAAAAAATGACTCCCATTTTTACCATGCTATTAATGAAATTTCCGAAAAAACCTTCCTTAACATAAAATACGTCAACTGTCAAAATTTCAAATGTACTACAGAATCACAGTGAGTTAGGTACTGTGAAATCAGTTACTTATTAGTGATTATTATTATTATATAAACAAGATAACAAAAAGAAATGTGTGTCATATATGTTTAGTTCATCGTTATCAACAGTCCGACAGGGGTCATGGGTAATGTTTGACATTGGACATGTTGACTAGGTAATCACATGCCAAATGTTACATAAATAAAATTTGAAATTCCAATACATACCCTTCGTCTCGGAAAATAAATTACAATCGCTGTTTCGCTCTTTCAAATTCCTTTCAAAATATTACATGTGATAAATTTTTTTATTGCTTAGATGGGTGGACGAACTCACAGCCTACCCGGTGTTAAGTGGTTACTGGAGCCCATAGACATCCACAATGTAAATGCGCCACCCACCTTGAGATATAAGTTCAGAGGTCTCAGTATAGTTACAACGGCTGCCCCACCCTTCAAACCGAAACGCATTACTGCTTCACGGTAGAAATAGGCAGGGTGGTGGTACCTACCCGTGCGGACGCACAAGAAATCTTTCCACCAATAAGACCGGGCGTAGTTAGAATAGCCCGTTACGTTACCGTACCGATGATGATATAATTGACCAAAAAAAAATGTGGGATATATGTACATGGTTGAGATGCGAAAACGGTGACATTATTAACTTTAATTAAATAAAAACAACTTATGTCCCTAATGAATTGGGAAGTTTTATTTTTTATTGAAAATGATCTTAAATAAATAATAGTTTAAAATTACTAAAAAACACGTTTTATATAAAACTCAACTAAAGAATAATAAAATAAATTTTAATAAATTTAAATTGAAAATAGTGTAAAATATATTTTATTGTAAAAAAAGCGTATTGTCATCGGTCCTCGATATATCTACAAAGTTTGAATGAAATCTGGCCGCTTAAAGTGGGTCAAAATCGCGTCTAAAGGAGTCAGTTACAAACATACAAACATACATACAAGTGAAGCAAATATAAATCGTGTAAAAACATTTAACTGAAAAATAAGACTATATAAACTATTTATGACTAATAGATACTTATACTACACGAATAATAGTTTATTACCTTATACGTAGATCCAATTAGATATATTGTTTAAATTATTGAACCACTTTGAACTATAGGCCGTTTTTATCTCAACATAATTGAGTCAATTACTCTAATGTTGTCAAAGGTTATGGCCTCATTACGAATATATAATAATAAAACGTGTATTCTGATGAAGTGTCGTGTGTGACTCCGTCCCCATGTGACCGTGTGGTATCAGATATATCGCGAAACGATCAAAGAACAATCTTCCATCGATCTGGGATCGGCGGTCATGTTTTTTTTTTTTGCTTAGATGGGTGGGCGAGCTCACAGCCTACCAGGTGTTAAGTGGTCACTGGAGCCCATAGACATCTACAATGTAAATGCGCCACCCACCTTGAGATATAAGTTCTAAGGTCTCAGTTGTTAGGGACATGTAGAAATGCAAACGTGCAGCTTTCTGGAATATGTCGTGAACGCGATTCAAGCTCTTGTCGGATGTCTTCTATTCTACGACAACAATGACCATGACATTGACACCGATGATTAATTGGTGGAACATCTCATTTCGGATGGCCTTAAAGAATATAACGACATAACATCTTGCAGTGCAAACAAGACGTCAGGGTTTACCACCACACTAAGATGTTTTAGTTGGTGTTCTATTTAACGACTGCCCACTAAGTCACGGGCTTGGATTCGATTCCCGTCACTGAATTTTGGGTCTGGCAATGCCGGTTTATGTCTCAAATGTTCTAATGCATCCTTAAACTACTTAACTTTGGGTTAAATTCGTGTAGAAAATTTATTTTATTTCGGCCAGCCTCCTTAAAACCCGAGTCAGACAAACTGCCAGTCCTCAAGACACGATCGGTTCGTTCTGTGTGAAATGAAACGTAAGAGTCTAGAAATATTTTTTATAGAATAATAGACGGTAGATAGCTGGCAGATTAATAAAATGTCGACGAAATAACACCTTAGTCGTTCGCGACCACGCAAACTGTTAAAGTTTTCAAAACCCCGGAAACAATATGACAATAAAAAACGAGACATTATACCGTGAAAGTAGTAAGTATCGTGAAGCAGCTATCCTTGAGCTGTTAGGTCTCCTTCGGAGGCGCTCGGGCAGCTGTTAGCAAATCCCACCCCTCTTGGCTAAGCCTTTGCTCGCCCTGTCCTGGTGAAACTGGAAAGGCCTCCTAGCCACTAATAATCCCTCAATCATAATCCCTCAGCCAAAAGTATGATTCAGTTCAAGTAGATGCTGGTGCTTAAGTTCGGGCCACCAGTAACCTTTCCTTCATAAAATAAATAAATTATCACCTAAGGAAAATGTATTTTGATAAGTTTCGAATGCGTGATATCCTTGTCGCTGACAATGAACCGGCAACCAATGGGCAGTGACACCACGATCTACAACCGACATTGTCGACTCATACAACGCGCCCTAATTTATTTCACAACAGACAAAACAAACATTGAGATAATGATGACACTCGTGATTAATGTAAAGCTGGTAAATATAAAATAATGATATGATAAAATTTTAATTAATATTTCTTTTGTTAAATTGTTGGCCTTGAGTCGTCCGCGACCACGAAAACTGTAAATCAAACTAGAAATCATCTGGTAGGTAAAGTCAAGTTGGCATATTAAATGTCCGGAGCCCTCAATAGAGCGAAGCGGTACTTCACCCCAGGAAAAAGACTTGGGTCGCCGCACACGGGCCACCGGTCACAACCACAAAACGCCGCCACCGGCATATTTCCTGTAATTTTCATAAATTTTATATGTAGCTTGTGGCGGCCACCGGCGTCAATTGTGTGCCGCGAGTCCTTATAAAATGTATGAAAACAACAGGAAATAGGTCAGTGGCTGCGTTTTGTGGTTGTGGCTGGCGCGGCCCGTGTGCGGCGACACTTATGCCACGCCACACAAAGCACTGATCTACCTTCGTGCAGGAAACTCCCTTCTTTGGGACGGAGCTTTAGAATACCAATGGGAGCGCAATTTAATCACCTACAGGACCATTTAGTACAGGGGCTCCCAAACTTATTTTGTCTACTGCCCACTTTGAGAATAAATTATTTTTAGCGCCCCCATTTATTCACCTACTTAAAACCACTATAGCGAGAGATTAGTCGGTGTCTAAAGGTTCTTCCTAGATTAAATTACAAATCGTCTCCCAAGCCTCTACACAACGCCCCCATTTTTTTTCTGGGTCTCTTACCGCCCCCCTTTAGGACTGTAGCGCCCACAAGGGGGCGTTATCGCCCACTTTGAGAAAGGCTGGTTTAGTATCTCTGACTCCACGGTTGGTTTTCGGAAAGCTACCAAACTACTAATCACTCATCATTAGTTCGACCGCACGTTTCCGTAGCCTTCGTAGGTGATAAAAAAATTTATTACAATACAAAACACAAAGTTTAATAACTCTGGTCTATCGTGTTATCTTTATATGCTAAATTCACTTCAAATAATCTCAAGTTCGTTGACTTTTGAATTTTGGACTAAAAAAAATTGCTACACAATTTCAGCTTATTCACGTGTTGGCGATACAATAAAAACGACAAATGGGCAATTAAAAAGCAATTCAGTTCACAGATATTTCTGTTCGATTTCTTTAAATTGTTTTTTTAATTATGTGGTTTTGTATATATATAACAACTTCAAAACCTCAGATTACGCAACTTGAAAATTTGCACGTATTGTCGAGTGATAATGCAATAATTTTAGAATTCCTAACACTGTCAACAGAATAAAAACAAACAGATGAAATTAATTGTTTTACTACTTCATTAATTTACTACTTCAGCGTGTTTTTTTAGTTTTAAACTTTTTTTTATCAGCCCACACGTCCGATGCTGGACTAGGCCTTTTAAACTTTATTTATTAATAAGAAACTCGGAATACGGAATGCTGAACTGCACTTTAATATCCATCCGTACGTAGACACGACACAGCGTTTGAACATTCTTGGAATAAGACTGTGAAAGAATAAAAATCCACGGAAATCACTATATTTTTTCGGTTTCCGCGAGTCGTGGACATAATTGACATTACCTTAAGGCTTAATATCGGGTTTATTTTCGTCGTTATTTTCGGTTGGTAAGCAGCGGCCCCTGGCGTTGCTGACGTCCGACGAGCGACGGTGACCACTCACCATCAGATGGGCCGTATGCCTTTACGGGCAATAAAAAAAATCATTTTAATATATCCGACGTTCACATTTGTAGTGGCTGACAGATGACTGAGCGTCCAATGGGTCGTCCGGGACCAAGCGGTATTAAACCATAAGTACTAATTATTTACTACTGAATTATTTACCTTATACGTACTTATTATTTACTACTTATACTGTTTGATATCGCTTGGTCTTGCTTGGATCTCAAGGAATACATTGTTTAATTTTATGATAAGCGATGTTCTTTGTGCATTGTAGATTACAAGAAAAAAAAATATTTTTATTGGTTAGGTAGGTGGATAGGTGAACGAGCTCACCTGCTTAACTGCTGTGACGTGTTTTATCCTCTAGATAGTTATTATCTGTACGCCTTCTAAACAAAATTACCATAATTACATTTGCATATCTTGAAAAGTCTAAATTAGAATCAGAGGTTCTACTGTCCTATAGTGTCCTCCATCAGCTCATATTCGTTCACAGCCTGAACATAGACCCCTCTCAATTTCCACCACCGAGCCCGTTTATCGACTTTCCTCGAAACTTGCCGGCCACGCTTTGAAGATCATCCCACATTACATTTGCGAATAGTGTCCATTAGCCAGCCCACTGAGTTTCCCGCCGGATCTTCTCAGTGGGTCGCGTTTCTGATCCGATGTTAGATTCTGCGAAGCATTGCTCTTGATAGGGCCAATGTTAGTAGTAACATTCCCGGCTTGAGCCCCGTGAGCTCAACTTCGCGTCAAGGCGAAGGCTGAAATAGCCTCACAAGGCTATCAGCATAGGTAGGAGAAAAAAAAGTCTATTCGATGTAAAAGTCAAATAGACAAGACAGCTTTTTTTCTATTGCTTAGATGGGTGGACGAGCTCACAGCCCACCTGGTGCTAAATGGTTACTGGAGCCTATAGACATCTACGACGTAAATACGCCACCCATCTTGAGATATAAGTTCTAAGGTCTCAAGTATAGTTACAGCGGCTGCCTCACCCTTCAAACCGAAACGCATTACTGCTCCACGGCAGAAATAGGCATATTAAGAAATAGCTTATTAAATGGAAAAATAATTTGTCTCTTCCAGGTTGTTTCGTTGATGACACCGATGTTGATATAGAACTGGAAGCAGCAAAGGCGATGGTGAGTACACTGTGTTCCCTGTCTCTATACCAACTAACAATATGTATTATAAAGGGCCTGTTTAAATATATTGGTGTAGATAAGCTGTTGGATATATAATTATGATCTAAAGACGCTTGGTGTGCTAATTTACCAATGAATTGTTACGTAGGCTACATAAAAAATATATATAGTCGTTTAAATAAAGAAAACGTTGACAGATGTATTTCTGACATGTTGCACTGTCAAAATGACAGCAAAATTTGACAGTTGTCCCTTTGCTGTTTAGTGTTTATAGTGATTAATTTATATAGCCTAAGTAAAATATGAATGTACATAATTTGCGGGAATACGATTAGAAAGATCTGATGTCGGATACCTTTGAAAAATATATACGTAAAATGAACTCGAATATACCATATTTGAGTCGTCTATTATCAAAGGTGGCAATCTGTGCATTTGGACAAAAAAATGTTATTGATACGTCAATACAGATTGATTTGAATATAATCGCCTCCTTCAAAGAATACGGTTCAAAACCTGCATTAAATAAAGGTTAATAGTTAACCTGTTATTTATCTAAGATGTCGTTCCGAAGAGTTTTGTGACTGCCAATGGAATACAAAGTCAATAATTCGTTTTTCTGATTTACCAATAATTATCCAAAAGTCAGATTGCCGGCTTTGATAATAGTCGACTCATTTGTAAAAATATTGGAATAGCATGGTTTCTAGAATTATAACAATATTTTTCTATAGTAATTTTAAATTCAATAATTGCGCACTAAATACTACATTAAAACCTTTTCAGTATACTATAAATCTGTGGTCTTTTAAAATTTAGTATTCTGTTATAATGTGGTATTTATATCTGTATGTGGTGTATATCTGTTATATTAGGTCCCTTACATATAATTTTATAAAATCCGTCTCTTTAATCTACATTATCTAATTAACCGATAAAATTATATAATTTAGGAGGTCTCTAAAATTATTAATTTTATGTTGGCAGTATGTGTTGTAAAATTGTCATATTTTTCTGTATGTGTAATGTCAGTTGAAACTTTCAATGTTTTGGGTAAATTCAAATGGTTTATTTAACACTTAAAGTATATTATAGTGGATTAGGTTGGACACTAATATATACTTTTCATGTTGGGCTGTGGGAGAAAGTAGACCGAGCAATGTTGCTTCCATAAAGTAAATGTTAGTTGATGTTCATCACTTTGTTAATTAAACTAAAACATATTTCTTGAATGGCTGTCTTTAATGGAATCTGCTCTTTCCAATGCAAACCGTTTTTATTCGGACAAGACAAGTATGTTATTTTTCTTACTATACAATACTATATACTATATAAATATTTATTATGTGAATTTTAAGGTTTATTGAGAATTAGAAAAACTGGGGTTGGATCCATTATTTTTGAGTAAGGCCGTCTGTGTTGTGTACCGTAAAAGCTTGTAATCAGAATGTGACTCATGATTGTTTCTCAAAATGTTCTAAAGTGATTAATAATTAATAATACAAAAAAAACATGCTTATTTAATAATACTCAATTTTATTGATAATAGTTGATGAGTATGTTATCAGTAAAATTATTGAGCCCGATGAGAAACATTATGACAATATTTTCTTAGGTTTCACAAATTATAGACATAATAAAATTTCTTATTTACCGAATTAAATACTTACTAGAAAAAAAAAAGAAATTTAAAGTACACGAAGTCATAAAATCTTTCAATAAATGTTAGAAATAAACGTAAACCAACTAAAGCTGTTTTTATAGCCCACAAAAAATTATTAATTTGTTCCTTGGCAGGACATAATTTATTATAACTACTTTCTCATTTCATTTCATGAAATTTATTACGAGTTTTGGCCTCAAACATTAATAATTTTAAAATTAAGAGTACCTTAATAGCAAAGGCTGATTATTCAACAGTCGGTGACTATTTTTATGTCGAAGGCACGTCATTTTGCTCCACACAAACAGCCTTTTTACCGCTTGATATGTCTGGAAAAAGAGCAAGCCCAGAGTTTCTTGCAGATTCTCCGCCGCAATGAAACTGCGTTCTGAATCTGTGGTAAAGTCATGCATTAATACATATTAATGGCGATTGTCTAGGCTTACTTGAATTCAATTTTTTTATTGATTTTGATAGTAATGAGGTCTGCTGCTTAATGAATTGGATACGATTGAGGCTTGTATATGTATTGATAAAAGTGTTGATTTTCGTTAATACTCGATACGTACTTAATCTATTTGGATACCAAATCATTTAAAAAAAAATACTAATATTGAAAAAAAAAAAAACTGAAATTGTAAGCATGTTTGTTAATACAATATGATTTTCAAAGTGGTCATCGTTTATCCCCCAGCCCCTATCATCCGGCATGAAGAGAAAGCACTGGCTGAAGCCGAGCTCAACCTGCCTGTTCCTTCAGAAGAACACAGACAGCAGATGATGTGCCTAGGTTTCGGGGCAGGCTTGTTGAGACTGATACGAATTAATCGCATTTATTTAACAATCACAAACAAGAACGCGCTGTGCCATGTATATATTTCACATGTAACTGATTAAAATGTCAAGAAATACTCAACTACCCTCGCTCTTTTTTTTTTAAATTTTATTAAGTTTACCAAATTTTTTGTTACGGTTAAATCCGAACGAGTATTGAATTAAATAAATAAATAAATATTTACTAACAATCACGCCACGTTAACTGGTCCCGTGATAAGTTCGTAAAGAACTTCTGTTACAGGTACCAGATAACGGAAATAAATATAAGATTTTTATTATACACATACATATATTTAATATACATCCATAACCCTGGAAAAGACATTTATATTTATCATACAAAAATCTTCCCTTGGCGGGATTCGAACCCGCAACCCCCTTGTGTAGTGACCATGTCACTTACCATTACACCAGACGGCCGTTAAATTACTTTAATATTCATTATCAGACCTCCTCATGTGGTCTGGCTGTGATCAAAGCTAGTCTGCTATCAGCTGATTAATTAGAAGTGAGTTTTTCGTTTATTTCCAAATTACTTTTTCAGGTTTACAATCAAATATTTTAATTTACTACTTTCATTCATAATGTTAATAAAAATATGATTTTAATGAAAGTTTTCTCTGAAAAGAATATAGAATTAATAGGTTATAACAGTCAAATATGTATTCTGATATTTTTATATAAATTCAACATTAACAATTTGCTTATTGATGTAGTTTTAAGGATTATATTGCCGTAAGGGGAATAGTGGACTTACTGCTTTTGTAGGCAGAAAACAATATTCATCAGCTAAGTATTTCTTATAGTATCATTTCCTTAAGCCCACAACCTTTAAAAAAATTCGGAAGTTAACAAGATACGGGTCAATGAACGCGGGGTTCAATGTAACTCATTTAACTGCGTTATCGAGGGAGTTAAGTGTACCTATTTTTGTCTGTAGATTACATTTTATTCTGATATTAATGCATATTGTATATTGTCTTAAGCTTTGCTTAGTACCTACATATTCCTCTTATTCGACTTCAGGAATGAATGTTACACCTTCAACACAGTAGTCTTGTCATGTAAATGTATCAGTGTGCCTACCTAAAATCACTAGTATTTTTATTGTGCCTAAATAGTGCACTAATAGTATTGTCGTAATGTAACATAAAAATGGTATTAATTTTGTTACGAGACGATCAGCATGTGTTATGTTTTAAATTTGGAGGGTAGAAATATGGAGCACCGTCTTGTTTAAAGCACAATTTGAAGAACTGTTTCCATCTGTTTAGTTAATTTCCACACGTAGTACCATAGATCACAAATTAATTTAAAAAAAAACTGTATATATTATCTGTGATGCAGTTATATATTGTATCTATGCAACTACTCAACTTGACATTCTACATGCAAAGGTCTCAAGATTATTTATTTATAACTACTCAACTTGACATTCTACATGCAAAGGTCTCAAGATATTTAAATTATTTCTATGTAAACGTAAGCCCAAATGTCATTAACTTCAACAAACGTAGGTAATAGAATTCGGATCGACTGTTCTATTCGGAAACGACATGGGCCACTCTCCATACATTGCTCGGCCCACTAAACGAAGTTCAAGGACAGTAATGAAATTAAGTTTAAATAACAGACTATATATCCCTTTTATTATAAAGAAATTAAAATCAATATTGTTCATGGGGATACAGAGATATTTAAAAAATAAGATAAGTTTTTTAGGTTACCTATATCATATGATTTGCTGTCAATACACTTACACTTTAACATGATCACATTCCCGCCAATATTTTTTTTTCGTCGTTTGTTGCAATTGTGCTTAATTTTTCACCTCTCATTCGGAGCTACAGTTTTGACAATGCAGGAAAATTTTGGCAGCCATTTTAATTTCGTTCAATTGCACGAGTACCAAAAATTATTCTATCAACAGTTTTAATTTCAACTGTATTATTAATGTATAACATACCTAATGTTTAGATATTAAGATTATAATAACCCTTTGACGTGTGTTTTATGGGAAATTAAAGAAAGACTGATAAAAATAAAATCTATTTTATTTACCTAATTTCTTCAATAAAAAGTTGTGAGAAATTTTTCAGTGATCAGTGTGCTTAGTGCGAGTTTTTTAACGTTCTCGATAGCGTAAAAGTGAAATCAAATTTGTATGGAGTAGGAACGTTCGCCTACGTTTGCCGCTAGGGGCGCTGTTTCAACTGCATACAATTTTGAGTTACTTTTACGCTATCGAGAACGTTAAAAAACTCACACTAAGCACACAGTATTTAAAAATGTGGGNAGAAATTTTTCAGTGATCAGTGTGCTTAGTGCGAGTTTTTTAACGTTCTCGATAGCGTAAAAGTGAAATCAAATTTGTATGGAGTAGGAACGTTCGCCTACGTTTGCCGCTAGGGGCGCTGTTTCAACTGCATACAATTTTGAGTTACTTTTACGCTATCGAGAACGTTAAAAAACTCACACTAAGCACACAGTATTTAAAAATGTGGGATATGGGGCAGAATTAAATCATCCTAACGTTTCTCTCAGGGAGCCTTGTCAGCCCACGAGGGTAGGTGATATATGCTTTTGTTATAGAGGGTAGACGTAAGGAGTACCATCTCGTATAGGGGACGAGTCGAAAAAGAAAGATCTAGAAACAACAAGTTATTGTTGGAAGACTCGCCGAAATAGTGCTAGTTTAGGAAACGATATGAATATAGCAGTTTTAAACAGAGTGAAGTGTGTTAGCTTATGACGCTCTTTGCACTCGGTACTATGGCGCCATCTTCATTTGCTCCTTTTTAGCAGACACTTTAAAAAGTTGGATTAAAATCCACTGAGATGGTGCTCCTTACTTCTTCTACCACCCATAGCTTCTGACAAAGTAGCATAGATCCATGTTAAACTTTTAAATAACAGTCACACGTTGGACTATCCGTTAACCATAGATAAAAACTTTTTAAAACAAGTTCCCTGCGTCTGTTTTGCCAATTCATTCCAGAACTGTTTTAGGAACCGTTAGTAAAAGTCAATGTTTTCAAAATCAACAAGTGTATGGTGATCTTTTAGTTGATTTCGTTCATATTTTATTACAGAAGAGAAATAATAACATGTATATTTGTCAAAGGTCCGACATTTGTCTCATGTAATTTTATGCTCATACAAAATTTCTTAAATATAAACGTGCGAGTCATGCCTACATACTGTTTCTTCAACTTCAATAAATGTAATTCGTCTCGAGAACGCAAAAACAGTGGAGGGACCATTTGAATTATTCCAAAGACTTTGTACAGTCTAATTCTGTATGTGTCATAGTAATAATTATCTTAGAAGAAAAGTATTTTAGTATTTTTGCTATTTCCATTGACTCGGTAATTGTATGAAAAACATCAATATCTCAAAACTATAGTCGGTAACTACGATGCTACATCACAGGCAGCGACCTGGCTGTGCTCCTGGCATTGCTGACGTCTATGAGTGGCGGTAACAAGGTATACTCTACAAGATATAGTACTATAGGTATACTCACCTGCCTGCAATGACAATTAAAAAAAACTGCGTGTCACGTGTCGTACTCTATAGTACTACTGTATTACTGATGATTTATATTTGGATTTATAGTTAAACTATATTGTGAATAGTTGCCCAGTTATTTCTTAAAAGAGTACAAAGCATCGATACATCCTCAGAAAGATTTAAAAAACAATGTAAACATTGTCTATGTATGTAAAAATTTAATTGTTTTTTTTTCCACAGCTAATTGACGTCTTACCAACACAATATATGAATGGTTTTTACGTAGACAACGTCGAAAGGGACTATCGCATCGTAGTCTGGGAATAGTTTAGAGATAAATGTATATTTTAAGAACAATTTCGAATTTTAAAATATCATCGAAGTTTATAATTTAACTTTTTATTCTTTTAATTTTGATTAATAATATCGATATTACAATGAACTTGTTGTATAAATTAAGTTAAATGAAATAGAGTTTTTGTTTCTTTTTAAAGTATTTTAATCCGGCGCTTTGTACCTAAAATTTAACTGGTCATCTTATGCAAAAAATTGAATTAAATTAGAAAAAAATTCGGACATAGTTTTAAGTTTTTGACTGTTTAGAACAGTCCATTTCCCCAATAAAGTACAATTAAGTACATCTACTTAAAAAATTGGAATAGAGCGTAGAGTTGCACAATATTTTTTTTTTAAATATGTTGGCTTTCAATTGAGCGCGGTCATATCGATGTTAAAATAAAATCCCATACAGCCGAGTGAAACAGAATGCGAATGTTAATCATATTTACAAAGACATTCTCGATCGAAGTGCTGGTTCTAGTTTAATCATACAAACAGTATGTAAGTCGAGTTTTTAAATAATAAACAACATAATATTATTATATGTTTTTCTTTGTACTTCCCTTCCACAAGAAGTTTCTATTTTTAAGTTGTTAGTCCTTTGATTTGCATCTGATCTAACATAGATAATTTAAACCTCAGTTTTTTCTATTTCAATTATGTAGACACCTATCAGATCTAAAAACAGTCAATGTCGATAAAATTACATTTAATAATAATTCAGTTAAGGTAAAACAAGTTCTCTTTAATGCGCTTAAAGTGCTCACTATTTAACTATTATACTTTTTCCTTTATTTAGTTATATTAATAAGCTAAAAAAAATTATGGTAAAAACGATGAAATTAAGAAATTAAAATCTCATTGTAGTAATGAGAATTAATGTATAATAAGATAATTTTTTACAATTTTATCCAATATTATAAATATTAAAATAAACTTATTTTAGACAGAAGTATCTAATGGTGTTTTATTTAAATCATCAAGGTGTGGGGAGTTCGGGACTGTGTGAGTTGGTTTTCCTACCTAAGCTGATAGCCTTGCGAGGCTATTTCATCGTAACCTTAACTTAACGTAGGTGAGCTCACGGGCCTCAAAACTGACGACGTTGCTAAAACGAACCCTAGCAAGAGCCGTGTTTCGCAGAATCTACCACCGGATCGAACGCGACTCACTGAGAAGGTCCGGCAAGAAAGTCAGTGGGTTGTGTCTGTGGGTTAATTTACTCGTCGAGCCCTTCGTCGCAGGCGACGTGTTCGACGAGAACGATGACCGGTACTTAAGGTACCTAAAAGCACCGTTAGTGGATCGGGAGGATCCGAAATGACGTGTTTTGGGCGACGTCGACTGTTTTCCATTCTGTCCGCAGGATCGGGAATGAGTATGTGAGTTAGCGCTGAATGTCAAACGATATACAGTCGTCCCTTCCTGACTGAGCCCCTGTACGCCCACCTGTCCTGGTGAAACTGGAAAAGCCTCCGCGTCACCAGGGATACCTTAATCCAAAAATTAATAAATAAACAATCGCCGTCGCCGCGTCGCCCTAAACTCATCATTTCGAATATTTCCAATCCACTACCGGTGCATATAAGCATTCTAAGCTCCGATCACCGTTCTTGTCGAACCCGTCGCTTGCGACGAAGGGTTCGGACACAGCCTACCGAGTTCCTCGCCCGATCTGTGTGCTTAGTGCGAGTTTTTAACGTTCTCGATAGCGTAAAAGTTACCTCATATTTGTATGGAATGGGATCGTTTGCGTACGTTTGGCGCTAGAGGCGCTGTTTCAACTGCATACAAAATTGGGTAACTTTTACGCTATCGAGAACTTTAAGAAACTCGCACTAAGCCACTGAAGTAGGAAACCTATATAGGTCTATGCACTAAGCACACTGCACAGTGGGTGGTGTTTCTGATCTGGTACTACTTAGTTCATCGAAGCACTGCTCTTGCTTGCGCAGATGTTAGAAAAGTCTCCAAGGCTCGTGATATCGCCTACATTTCGAAGTTAATAGTAATAAAAGCAATAAAGCAAAAAAGCTGTTATTAACAGATTACACTGAAATCAGTTTTATCGGCTAGTCAGTTTTCACTATAGAGTTAAGACAAAATGAAACGTACATGAAGTTTAATCTGTTTTGTCACTTTTGTCAGTTGATCTTTGGACGCAGGCTGGAAGGTTGTTGTTTTTGTGCAGCGTTTAGATAAATAAATTTTGTCCTAAAGTAGTGATAATCCTATATATTTGTTATTTATTACATTATTTCTAAATAATAACGAGAAATTTTATATACAGCATTAATAAAAAGAAATTGTTTTTTCTACAACAGTCATACAGTGTCACCAAGTTAGAAATTTGGATCCGCTGAAAACCGCAGATCACCTTTCTCTATTTTTGATACAAATCCTCGCATCTTAACCGAAATGGCCTATCAGGTAAAATTTTTAGTACCAGTTAATAAGATTTTGAAAGGATTAGTAAAAGGCGCATTAAAATCTGACGAAGCCGCCAAAATATTGAATAATAAAATGTTGTTAAATAAGGGTTTGTAATTTCTAAAACAGAGTTTATATACGCATAAATTTCGCATTTTTTGCGTGATCAGACAATGAAGTATTTTTAAAGTAGGATAATTTATAATTGCAGTACCTAATTAAAGTGGATTTAGTCCGTGTTTTATCATAATATTTATAACCTTTTCATTTGAATGTAAGAATCATTCTAATAAATTAAAAAAGTTACAATATCTATCGAAGTTTGTTGATAATATTAAGTTGATCAATTTTAGGGTGGGACATTGTCCATTGATGACATCAGCTTTAGAAAATAGGGCAAAGGGCGAATAGAGTCCTTGACATGTTTCATCAAACAAGCCTCACAAAAAAATGTCAGGTCATGTTATAACAATAAATATAAATGGTACTTACTTACTTAATATCTTAGATATTAAGTGTACTATGACTTATTCACCATTTTTATTTATTTTATAAGCCCAGTTTCTTAGTAGGTCAATCTTGGTAATTGACATAATTATTTTTTCATTGTCTCAACAAACAGTATGGTACTTCACATTATAGTTACTGCTGTTGTAAATTCTGCTACTTAAAATCGATAAAATTAAAGACATATGATATATTTACATACACCCGTACAACGATTTGACTCTACTTATCCGTTAAATATTAATAACACTTTAAAATTATAATAAATATATTTCGACCATACCTAACTTATCGAAATTTTGTTTTGATTCTTATTCAATAACCCATTAGGTGCTAGGGTTAGTGTTATCGACTTCATCAGGTTAGAGCCCCGTGAGCTCACCTACTCGTTCCGTGAATCTAGTATAACCCCTTGAGGTTACTAGAATAAATAGAAGAAAAAAAAAGTTCAATTGATAGTTGTTAAAGACAAAAAAGCCAGACTAGAGGATTGATGTGCTAACTATGCTTGATAGTTCAAATAAGATCTGATGAATATATTTTCATAAACAAATATAATAAAGTTGAATAACAATTCCGTAGAGAGCTCCAACTGTAGTAGGAGTGCCTAACTTCAATGCTGTAGAAGATGCAGCAGCTTTGAGGGCCGCCATGAAGGGCTTTGGTACAGACGAGCAAGCGATCATTGATATATTGACTACCAGGTCCAACATGCAGCGGCAAGCCATATCACAGGCTTTCACACGAGAGTATGGAAGAGTAAGTATACAACTAACATAGCTATGGAAACTATGTAAATTTTAGGTCTACTTTAAGTAATTAGTCATTTATGACAGAGTTGCAAATATGATAGGACGATGAAAACTCAAAGTTTTAAGAGTGCGACACTTCACCTCAAAATTTTAAGTCCAAACCCAATAATAAAGCATTATGTTAATTAATTTGTTATAACATTGTATACAATAATAGCTTTGACAAGTAATCATAAATACTGACAACAAATTTAAACCGACACCCCTAGTACTTGTATATTGCCTATTAAAATTTATATAGTATTAAGTTAGTGCGAAGCACTGCTCTTGCTAGTACCAATGCCAGCAACACCTCCGGTTTGAGCCCCAAAAGCTCACCTAACAGCTAGGATAATGCTGATATAGCCTCTCAAGGCTATCAGCATAGGTAGGATAAAAAAAAAATTTTGTTAGTAGCCCCAGAATATAATTACAGTAGGTAGTATAGTATAATTAGAGTAAAAATTAATCTTCTCCTAAGTGCACCTTTATGGTATTCATTTTGTTAATGAAATATTAACACTGCTTATCAATGATTAATTACATTTAGAATCGTTCAACCTCAGTGTGAGTCATGCGTGTAACAATATGGCCGCTAGTGGCTCCTAATTTGAAGTCAAGGTTACAAACGTGTTACTCATACATTTAAATTAATGTAAAGCAGAATAATACTGTCAATAAAACATAATTTTAAATATATAAATTATTTTTTTACATTACATTGCATTCTTGTTGTTCATTCATTGGGTTCTCAGACCCAAAGAAGCACGAAACTGAGATTTAGGTGAATGGTATGTTCATAAGCATATGCCACAGGCACAGTCAAGCCGCGTTAATAATTTTTTAAAATGTTTAATTGGCCAAAAAGGTACTATGCAAATACAGTTCCTAAAGACGGTTTTTAAAATAATAAAATAAGTCTTTGCCCAATATTACAATTTCAACCTAATCACGATGGAACACGGTAAATCACTCAAGGATCTCATTGAAGACCTGAAGTCCGAATTGGGTGGTCACTTCGAAGATGTAATTGTGGCTCTGATGACTCCCCCTGAGGAGTATCTGTGCCAAGAGCTGCACCGTTGTATGGAGGGTATGGGCACGGATGAAGACACCCTCGTTGAGATCCTCTGTACCAGAACCAAGCCGGAGATAGCCGCTATTGTGGACACATACGAACGATGTGAGTTTTCAGTTAACGTTTTTAAGTGCTTAAGAAAGTGTTTAACTGGATTACAGCAATTTGTTGTAAATTTTATAAAAATTTAGTGAAAATGTAGGTCAGGTTGTACTGTTAAAATCGCTAATTGTACAAAAAACATTTATATATTTCTTGAAAGTACTAGATTGTCACCAGTTATATGTAAGCCATCATGGCTTAAGGGATAAGACGGCCGGTGAATTCGTATCGAGCGATGCGAATGTGCCGGTGTTCGAATCCCGCGATTTTTCTAACGAAAAACGTACTGACCGCATGCTGACGAATGACTTCCACGGTGGTGAACATCGTGTTGGAAAAATTAAACACGCAAAAGTTATAATTTGCGTAATTACCGGTGCTCGCATGATTTGTGATCACGCACGGGAGGTTCCACACCCTGCCTATTTCTGCCGTGAAGCAGTAATGCGTTTCGGCTTGAAAGGTGAGGCAGTCATTGGACTGTAAAACTGAGGCCTACAACTCAAGTCTCAAGATATCTGTGAGCTCCGGTAGCCACCTAACGCCAGGTAGGCCGTGAATCCATTCACTCGTATGAGCAATAGAAAATAAAAATATTTAGATATTCATGTGATAGAGTTAGTCAAAGGAGACCAGTGTGCTTAGTGCGAGTTTTTTTAACGTTCTCGATAGCGTAAAAGTTAATTTAAATATGTATGGAGTTGGATCGTTTGCCTACGTTTGCCGCTAGGGGCGCTATTCCAATTCCATACAAGCTTGAGTTAACTTTACGCTTGCAACTTTGAGTTTTTGAGTAAACTTGTAAGTTTGAGTTATCTTTTACGCTTGTAACTTGTATGGAATTGGAACAACGCCCCTAGCGGCAAACGCAGGCAAACGATCCAACTCCATACAAATTTAAGTTAACTTTTACGCTATCGAGAACGTTAAAAACTTCGCACTAAGCAAACCGGTCGATCTGCACGGACCGCTTGTCCCCACAGTGTACGACCGCCCGCTGGCCGAGCACATGTGCTCCGAGACGTCGGGCGACTTTCGCCGCCTCCTGACACTCATTGTCGTCGTAAGTAAAGCGATGAAATTCATATAATGCATGGATTTTGATCTTAACCCAAAGTTGATAAGCCTCAGTCAAGATGTCTGCTGCAGTCGTCTTGTAATCGCGCGCAACATAATGACGCTTCATCACTGGTGGTAGGACCTCTTGGGAGTCCACACGGGTAGGTACCACCACCCCGCCTATTTCCGCCGTGAAGCAGTAATGCGTTTCGGCCTGAAGGACGGGGCAGCCATTATAACTATACTGAGACCTTAGAACTTATATCTCAAGGTGGGTGGCGCATTTACGTTGTAGATGTCTATGGGCTTCAGTAACCACTTAACACCAGGTGGGCTGTGAGCTCGTCCATCCAACTAAATAAAAAAAAAAAAAAGGCAAACGTGACTAAGCGACAATGCGTGAACTTTACAGTAGACTAATATAAAGTTGAAATTAATTTAATAAAAAAAAATCTATTTTAACGAATCTAGCTGTAGGATTGAAACGATTTTAATAGACCTAGAAATATTTTTTATAATTTTTTGCGCATCGAATATGGTTATTGCCTATCATTTATGTACAAATCAGTTATTGTCGCTTAAGCCTTGTTCGGACTAGGCGAGTATTTTAGTCGAGTACCGAGTAATTTAGTGGCTAAACTACTCGCTACTCGCCCGAAAAAATAGAACAAAATGGATTGACTTGACTAAAACATTTACTAACCTACTCGACTAAATTTTTGGTGCTCAGACACATTTAGCTACTAAATTACTCGGTACTCGACTAAAATACTCGCCTAGTCCGAACAAGGCTTAAGTCACGTTTGCCTTTCAAGCGTCGATATACAGTACCAGGCAATAAATGTTGCACATCGATATTTAGAAAGAGGCAGTCGTCTAATTTGGTTTTTGTTGTAAGGCTACCTGTTTGCGACGAAACACTAACTATCCGGTATCTATGGAAACTAATTGTCAATTAGGTAATGTGCGACAGATGTAACGCTCTACGAAAGCAAAAATTAACCGTCTCTTTCCCACGGTCGATGTGCAACATTTATCGCCGGGTACTGTACTTAAGTTGTCTAGGGCAATGGAAATTTCCGTTAGAATTGTTTTTCATATCAATTAACCCCCCTTTTGGACTCATCAGTGTTCGTCTTGAGGTCACTCTTTTTATTTCCATGGTATCTGTATCTGCCTAAAACCGCGAATCTCAAAGAATCTGGTAAAACGAACTTTTATTCAGAGTACGGGCCCAATATGCATGCATGTTAAAATTCAAATCGGGATTTGTGACCTCTTTAATAGAAAGGCTTTAGACAGAGACGGGGAGGAAGGTCCATTATGTTACTGAGAGAGAAATGCCAGTGGAGTTAAGACCCTGGTGTAAGTACAAAGGGCTCTGGTCAATATGCATTAAGCTCAACTTCATTCCACCCATCCCTCCCCCACCTGTCTGGACAAATTTGACAAGAACCTACTAATGCGACTTTACATGTTAGTTCAAGTACAGAATTTACTGTAGTTCTTGACTAGCCAAGGTTTTTGATAATCATTCGCGAAGAAGCTACTCTTGAGTTGTTAGGTCTCCTTCGGAGGCGCTCGGGTAGCTGTTAGCAAATCTCACCCCTCTTGGCTGAGCCCTTACTCGCCCACCTGTCATGGTGAAACTGGAAAGGCCTTCGGGACACCAGTAATCTCTCAAACATAAAAAAAAGGTTTTTATAGATCATAGAGAGATTACGCTGGTTATATCTCTCGCTCCCAATTCGACAGCACAGAATCTAGCAACGTACCTGTTTTTGATTAGTTCGTTTGTAAGATCATCATCAAGAATTGTTGCTTCTTTTTATTGTGTGATCTTTGGGTTGGCGATTTCCCACGATACCACTTATTTCTTCAATTTTATTCAAATTCTGTGTGGAGACGACATGTTCAAATAGCTAATAAGCCATTAGAGAGGCAGATAGAATAGCTTAGGATATGATTTTGGTGTTGCTTACTAAGTTATGTTAGCTACTAGTAGAAAAGACTGGGAATTTTTGTGACTAATGACCACACTAACAGATATGTATGTTGATAATTGCTTTTGCGTTGTTTTCATTTACACATTAATCTGTTACACGATTTGTTATGACTGTCCTGTATACATTCGTACGCAAACAATAGACTCCCTAAAGTCTGTTAGATAACTTAGACGCAGAGATTTGGGCTTTTGATACAAAATGTGAAAGTCCTAGTGTTGATTCGATATTTCTTAGCTTTCCCGGAGACTTTTGTTGGCATCGATCGTGTTTTGGGAAATGCATCTGTGTCTAAAAAGTTCTGGAATGTTCATAATTTACTGTCGCGAAATTAAAATAAAACCAAATTGTATCTGAGGATATGATAAGTCTCAACCGTCACTTGGCAGTTAAGTTTTGTTTTGTTTTGTGCAATAGTCCCGTTAACGATAAAGTTTTATAAGTACTTAAGTTTGTCGTGCTTTCACTTCCTTTTTATCACGACGGAGCACTTTCTTTTACTTTCGCTTTCGCCGAGCGACCCGCACGGCCTTGGACTTGATGTACCAATTTGTATGCCTTAAAAAAGCCATTCTATTTGACACATGCTGATAACAATAATTTCTTGTGAACAATCGAGATGTTAGAGAATTTCAAAGATGTAAAAGTATGGTACCCGAAGTCCAAGGCCGCAGAAGGGCGGTGCTATCTCGTTAATAAAGTCTGGTGCGAAGGGGGCCCGCGCAGACGAGGCGCCGGCCGACCCCGAGCGGGCCCGCGAGCTCGCGCAGGAGTTGTACGACGCCGGGGAGGCCAAGTGGGGGACCGACGAGGAGGTCTTCAACAGAGTGAGTGTGACCTACTCCACAGCGCGGACTAACTCGTATATATGTTACGGTAAATGTACACTCTTGGGAAATGTACACTTTTACCGGACAATGTGCACATTTAATGCAAATGCAAAGTGCAAATGTGTACTCTTGCCTTCACGTTTTGGTAAATGTATACTCTTATCTTCATGTTTCAAGAAAAGTTGGAATACAAATAAATTAATAATGTTGTTGCAGTAAAAAATATTTATTTAAATAAATATAATAATACAAAAGGCTTTAATAACGAAAACTATTTTAATAAAAAAATGTTAATGACAAACAAAACATACTTTTCTTTGCATATTATATAATATTTCATAAGGTAGGTTGAATGCACATTACCCAAACGAGGAGGCAAATGTGCAGTGTGCATTTGCCGCAATATCTACTTTTACCGTAACATATACACTTTTCAATCAATTACAAAATTCATTTACTGTTTTTAGGTTTTTATTACAACCAACTATGCCAATCTATAATGCAATAACATCATTGATTTAATGCAATATGAGTTCGACGTGCAACCTAACCCATAGACGCAGCCCTCTGAGTTTTGGCCGGATCTTCTCAGTAGGTCGCGATTGCAATCCGGTGGTACATTCAACGAAGCACTGCTCTTACTAGGGCAGATGTTAGCAAGCTCTTTAAAGCTATGTCCCGTGAGCTTTTTGATTGGTGGGCATCTAAGCGAAGCCAAAATAGACCAAGGCTTTAACAGGAAATTAATTTACGTGTCTAAACTATTGTGCAGTAAAGGACAATGCCCAAAAGTGGGCCAACTTCATGACAAAACTATTTGTACTTGTAAACTATGCCTTATTTTTTCAGGTTGTTTAGTTTATATATCAACATTTCTTTCACCCTGGCATTGTTTTACAAAAAAATAATTTACTTTTTTTTTATTGCTTAGATGGGTGGACGAGCTCACAGCGCACCTGGTGTTAAGTGGTTACTGGAGCCCATAGACATCTACAACGTAAACGCGCCACCCAACTTGAGATATAAGTTCTAAGGTCTCAAGTATAGTTACAACCGCTGCCCCGCCCTTCAAACCGAAGCGCATTACTGCTTCACGGCAGAAATAGGCAGGGGCGGTGGTACCTACCCGTGCGGACTCACAAGAGGTCCTAACACCAGTAAGATAATAAAAATCGAAAAGAAAACGTGTCGCAATATATGAATGGGTTGATTTAACGACGATATTTTGGCGCGTCCAGATCTTAGCCCACGAGAGTTTCGCCCAGCTCCGCCAGATCTTCGAGGAGTACAAGAACATCGCGGGGCGCACCGTCGAGCAGGCCATCAAGGCGGAGATCGACGGAGAGCTCAAGGACGCGCTGTCCGCCATCGGTCAGTGCGACCAGCCTAACCAGACCCCCACCTACACCCGGCTGTCTCTAGGGGTGTATTTTAGGTCCAATCTGAAGTTTCATTACCAGTGTTCGTTCCCGTTGCGCAGACTTATATGAGGATTTTTTTTTATTGCTTAGATGGGTGGACGAGGTCACAGCCCACCTGGTGTTAAGTGGTTACTGGACCCAATAGACATCTACGACGTAAATGCGGCACCCACCTTGAGGTATAAGTTCTAAAGTCTCAAGTATAGTTGCAACGGCTTCCCCACCCTTCAAACCGAAACGCATTACTGCCTCACGGCAGAAATAGGCAGGGCGGTGGTACCCACCCGTGCGGACTCACAAGAGGTCCTACCACAAGTACCAGTCAATCAAAACAAAGTGATGAAAAGCGTTATGTTTATTTTGAAGCAATTCAAAATGAAGACCTAGTCGTTTTAAAATGAAAGCTTATATTCCGACGATCGATATCGCACACATACGACCTTTTTAATTTAAAGCTTTACATGTTGAATTTGTAATGAAACGGTCGCGTGGCTCAATTGAGTACTTCCTGCGTCATCTTAGTCAATTCTCAAGGAATGCTGAACACAATTCAATTTCGGCCAACTCACGTGGGTCACGCTCGCTGGAGCCCGGAAACCGCCGGGGGCATTTTTTTAAATTTTTATTGCCTTTGTAGGCAGACGAGCATATGGCCCACCTGACGGTAAGTGATCACCGTCGCTCATGGACGTCAGCAATGCCAGGGACAGAGCCAAGCTGCTGCCTACAAAATATTTCAATAATGTCTATTTCATTATTTTTTTTCCATAATGCAATTAACCTCTTGCGATGCCATTGTTGTCAGCTCATACAAATCTTCAATTATTAAATAGCGGTTCTGTTATGTGACAAATTATTTGAAGCGAATTGACAGGAAGATTATTAATTTGGGACCGTAATCCATTGGGATGAAATTGAATGTATCGAGATGTTTTTTTTTTTTCTTAGATGGGCGGACGAGCTCACAGCCAACCTGGTCTTAAGTGGTTACTGGAGCCCATGGACATCTACAACGTATGCGCCACCCACCTTGAGATATAAGTTCTAAGATCTCAATATAGTTACAACGGCTGCCCCACCCTTCAAACCGAAACGTATTACTGCTTCACGGCAGAATTAGGTAAGGCGGTGGTACCTACCCGCGCGGACTCACAAGAGGTCCTACCACCAGTAAAGATTGGATGAAATTAAGTCTCAGTTAAATGATGGTTATTAACCGAGATTGCAGTGGACTTTTTGGAAGAACCCGAGGAGATATGGTCAAGAAAAAGAAGAAGCTAAGAGGCTAACGAGCCTGAACAAACACTAAATTCTATATTAACGTCTTTGTGTTCTTTAAGAGTCCACGGCATGCTCGTCAAAGCTGCCTGGTCGCGCGCTTTTTACTATAAACTTTTAAGAATATGGAGAAATTAGGATACAGCTAACAATGCTATTGGGCGAAAACGTCGATCGTTAAAATGTATAGTCGAATGCCGATTAAATAGGCTAGCGGTCGATAGGGTTAAGAGTCCCGAGCAACCACATGTCTGTGCCGGCATCGCTGATGTCCATGGGCGATAGTGACGACTCATTCAGAGATGGTTACCGAATCGCAACTCGTCGAATCCGTCGCTTACGGCGAGTAAATTAACCCACAGACAACAGCCCACTGAGTTTCTCGCCGGATATTCTCAGTGGGTCGCGTTTTCGATCCAGCGGCATATTCTGCGAAGCACGGCTCTTGCTATGGCTAGTGCTAGCAACGTCTTCAGGTTTGAGCCCCGTAAGCTCATCTATTAATTAAGGTTACACTGAAATGGTTACTCAAGACCATCAGCTTTGTTAGTAAAAAAAAAAAAACGCACTGATCGTCCTTTGCGTTGGAAATTTGCGAGTTCGAAATGTCATAGTGACAGATAACCCGCTGCTACAAGCGGAGGAATGTCGCCTCCCCACTAAACCCGCGATGATTCCAGTCGAGTGCGTCCAGAACGCGTCGAGCTGGTTCGCGACCCGCCTGCGCGGCGCTGTCCAGGGGCTCGGGACCGCGGACCGAACCCTCATCCGTATCCTCGTCAGCCGCTCCGAACTAGACCTGGGCGCCATCAAGCTGGAGTACGAACGTCTCTACGATAAGACGCTGGAGAGTGAAGTGAGGGTATGTACGTTACAGTGGAGTGCGTGGAGGACGCGGCCGGCTGGTTCGCGCGGAGGCTGCGCCGCGCCGTGCAGGGCGCCGGCACCGACGATAGGGCTCTGGTCAGGATCCTCGCCACCCGCGCCGAGGTAGACCTCGATAACGTCAAGCTGGAGTACGAGAAGCTGTACGACAAGACCCTCCAGAGCGACATCTCGGTACGGAAACGGGTCTTGCTTCATTTGTATGGTGGAAGTAAAGTCCACATAAAAAAAAGGGCAATGCATGTCAAAGAAGTGAAATTTCTTTTTTTTTGTTTTATTGCCTTTGTAGGCAGACGAGCGTACGGCCCCCCTGATGTTAAGTGGCTACCGTCGCCCATGGACTTCAACAATGCCAGGAGCAGAACCAAGACGCTGACTGCTTTCTTACTTACAAATATCTATAAACAGACAAAATACTACAAAAAATCATATTATGTATATATATATATAATGATTCATATGTAATTCCAAATTATTCGAATATGTACATATTTGAATTTACCTAAAAAGTATAACTTTGTTGATATAAATACCTATTATCTAGTAATAAAACCTTCACACGGATATGTTACGCTCAATAATTCATAATAATTATATTATATTATAATTTCATAATAATTAAACAACCAATTTTTCTCGGTTGTCGTTAGAAATTTCACTTCAAGTTCATGTAAGATTTAGCAAACAGCGTAAGAATGCTCATCCACCACAACACCAGCTTCTACTCGCACTCTGAAACATATTATTACATGCCGGATCCTATATGTATATATTATATAATATTTTATTCCTAACGTAATTTTTTTTCTAAATCAATCAATTCATTTTGACTAATTAACTTGCTTTCAATGTCGTTATGGTTTCGGTATACTATTCCTTGAATCTATGTAACATATTTTAATGTATTACATTCTCGCTACCTGCAATGCGTCGGAACAGCAGGTGAGATTGTATTTTCATACATTTTCCTACGTTGAAGAGAACTTTTCTTATTTACGTCCAAAAAAGTCCAACACACAATATGATTTAAACAAATATTCAGACTTTCTTAAATTCATCAATAATCTACTCCGGGTGATGGAGACTTAAAAGCTATGATTAATTAACTTGCAAGTAATAAAATGTAAATCACTATAATACTAATACATTGCATTTCTTTCCCACCCGCATGTGCATCTGTCCACGATCGACACGAAATATTGCTACACCGCCATGCTGACTACACCGCACGTGCTGCCATCTAACGGTCGAATTGTGAATTACCGAAAATGTCCCGCGTTTTGACAGCAGGGAGAGACCTCTGGAGACTACAAAAGGGCTCTGGTAGCCCTCATCGGACCAGCCTAAGAAGGCCTTTGCTGTTGGAAGCATCCATTCGATGTCATACAGATTGCTTCTTATTCCTCGAATATTTACAACAACGTTAACAAGGATTATTTAAAGAAATTAGTAATATTGTAATTGTATTTCAAGTAAAATTTATTTTTTGTTAAGCTTTACGTGGCATATCTGAGCCAATAGATGTGATTATTTTCACTTTTATCATAAAAATACAATAGATTTTTTTGTATGAAAATAAACAAAATCGTACAATTTGAAAGTACGTTCATTTTGTTTAAATTAAAACAACTGAACAGACTGAGATAGCTGAATAATATCCTTTATTATCATTAAATTAATTTAATAAACTATTTATTTTGTCATTGATAACAATTATACATTTTATAAATTCTAAATCTTCAATTGTAAGTGCACGCATTAGGTACTTTGTACAATCGCCTTATTAATGTCATGAAACATGAAATTGTTGTCAATTTAATATTTTATCGCGTGTTTTTGCATTCCGAATCATATTTTGTGAGGTCCGTGTTTTTAGTATTCAGTTAAGCTTTAAAAGTTTATAAAAATATTTACTATTTAATAAATAGCTGTGTACAATATTTCAGGTGTTTATTATTTCATTTAAAAACCCTCACTGTGACATACAAATCGTGACTAAAAATCTTATAAATTAGTTTTGTTTGTATAAAAGATGTGTTTACATTATCAATAACGAGGTGAATTGTTTTAGGTTCTATTTTATTTTATTATTATTAGCGTATTTAATCGAAAAATAATATATACAGTAAATTAATAATTGCACTACGATTAGATTGGGTATTATTAGAGATCATAATAGATTTTTAGTCAAATAAAAATTTTTAATGAGTCATTCAAATAAACAAAATTTATTTTCCTTGATGCATGATCCTTTTAGCTTTTTTTTTACTTAATGAAAGCATTCTGACAACACAAACCCAATTAAAATGTTCTAAACATCGTTTTACCTTAAGCGGTCATATAGTGGAACTTTTTAAACTGAAATACAGCAAATAAATATTATAGTTTTTATTTACAAAATAATAATTAAATCTAGTCTGTTAAAAAACATGAGTTTACAAATTCATTATGTCCTAGCTGTATCTGCAACGTCAGTACATGTTTTACTAATCTATATCTGATCTATGTAAGGGAACCATTCTCGAAAATGTACTAGATAAAATGAAATGATTAAACTCCTCTGGGATTTTTCTGGAGAGTTCGTACATTACATAACGAGGCTTAAGGAGTGCTTAGATTTAGCTTTACTGTTGTCCATGGACGGCAGTGACCAATTTTCGACAAGAGAGCGGTTACGTGCTCGTCAACCCATGGAAGCGATAAAATTTGTAATCCGATGTAGTTATTAACAAACTTAATTAAAATATCGACATTTTTTGTACATTTCCGACGCTGAGAGCGATGGGTCGTTGACCTGAGAGTTTTGCACGCTACACATGGGATCTTGAAGTGTAGCGACAAGTTTAGACGCAGTATAGTATTGATATATCGGTTTCGTGTATTCAAGGGTTCCCTTACAAAACATGTTTTTTTTGTATTTTCGTAAGTAATTTACATTTTTCTCTAATTTTTTTTAAATATATCCTAAAATATATACAGGGCATATAAAGATCGCTTCCAAAAACGATGGAACGGAACTATATTTTAGTGACGCAGTGTATGACAAATAAGAATGCTGCGATTTAAGGGGTCGATGAACTGTTAGCGCGTGAGTGCGATCATTGACCCCAAGTCTTGTCCCGTGTTTGTTGCAATTTCACAAAATCATTAATTAATACGGGTCGCGGCGGTAACATAATAACAATTTCGATTTCGGAAGCAATCCGTCTACACTCTGTAGAGTTCACAGCACTACGGGTTCTTATTACAGTACGATCACTTAACATCGCTCGGGATGTTGTTCAGTCGTTGGGCGCGAACAGTTTCGCTTGTAGTTCTTCTAATGACAGCACTTCCTCGTCGCCGAGGGCCGGCTGTTGCTCCGCTTTAGATTTCTCACGAAGTTCTGTTTACACAAAAAAATACGTTTTAGAAGTGAAACTTCTTTAGGCGCGTTGAGAGTAAAATTTAACTCGCGACGGATTCGTTACAACTAGAGAGAAAAGATACAATTTAGGACGAGCGAGAGTGAGAAAATAGAGCGTCTCGCGAACCACCTTGGAGAGAGAGAAAGCAAGCTAAGTCGTTTCTCTTATACACATTCTGTTTACGGGCGTCGGCCACTAGATTGCTTGTTATTAGTTTCTCATTGCTCCTCTAGATGGCAGTAACATATTAACTAATCTTATATTTTTAATGAATGATCTAAAAAAAATATATATTTTTCTATTATTAAATAATATATATATGAATGGTTAAGAACTTGTTTCTCTTATACACAGCAATCCCTCTTACAAGAGAAATTTGATTTAATGATGAAAAATGAAGAAAACCAGAACACTACACACCGCAAAAGAAGTTTCACTTCTTTCACGTGCACCAGGTTGCGCGTACCATTTTTTTACTGTTATATTTAATTTTGACCAAAAGTTTCCACGAATTGTAATGAAATGTAATATATTATTTTTGTCTCATTTTCTCTTATTTTTATTATCTCTCGAGAACGTTAACTCTCACTAAGCACACCGACATGTAATGCAGTGTTCTGGTTTGTTGGTGCAGTGCGGGGAGTTGGGGGGGGGGGGGGGTAGTTACGTTGCCAGCGCTGCAGCACGCGCGCGTAGTGTGCGGCGGCGTCGTGCCGCTTGAGCTGCGTGCAGACGTGCACCAGCCCGCGGTAGTCGTACTCCAGCCCCGAGTAGCGCTCGCCGAACAACTTCACGCCTGCGCACACACATACATGATCACTTATTTTAACCGACTTCAAAAAAGGAGGAGGTTCTCAATTGGACTGTATAAATATATATCGACGCTTGAAAGGCAAACGTGATTAAGCGACAATGCGCGAACTTTACAGTAGACTCATTTAAAATTGAAATACCTAAAAAAAATTCTATTTTAACGAATCTAGCTGTAGGTAGGATTTAAATGATTTTAATAGACCTAGAAATATAAATTTTTTGCGCATCAAATATGGTTATTGCCGACCATTTATGTAATAAAGCAGTTATTGTCGCTTAGTCACGTTTGCCTTTCAAGCGTCGATATATATAAGGTATAAAACTTTTGACCGAGTGAATCGATTTTGATGATTCTTTTTTTATTAGAATGCTGACGCTTCCCGTATGGTCCCATTTCAATTTAGTACAGTTCTGATAATTAATGGTATCCATGAGAAAACCATATAGTGTATATTAATTTGTCTTTGAATATCTTTTTGGAAGTTTTTGCTTCACGTATTAATATCTTATCTACGTATTAATATCTGCGGTAGGCAGCGGCTTGGCTCTGCTCCTAGCATTGCTGAAGTCCATGGGCGACGGTAACCACTTACCATCAGGTGGGTCGTACGCTCGTCTGCCTACAAAGGCAATAAAAAAAAATCTTATCGAAACCCCTCGAGTGGGGTTCTATCAATTCGAATGAGACTATCGTTTGACTGTGGATCTCCGGTGAGCACTTAACATCGGGCGGGACGCGTGCTCGCTGTAGAGTCGGCAACAAGGCAAGGTGTCTGACTTATGTGTATGGAGCGCAGGTAGAGCTTCTCTGCGGCGCGGTGCATGTTCATGTGGTAGTTGTAGAGCGAGGCGAGGTGGCCGATGCTGAGCCCCACCTCGTAGTCCTCGGGGCCCAGCAGCTCCTCCTTTATCGCTATCGCCTTCAGGTGCATCGTCTCCGCGTCCTGGAATTTAACACAATTTTTTGTCACTTTATTTATGCACAAAACAAATTGTATACAACCATAGTAATTATAAGTTTAAATATTTTATAATACTTTTTAAACAAATACCTAACCGGACAGTTCTTATTTTTCAGAATTGCCGCGCAAACTTCACAGAACGCCGGTAAAGGCATACTAATTTTTTTAAGGGATTTTATGACCTGGTAACTAAGACCTTTAAGTCATGTCTTATTTTAATTTATATTCTTAATTTATGAAAAATAATAATAAGGAGTGAAATGAAATGAAATGAAAATGATTAATTTGAGACATTAATCAACCGCTGGTAGGCAGCGGCTTGGCTCTGCCCCTGGCATTGCTGACGTCCATGAGCGACGGTGACCACTTACCATCAGGTGGGCCGTATGCTCGTCTGCCTACAAAGGCAATAAAAAAAAAAACTGGGATGAAATTAAATGAAATGAGATGATATAGAATGAAATATAATCTCAGTAAAATGGTCGTCATTTACTGAGATTATTTCAGTGGACTTTTTGAAGGATCCCGAGAAGTTACGTCCAGCGGCTTTGTTTCATTTTCCCACATTTGTGCACTTTTACAGATACTAAACAGTTAATAAGCCACCGTTATTAGACATTTAAACCTGAAGAATAACTAAATAGACAAAATAAAACAAATCACACACCTTCACTCCTCGTCTTCCCGCCAAAAAATCCTATTTAATATAAAAATCTGGATTGCAATTCAAAACAGGTGCATACAGAAAAAATATAACAACTGAACAGATGCCCAAATACCTTGTGTGTATATACACACACACACTCATATGTTAGTCACCATCTAATTAAATTAAATCTAATATACCATTATTTAATTATCATTACTACGTATTTAAAAAATTTAACGTTTTACTGGTGGTAGGACCTCTTGTGAGTCCGCGCGGGTAGGTACCACCGCCCTGCCTATTTCTACCGTGAAGCAGAATGCGTTTCGGTTTGAAGGGTGGGGCAGCCATTGTACTGTTAAAAGTGAGACTACAGCTCATGTCTCAAGGTGGGTGGCGGCATTTACATTGCAGATGTCTATGGGTTTCAGTAACCACTTAAGATCAGATGAGCTCGTCCACCCATCCAAGCAATAAAAAAAAGTTCTTAAAAAAGGACAACAAATCTTTACGTATAAAAATTTCATAACGTTTGTCCACGATGAGCTTCAAAACTAATTAACGAATTTTAATGATAATCCGCACGCTGTGCCTAGTTTGATCCAGTTTGAGAGACAGGCTTATTTTTATCTCAATTTAAAATAAAAATATTTTCTTATTTTTCATTATTGATTTCATGAGACAAAAACATGTGTGAGCTTTAAAAGTTTCTAACAGATGGTGGTATGAGTTAGCTTATCGATATAAAGCTCAGGTGTTTGGGTTGGGCGGGTGTCTAACAGATGGCGCTGTATAGTCTACACGATTGATTTATGCTAAAATTTGTAAACATAAAATTAAACAAGGATCAATGTTTGTCCTTCATGCGTTCATGAACTGTAAATCCGATTTAGATGAGATTTTATTGAAATTTAGTCCAAGATGTAATCGGCGGCCAGGAGGTTTATGTCGTAGTTCCACCAACGTTCAACAGATGGCGCTGATTTCATGAAACCGATGTTTTTAACCGACTTAAAAAAAGAGGATGTTCTTGATTCGAATGCATGTTTTTTTTAATGTTTGTTACCGCATAACTTTTGACTGTGTGAATCGATTTTGATGATTCTTTTTTTATTAGAAAGCTGACGTTTCCCGTGTGGTCCCATTTCAATTTAGTCCATTTCTGATAATGGTATCCATGAGAAAACCATATGTCTTAAATTTGCATTAAGTACGTGGGCGACAAATAGATAAATAACTCAACAACTCAATATCACGCCAACCAATTTCGATGATTATTATTTTTAGTGTATATTAATTTGTTTCTTTGACGTCGGTTTTGTTAGAGCATGTCTTTTTATTGTACAGCGAAATTGATAAATTAGCGCGAGGGACAGGCAGCTAAGTCATTGCGGCTGCATCATGCACGTGCTGGGTGACGTCACGACTCACGTGGAACTTGTGCATGCTCTGGTAGAGTCGGCCCAGGTTCCCGTAGTGCTTCGCGGTCTGCACGTTCTTCTCGCCGAACGCCAGCATGGACAGCTCCAGCGCGGCCTTGTGCAGCGCCTCCGACTCCTCCAGCAGACTCGGCTCTGTCCCACAACAAAACAATGTAATACTACCGTTGAATTTCGATTTTTTTTTATTGCTTTGATGGGTGGATGAGCTCACAGCCCACCTGGTGTTAAGTGGTTACTGGAGCCCATAGACATCTGCAATGTAAATGCCGCCACCCACCTTGAGACATGAGCTGTAGTCTCACTTTTAACAGTACAATGGCTGCCCCACCCTTCAAACCGAAACGCATTACTGCTTCACGGCAGAAATAGGCTGGGCGGTGGTACCTACCCGCGCGGACTCACAAGACGTTCTATCACCAGTAAAATTAAACTATTTGTTAATTAAAATCGATTTGAATTAGTGGCCTCTGATTGAACAGGACCCGGCGACAGATGTCGCTAGTCGGCCCTTGGACGGAGACCATCAGCTTCGCGGAGCGTTCTCTGTAAATCTTGATCTCCATCAAATTTATTTATTCAACTTCATGCACATAAGCACAATGGCGGACTTAATGCCTGAGGCTATTCCAACAAATTCCGACTACGTGAGGACCGGTAGGTGAACTCACGGTCTAAACCTGGGTGGTCTTGCTAACACTGGCCCTAGCAAGAGCGTTGCTTCGCAGAATATACCACCGGATCGGAAACGCAACTCACTGTGAAGATCCGGCCGCCGGATCTTCACAGTCCTCTAAGTTTCTCGCCTTCCGGATTCCGACGAGAAACTTAGAGGGTTGTGTCGTCTATAGGTTAGGTTGCACGTCGAACTCCGATGTCGATGAATGTCGAAAGTCCGAGAGGAAATTTTATGTATTTCGTATAATTAATTTTCTTACTGCATCGAATATTATTATGAAGCAAGAGTTTGACCAAATCACCCTTCTTTCAATCCCAATATTGAACACTGCAATAGCGTATAAATCTTAGTTAGCATAATACTTTAAAAACTGTATAAGGAATAATAAATCTTTATATTACACAGCTATTTGATAAACAAATCAAATATTGCTTTTATTAAAGCGCAATTGAAATAAACTTGTGCACATTGTGAGTTAAAAAAAAAATACACTTGTGTTATCTGTGGACCGTGCGGCCGCCATGTTTCTTGGGATTTAAGGTCGAAGTTAAATACTCGAAGGTGAATAGTGCTACATATATGTGGGATTTTAAATTCGGGGTGGGCCAGTGAAACGCTCGATCACTTCGCAAAAACTCGATGCTTTATTTCGTCTTAAGTAACCCCAATACAACGTCTTTCGTATTTTCGTCTTCCGGGTTACGCGTCCGGAAACTACTCCCTGTTGCTTATGCAATAAAACTAGATGTTCCGCATTCATTCGCCTCCTTGCTAACACGACATCTCCTATCTCTCTCACTCAGTCATGCTCCATATCGCTCCGTTCCGTTCCTACATATATATTGTCGTGGTGGTGCTCACCGCTCATGTCCTGGCGCGCGGGCGTGTCCAGGGCTATCTCCTCCAGTATGAGAGCCTTGACGCGTTTCGCTGACGCCAGGAGCAAGTGGTCAGGGGGCACCAGGTTCTGAAAGTTAAGGTTTAGTAGCGACGTCGTCACGCCGAGGTTGAAGTCCTTACACTTACGATGATAGCATTCCCTTCGGTTTCCTCCAGTCATAGACACACTTACAAAATTCGTCATTGTCTTAAGTCATTTGCAACGTCTTTAATATCAACAATCGAGACGTTTGAACATTGTGCTGACTACCGTCAAATTTTTTATAACATACACCCGCCCGGCGGCGGCGCGGGGTCGCTGACCCTTGAAAGCGCCCGCACCGCGTGACTGCGGTCATTGACCTTCGAGTGCTGTTTTTCATTTATTGATTCAATGATTCTAACTTAAAAATAGACTTTATTAGTTAAGTTGTTATTTCCAATGTAATGTGCTGGTCGGTCGGTGTACCTGTATGATCCTAATGGCCCTCTCGGCGTGCTCCCTCGCCTTGTAGAAGCGTCCCGAGGAGTACTCCAGCACGTAGAGCGCGTAGGCGAGGTCCTCCTGCGCGGTGGCCACGTGCAGACTGTGGCGGCCGAACGCGGCGCTCAGCGCGGCCAGCGCCTCCTGCGACAGGCGCGGACGGGGGGGTGAACGGGGGGTTGGGGGATATAGGTACGTGAAGTACCTATATATTACAATACGAGTAAGTTCTGGTGACATCAACGAAAATAGGTAAATAAAAATTTGGCGAATTACACTTATTAGGATTCTGGGGAATTCCTAAGAAAAAAGCAGTGGTTTAGTCCATGATTTATTTTACTACAGGGTTACCAGTATAGGCTTTGCGTTTTATCCCGAAATTCCCTAAATCCTTGTATTTTTCAAATTGTCTTTAACCATCCAGAATATCAGCTATTTTTCCCTAAAAAATGGATAATTCCCTAAAAGCGGCAACAGTGCCGGCGACCCGCACGCACCTCGTACACGGCGACGCTGTGCAGCACGCAGTCGACGTTGAGCAGGTAGAAGCCCAGGTCGAGCAGCGCGGCGGCGTGTCGCGGGTGGCGCGGCCCGTAGGCGGCGCGGGCGAGCGCGGCGGCGTGGCGCACGAGCAGGCCGGCGCCGCGGAACCGCCGCTTCACCACGCACGCCTTGCCGCACGCGCGCAGCACCTCGATCGTGATCCTGCAACGCGCGACCGCACGTTAGCTGTGCGCTATACGACCACACCTATTTGTGCTGATATTTATCATTTATGACTACATAGATCTAGAGCACTTACTGGTGATAGGACCTCTTGTGAGTCCGCACGGGTAGGTAACACCAGCCTGCCTATTTCTGTCATGAAGCAGTAATGCGTTTCGGTTTGAAGAGCCGTTGTAACTATACTGAGACCTTAGAACTTATATCTCAAGGTGAGTGGCGCATTTGCGTTGTAGATGTCTATGGGCTCCAGTAATCACTTAACACCAGGTGGGCTGTGAGCTCGTCCACCCATGTAAAGAATAAAAAAAAATATTTCAAATAATTTTACTAGTATTTTTTCATATTCTGCGCCATGCAATGTGTTCATAATGCGGTCCCAGTGTCGACTTCATACCAGCTTTGATCCAATTAGCTTGATACCACCTTGATACCTTGATGCTTTGATACCAAGCAACAACTATTATTTATCCCTGATTAGATTAGTTAAAAATATTTAACGTTTACTTCACAAACGTAGTTGATACTGAATATTATCGACATTTAAGTAATTGCCGAGCTCACTTGACGGGCGTGTGCGGAGTGAGGAGCTTGAGCGCCCTCATGCTCCACATGTAGGCGGCTCCGTAATCGCAGCGGACGAAGAACAGCGAGCTGAACTCCTTGCACAGCCGCGCCAGCAGACTGCTGGAGCCCCACGTGCCGGTGCTGCCGCATCTGCAGCACTCCTCCGATATCTCCCCCTCCCTCTCGCATGGATTCGTGATGTCGCTGAGAATGTTTTATTTCGTTTTGTTAACATAATTGCGAGGGAGTCCGTATAGAGTCCCTTCTTTATTTCACCGTAAAATCGTGTTTTATGTAATTAACACCACAGTTGAAACAATATTAGTTTTATTGTTGTAACGGCATAAATAATTCTAAGATATTATATTATATTAGTTATTATACACATTATATTTTATTTTAATATTTTTAAATTTTCCGGCGGTAAAAAGTGTCAGAGACTATCTACTTTTTGCCACCTCTCGTGCGTTCCGGCTTACGCATCATAAAAAGGTGCGTTCATAAACGCCACAATTGTATTCAAAACATACGACGAAGACTTCGTTGACACCATACTACGATATTCTTCCCCACCAAAGATTACTGTGCTATGAACTGTATGAACTAGAAAGCTATAGACGCTTTGAAAGCACACTCAAACAGCTTCCGACACGACTTCCTACTGTACGTTTGTGAAAAGAACATTGTATAGAGTAGGAAATATTTTGACGAAATCCTAACTTGCGCTAAAGACATCTATATAAGTTTACGTATAGACAGATCCTGAACATTCATTCGTATTGTTACGCCGGTAAGAGTAGCGCCATCTATCGACGAATAGTCGAACGAATGTCAAAGGATCTATTCTAGTAGTATCTAGAACGCTCGAGAATTACAACGCTATCTATTGTCAGATAGCATAAACACACAATACACGAATTTCGTTGAATATTCTCGATAATTATCGGAATGTGTTATTGGCTCCAAAAGCGTTACAAAGATGGCACGCAATCAGTCAGTAATCGGAACTACTCGAAGCGAAATAGTGAACGGATTATCTGAAGCGAAGCGGAAGAAGTGAATTAAGAATTTTAAAGTGTTAGTGAAGTTTTTTAAGTGTTCTTAGTGCTAATACAGTGTTAACTTGTAATTCGGTAGAATTTTATTTATCCCGAACTCCAGCGCGTAACAATATCACACAGGCCTACAGAACAAAGAATTTAGTCCCACCCCTACTCTTTGTGGTACCCCAAACGCGCTTGATTGTTTTACGCTTCTCTCGACGTTACATGAGCCTATAGCGACTACAACCATCAAAAGTCTGGTCTCGGTGCTTTCTTATCGAATTAATTCTTGAAAAAGCTCACCCGTCAGTCTGCGAGGCTACGTCGCAAGTTTCCGCCACACTGAATGAGCATTCGGGAAGCTCGGCGACGTCTTCAGTGATGCCCAATAGCTTTAAGGCCAGCGAGTACGTCTCGGCCGCGGCGGGGAAACAGCAATACGCTGATTGTGTGTTCAATAATCTGGAAATGATTAATGAATATGTGACCTTGCCGTCACCGACATCCTGCTATCAGCTGCAATGACCTGTCGAATAAAACCCTCCCGGGGACAGGCGGATTGACCAGTCTACTGTTACGATGTTAATTAAATTTCATTTCGATTACGTTCCCTGAAGTCCGTAACTGCAACGTATTTACGAACCGTATAGATGAGGAAATTTTCGTTGAGTTATACCAGCCTTTCCCAAAGTGGACGATAACGCCCCTTTTGGGCGCTGCAGGCCTAAGGGGGGCCGGGAATGTACAATGTTTTCGTGTCGATTACATGAGTTTTATGGCAATCAAATTTTGCTGATGGTAGGGCGTCTTGTGAGCTCCCTCGGGTAGGGCACCACGACTGCATATTTTTGTCGCGAAACAGTAATGCGTTTCAATTTAATGGATGGAGCATTTGTGGCTACTATAAAACTGTGACTTAGAACTCATATCTTAAGGTGAGTGGCGGATTTTATGATTTTGATGACCAATAATGGGATTAAGACGACTTTGGAATTCAGCATCAATGTCGCTATCCACTGCGCGGAGGACAGGAGAGAATGGAGGAACATAGTCCTATCAAAAGTACTCCGTAAAGGTCACGACCCTCAGCACTGAGGAATACGAAGCACGGAGGAGGTAATGGGCTCCAGTAACCTCTTTACACCAGGTGGGCTGTAAAAAAATTACAATAAATGTACAATAAGTTGTTGACAATTAAAAAAATTGTTTCCTTCAGACCTATGACAACATTCGAGGGTCAGTCTTTTGTAGTACGTCGACTGCGGCTGTGCCTGACAGAGGCTCCTGCACTTGAGGAGGACGGTCTGCGCGTCCGCGTACCACCCGGCTTCGTTCAAGAATCCACCTGCGAAAGTCGAGATTGAAAAGATTCGAACCGCTATTATTGTTGTGGGCGCAAACAGCTGTTCTAATTAAACCAAATACCAACGAGTCTTCGCAGAGACATTCATATGAATTCACATCATTATAATCTGCCCGTCGTGTTCTTAATGTAAATATTTATTACTGGTGGTAGGACATCTTGTGAGTCCGCACGGGTAGGTACCACCGCCCTGCCTATTTCTGCCGTGAAGCAGTAATGCGTTTCGGTTTGAAGGGCGGGGCAGCCGTTGTAACTATACTTGAGACCTTAGAACTTATATCTCAAGGTGGATGGTGCATTTACGTTGTAGATAGCTATGGGCTTCAGTTACCACTTAAGACCAGGTGGGCTGTGAGCTCGTCCACTCATCTAGGCAATAAAAAAAAACGACCAACTAGAGATGCAGATTACAAAACGTTTTCTTTGATGGGAGAGCAGAAAAATTTAAGCATGCCGTTCCAAAGTGAATTAAACCAGACGTCTTTCAGATTCTGTTCGTAATAATGCTAAAAAAAATTATTCCAGGGGTCCAATTGAGTCCGAAGCTCACGAACCACTCGGTGTTAAGACACGACAAATGGGACCGAAGTTTCCAGACTGTCCCACAATAATATTACTAATAACCGATTCGCAATATCCATGATGGCGTTACCGATGGTCTAGGTGAAAACGTCGACCCTGGCTTAGTCATGCGACAGTGAAGATCAGTAGGAATACTCACCGAGCCTCAACCCGAGCTGTATCAGAGAGTTCCTAGATCTGACGTTCGCATTGCACTTCTCAACGTAAGCGGTCGCTAGTTCGGTTGACAGCTTCGAACAGTGTTCTATGACTGCCTGAAATAAACAATTGTTATTTAACGAGAGCGACAAAGACAGGGTCATGAGTGTGATTAGAGCGAGTTTTTAAAACGTTCTCGATAGCGTAAAAGTTAACTCAATTTTATATGCAGTTGGAACAGCGCCCCTAGCGGTAAACGTTGGCAAACGACGCCGACGACGACGACGACGTTAACTTTTACGATATCGAGAAAGTTAAAAAACTCGCACTAAGCACACGGTAAATTGTAATAGAGCAGTTAATGAAATTTAATCTTCATTAAAGTCTATAATTATTATAAAATATTATTAAGTTTAGGAAAAAGTTTTAAATCGGCCACTCTAAGTCCATGTATGGCGAAACGCTACATAGCATTGAAGGCAGCGGTTTGGCCGTGCTCTTGGCTGACATCTAAGGGCGGCGGTAACCACTCACCATCAGGTGAGCGGTGTGCTCGCCTGCCTACAAGGGTCATCATCATCATTATTTCCTATTACCCTCTGCTGGGGTGTAGGGCTCGAATCAAATTTTTCCCTTTATATCGGAAGCCTACAAGGGTAATAAAAATAAACTTTTTATTCTTCTATCATCATTATCCTGCCCTTCTCCCAGTCACCTGGGGTCGGCGCAACATGTTTTCTCCTTCCGTACTCCTCTATCATATACCATTTCTTCGCTCACTCCCCTCTTACACACATCGTCTTTCACGCAATCCATTCAATTCTTCTTAGGTCTACCTCTTCCATTAAAGTCTTCCACATTCATAGTTAAAACTCTTGTAACTTAAACTTCTTATTCTTGTGTATACACATAGGATTATCTTCAAATTTCCGTTAGCCCAATTCAGGTTTCGGCCAGATTTATTATTTACCTACTGTATTATTTTATGATATCGACCGCTACATTGTAATAATATGCAATACGTACATATTCAATAAAATCTCCATCAAATCACGTTGCTCTTACAAAACATCACAATCAAGTAATTACGTAACGTTTATACGACATTTTTATAACATATTTTTAACATATTAATCGGGTGCATCATGGGTCGCCGCGCTAACAATTCCGCGTTCGCTACACGTTAGGGTTGTCAGTAATTTTACCGACTTCAAAAAAAAAATTTGTACCCACTCAATGCCTCTGCATTTTTAACAATAATCCTTGTTGAATAAATCCTTGTGTTATTTTTCCTGTATCAATTATTAAAGCAAATTTTTTCCCTGAAAATAGTGGCACAGATCTGTAAGTCCGGACTAATTAGGATTTGAAAGATGAAACGTTTTGAAGACATCGTGGCCTAAAGGATAAGACGGCCAGTGTGGTCGTTACAAGCCACTGCGACTGTGCCGGTGTTCAAATCCCGCAGACAGGACACATTTTTCTTAAGTAATAGTACATAATACGTACAGTAAATGCTCTTTATTAGCGGTGAATATGTTGCGTAAATATGCCGCGAATAAAGAAACAGTAAAGAATGGTAATTTACATATATGGGGTTATAGGGGATAAGTTCCCAGAAGACAAAATAAAAACATACTTTATACAAGCTTGTAATAAGGTGTATTTTTCTTTTTTTTAAGTCCATTTGACGACGCTTTTCTATCAATGTGTGTGTATGTACCGATTAGATCCGCGAATAAAAAAATCTTTTGTCGCGAATATAGGAAATGGGTGGATTTTTTTTAATTTGCGAATAATAAAAACGCGAACGAAGGAAGCGCAAATAAGGAGTTTTTACTGTACTTAACACACATTCAAGAAAGATTTCCATGATGAATTTTTATTCGAACAATTATAATCAGGACAGCAAATTTTATACTTCGCGTAATTAATGGTAGTAAGACGTGTTTCAAGCCCGTTCTGGTCTATCACGATAATGTGTATTCTGCCGCGACACAATACGTACGCGTTCGAGATTGTGGACTTTGAGATATCGATTGAGAATTCGACCTCATGTCTAGCCCACGACGCTTGCCAACAAAACGCTCTCTCCCCTCTTAATGCATAATGATATAGTGCAATAAAAAAAAAATATAAGCCACTAAATAGGGTAAGAAGGCACGATTCTTATTTTATTTTTATTTTTAATATTCTGACAGCCCTGATCGCTCTCGCAAAGCGTCAATCCACAAAAGTACATTGTTCACAAGCTTTTATAACGTAAGCATAGGAAATGTTTTACAATGATTTCGTTTCGATTTGTCTGACGAGCTGCAGTTGTTTAAAGAGCATTTGTCGATATTAACTGTGGCGGTAGACATCATACAACGCAATATATTTGACAGATGCCCAGGGATGTCTTAAATTAGGATGGGGCCCTTGGGCACACAAGAATTTGAGGCCCTTTTGGAAAGTAAAAAAAGCGAATTATAATAACATTTTTTTACTGAGTATGACCATTTATTATAGGTTATCAAATACAGTATGATATAATATGTCATTAATGATATCAGAATGCTGCTGGTTTTTTGGTTACGATTTCGATAACGGTTTCTTTCGGGATGTCTGTTGAGCAAAATCTTTTATTATAGGCATAGTATATGCCTTGTAGATAGATACCTTCTAATTACTGATTTGTGAAAAAAGTGTAATGTGCCCGACAAAAATGTTTTGAGAATAAGCGTGTGAGAGAAATTGTCGGTCTTTCGGGCCCCCCTGAGAATGGGGGCCCTGGACACGGGTATGGTAAAGATGGTATTGCAGATGCCTTAATCTCGCTTACGACATTTTCAAGATAAGCTTGCATATATACAAGTTCCGAACAACAACATTCGGACCGTCGGTCTATCGAGCAAATATCACCCGCTCGGTGGAAGATCGTCTCTCCGTCGTTAAGTATCCCAAATTAACCATATTATTAGAAGACATTTCTTAAGTCATAATATTATTATATTACCATTTTAAATAATATAAACTTTACGTTACATATGTATTCACAAATTCTATAAAACACTTGTAGATTTTTGTAATGGTTACGATTATTTTGGTTCCTTGAAAAAATACCGGTGTGTTTTACTGTTAAGGTGCACACTGATTACCAACAGATCGGTGTGAACAAAACACCTAGACCTTAGTGCCAACCTCACGATGCAAATTCCACCACCAACCTTGAGGGATGTGAGGTCCAAATTTCAATTGTAACGGCTTAAAACCACCCTTTGAACTAGGAAAGCTTTACTGCTTCGCGATAGTAATGGCCAGGGTTGTAGTACCTATCCGTGTAGGCTCACAAGAAGCTCTTCAGCAAGCAACATCAACCAACCGGGCAACAGCAACCAACCAACATCAACAAACATCCAACCTGGTGGCAGGACCTTTTGTGAGTCCGTACAGGTAGGTACCACCACCCTGCCTATTTCTGCCGTGAAGCAGTAATGCGTTTCGGTTAGAAGGGTGGGGCAGCCGTTGTAACTATACTTGAGACCTTAGAACTTATATCTCAAGGTGGGTGGCGCATTTACGTTGTAGATGTCTATGGGCTCCACTAACCATTTAACACCAGGTGGGCTGTGAGCTCGTCGACCCATCTAAGCAATAAAAAAAAACTCATCAAAGCGGTATTTTGTTTCATCACTAGTCCCTCACCTGGAAGCACTCGAGGAGTTTCAGCTGGCAACCTGCGAACCGCAACAGCCTCTCGAAGACATCCAACTCTGATAGCTCCGTGTGTAAAATACACAACTTCTTCTCCTGCAGCATCTGTAATTAAGAGAAACGTACCGGTGAATTTAATGTTAGAACATTCTGTAGTCCTGACTTTGAACTACATTTATATAAGTTCTCCTTTTTTTTTATTCCTACCTAAGTTGATAGCCTTGAGAGGCTGCTTCAGCGTCACCTTAACTAGTAGGTGAGCTCACGGGGCTCAAACCTGACGACGTTGCTAACACGAAATCTAGCAAGAGCCGAGCTTCGCAGAATCTACCACCGGATCGGAAACGTGACCCATTGAGAAGATCCAGCGAGATACTCAGTGGGCTGTGTCTGTGGGTTAATTTACTCGTCGAGCCCTTCGTCGCAAGCGACGGGTTCGACGAGAACCATGACCGGTGCTTGAGGTACCTACTCAGGTTAGTGGATCGGGAGGATCCGAAATGACGTGTTAAGTTCTCCATCATCCGTCCGCAGTAGCGTCTTATAGCGTTACTAGTGGCCGGCTCCGGCTCCGCTCGGGTCTTTATCAAAAATTTCAACGATATTGACGTTATTTTTTAAAATAAAAGAACACTTATTGCGGCATAACTATAATAGTTATTAGACATAATTTTCTGTCGCGACACTTTTTATAAATAATAATGTGTTCTACAAAGTCGTAGTACATACATTATTTCATTCTTTCATCAATAGTTTTCGCAGGGCACGCGATGTAAAGAATATTTTAGGTAATTTTTTTACACCTTGGGTTACATTATTGGAGTTTCAGTAAGGATCCCTAATTTTTTTCAAAAAAGATTATAGCCTATGTCGCTCGGGAATAGTGTAGCTTCCAAACAGTGAAAGAATTTTTTAAATCGGTTCAGTAGTTTCGGAGACTATTCAATACAAACAAACAATACAATACAAACAAACAAACAAACAAACAAGCAAATCTTTCCTCTTTATACCTAGTCAGGTCATAAATTCTGTCACATATTTAATGTAAAATAATTGAAACAAGTTTATTTATTAGGTAACCATTCATATACCAAAATGAACTTAACAAAACATAGATTCTTATGACACTAAAGTTTATTCAAAATGACCTCCGTGATTTTGAATACAGGCCTTCAATCTGCGCGGCCAGTCGTCTATCGCAGCACGAACGAGGTCCATGTCAATATCGGCGGCTGCCTTAATCAAGGATGTCTTGAGTGACTCCAAATTGGGATGAGGCTTTGAGCACGCCTTTTCCTCCAAGTGTTGCCATATCTTGTAATCTAACGGATTCAAATCTGGACTGGAGGAGGGCCAGTCTTCGTGCCGGATGAAGTCGATTTCACGCGCCGCCAGCCAGTCTTGTGTGCTCTTCGCTCTATGAGCTGGCGCCGAATCTTGTTGGAATACCCAGTGCCTGTTATTGAACATGGTATGAGAAACAGGTTCCACAAGGTTCGTCAGGACTGTATTTTGATACACAACTGCATTCGTTTTTACACCTTTCTCACAAAAATGTACCTCTGTTAAGCCCCAATAAGAAACTCCCAACCATACCATGAGCGAGGATGGAAAATGACCTCGTTGGACACGCGGAATACGGTTGCTCGCTTCTTCACTACTGTGTGCGTACACCTTATCATTTTGTTTGTTGTAGCTCTCTTCTACGGTAAAAATTTTTTCATCCGAAAAAAGAATTTCCCGATATTTTTTTCCCGCGTACCGCTTCAACAAAGCGCGGCATCTCTTCAGTCTCAGGTCCATTAGACGAGCATTCAAACGATGTCCTGTTTTTCTTCGATATGCCCGAAGCCCTAAGTCTTCATTTAACACCCTTTTCACCGTGGTTCTGCTTAACCCCATCTGAAGGGCCAACAGTTTCTGCTTACGTTTGGGATTTCTTTGAATTCGCGCCTTCACAGCTTTTATCACTGCTGGAGTCCTAACAGACCGAGGGCGACCACTTCTTGACCTGTCATCTACACTAGAGTCTTCATTGTATCGTTTGATGGTACGATAAACGAATCTTTTGGTTATATTCAAATTTTTCAGTATGTTAAAAATTTGAATTGGCGCGTAACCGCAACGATGCAACGCAATAACTGCAACACGGTCTTCTTTAAGCGTCCACTCCATATTTAAAAATGAGTAAAATTCTATACAGTATACATTTTTATTTTCATGAACGATTCGAAATTCGAATTCAATAAACTTTTTTGTGGCCAGCATTCTAAAAGAAAAGTTTTTACTGTGTGACAATACTTATGACCTGACTAGGTAATATTAGTATAGAAGTATAGATAGTATAGAAGTATAGATAGTATAGAAGTATAGATAGTATAGAAGTATAGATAGTACAGAAGTATAGATTAACAATCAATCCACGAATCGCTTTTGGTTAAAATTCAGAAGGTGGGAGTTGGCCCTGGGTATAAGATGATCTTCAGACGCTCGTATGGAAGCGTGTCTTTTGTATTGCCCTTGTAATAAGGCAAGCATACTGCCCACCTGACGGTGGATAGTTACGATCGTTCATGCATATCAGCAACGCCAAACGCCAAAGCCAAGCCACTGCCTAGAAAAAAGGAGATTAATCAAGCCCATTGATAGCCCACTGAGTTTCTCACCAGATCTCCTCGGCGGGTCGCATTTCAGATCTGGTGGTAGATTCAGCGAAGCACTGCTTTAGCTAGAGCTAGTGTTGGAAAATTCGTCAGGTTAGAGCCCCTTCAGCTCACCTACTTACAACTACTTGCAAGTTTAAGCTGATATAACCCAGCATAGGCAAAAAATGCCTATTGATGAAATAAATGTGCGTACAATTATGTTGCTGAATATTATAACATTGTATTAACAATAGCGACTGTACAGTAGTCATCATAAGTGTGTTACGAGCAAGCGTCGCGACGCACATATTGTATTCGTAGAGTAAGTCATAACTGCTAAGCGTTTTTTTCTTTAGTACANAGTTTAAGCTGATATAACCCAGCATAGGCAAAAAATGCCTATTGATGAAATAAATGTGCGTACAATTATGTTGCTGAATATTATAACATTGTATTAACAATAGCGACTGTACAGTAGTCATCATAAGTGTGTTACGAGCAAGCGTCGCGACGCACATATTGTATTCGTAGAGTAAGTCATAACTGCTAAGCGTTTTTTTCTTTAGTACACTTTTCACATTATAGTTCCTAAGCTACTAATTCTAGTTGCTATATCTTTTATTTATTGCATAGATTGGTGGACGAGCTCATAGCCCACCTGGTTGTAAGTGGTTACCGGAGCCCATAGACATATATAACGTAAACACCGCCACACACCTTGAGATATGAGTTCTAGGTCTCAGTATAGATACAACGGCTGCCCCACTCTTCGAACCGAAACGCATTACTGCTTCACGGCAGGGCGGTGGTACCTACTCGTGCGTACTCACAAGAGGTCCTGCCACCAGTAAATTGCTTAGATTAGTAGATAGCTTAATATAAGTCTGAAGCATAAACGTGCCAGAACTTCACTAACTCTATTTTAATAGGGATTTAGTAAAACATCATTAGTCCACAATCGCCTAGCATAGGCATCTTCCAATTTACACCACAGATCCCGGCCTTCGGCTCTCCACATCCAAGTTTTGCCGGTACTCTTCACAAGTCCTAGCTCCACCTGGCCGGGGGCATATTGCCAATGCGCGGTTTCTACTAAAGAACCCATCTGCTCCAGCGATCGTTGGTTCTACGGCATATATGTCCAGCTCGCTGGCAGTTCAGCTTGCTATTTCTCTGGATGTCAATGACCTTCTTTGTCTAATAGCCTCACTTCTGTCTTTTGTCTATCAGATAAGCATCGAACTTGGCTTTTCCCTTAACTTCTTCCATTCATATTTCAAATTGTAGAATGAGAAGTCATATTATAGGCTATTATTAATCGTAAGTCTCATAAACTTCCTATAAAACTGCTGTTCACCTCGCAAAGTTTACAACTTACACCGCATGGAAACACAAAGTAACATTCAAATGTTTTTTATTACAATGTTTGCAAGTGTACGTGTGGCCACGGTCCATTTGCTTTTATAATGTACCTACAACTCACATGCATGTGTTAATTAATGGTCTTATAATTACATCAACAACTTTCATGACATTTTACATTTTCTTGGAAACGTTCTAAAATGATAGCTCCACTTCCCTGGTCACGGAGTGGCCAAACTTATCACGGACATTAAGAATTTCATCAACGAACATACATTGAGCCAGTGTACGCAGAACTTTAAGATAATTTCTTTTAACAAATTCTGAAGCAGAAGCGTGTATTTCGAATTCATTTATAATTTGTGTATTATCCACGTCATAGTAAAATCATCGGTCAAGATATATCCTCCATTTGTTTACATTACCTTGAAGTCTCTCATCATCATTATCATTATAATGACATTTTAACTATGAATGTGGAAGGCTTTAGAGAAAGTGGTAGATTTAAGGAAAAGGATTGCGTGAAAGACGACATGTGTAAGAGGGGAGTGAGCGAAGAAATGATATATGATAGAGGAGTATGGAAGGAGAAAACATGTTGCGCCGACCCCGGGTGACTGGGAGAAGGGCATGAGAACGATGATGACTTTGAAGACTCTCGTGTTCATCAAATTACCTATGTGACTTCGCATGCGTAAATAACAAATTTGGCCAGGATGCAATTTTATTCAAATTCATTCAACGGATTATGCTTAATTGACTAAAAAACATGTTAAATCATATTAGACAAAACACATAAACCCGATTCCAAGCCACATTGGAAACAAGGCCTGAATATATCTGAACCTTGAAAACGCGACATAATATAAACTGTATGATGTTGCCCACATCGCAGTGAAGGGGAGAATTTATTGCAATACAATGCAGACCAGTGCACAACATTGTACGATCCACATATTATTTTGAGTTAATACGTGCAACTTTTGAGCACTTGATACTCTCGCACAGCCAATGTACATACGTATAGCTGGCCCGTGGGAATGGCAGGCCCAGATAATATTTCCGTGTTGAACCCGGCGATTTATAAATGGTTAACAA